AAATGATGTGAGTGAATGGTAACAGCACTTACAGGAAAAGGTCAAACATTTATTCAGTATGGATCCTAATGTCATGAAAACAACGTAACACAAACAAAGAATGGAGTCGTTTTGGACTTGGCACGATTACGACAAAGCACCGCTGTAAACCGCAGCTGCGAGGTGCATCTGTAGCGGCCCCATAACTCGCCGTTCACTGTTAGGAGGAAACATTTTGAACCTGGAAGTGGCTAACTATCCAGGGAATATGACATCAGACTGAGCTGAGGGGTGGATTATCCCCTTAAACCAGTTACCCTAAACAAACGGAGCCAGAAACCTTCAATTTAATGTCCAATAAAACCAAAAATAGATGTAATCAACAGATCGTCCAGAATCTGAAGTTATTCACTTTATCTGTATTTTGGAGCCATTTTCTGTTAAATAATTACGAGGAAAATGCTTCCGGGCTAAAACAAAAAGAATCGACACAAGAAATAAATATTCTTTCAAAAGCAGCACATTTCCTCTTTAGCAGGTATGTTTCCAGGTGTTCCAGATGTTGGGAGGACCACAGGGGCTATCTCCAGCTCTACCTCTAGATGGCAGTGGCAGCTTGACCCTGAGCCTTTAAACCTGCAGAAATTCTGACTAATGATTCGATAAATGATGATAAAACACATAAAAAGTTATAAAGTCAGTGTGAGAGCGTGGTGCTGGGATGGTGCCGTTTTCTGGGATCAGTGGGATTCTGGTTTAGAGAACTCCGCTGCGGGATCAGGTCGGACTTCCTTGTTCTGAGTCCGGTTCTGCTTCCCTTTCTCCAGAGCTTTCTCCATCTCTGTGTAGTAATCCAAGGCTTTTCGGACCGGGTCGATTATGTGTTGCTGAAGAAGGAATTAAAGATAATTATCGCTCCAGCCGTTGTCTCTGGGTTACCGGTTCTTTCAGGTTCTTACCTCCAGGCAGGGGAAGAGGTTGGCCAGTTCGATGAAGAGCGGCAGAAGAACAAACCTGATGAAGCCAATCTGAGATGAAGGTTTTGTCACTTTGTCTCTGTCCATGAACGGGGAGACGGGGAGGCCTTCCAGTTTCTCCACATCACTCTGAGAACAACATTACAATCAAGCAGAAACGTTTCTGAAGAAACGGAGCTTTTACCCAAACGTCAGCATCAACTTTGTTGTAATCTAAGTTCAGATAAAACCAGTCTGATGAGCTGCTGCTGGTGGCTCATCAGGGTCACCGTGGTAACTCATTTTTCTGCTTCGGGGCCTAAGTACACCTGACTTCATAGATGTCTCGCTGATGTGGTTCATAGTTTAAAACGGGTTCTTGATACGTTTTCTTTTGTGTCCTGCAGTTAGGAGGCTTTCTGAAGGTTCTGGGTTTGGTACCTGATTGAAGAATTCCTGTAAGAGGCAGTCCAGCCAGGGTTCTGCCACCTCCATGGGCCGAGCTTCATTAGAAATATCGCTGACTTTGATCAGGACCATCATGAGCTGCACAAACAACAACACTTCCTGTTAGCCTGAGGGATTAGTTGGAGATCTCTGATGGTTCCAGCTGCTCTGGACTAGAACGAGTCTCTCTAACGAAGCACCATCATCCTCCTCCTCACATCATCATCATCCCAGGTTTCTGCCTCCAGCTTTCAGCATCAGGACCAGAGGGTCTGCTGGTTGTTAATAAATGTAACCAGAAGATCTCCTGACTGATTTTCTGCCTTCAGTTTTAAACTCTTCATCTTTGGACCCACAACGTTAAAGGTCATGTGCAGAAACAGACCACCCTGATGTTTTACCAGATCTTTGTGTTCTCTGCTGCTGAAGTCAAAAACTGGCACGATGGACTTGAACTTGTTGAGAACCTCACTGTGTCTCGTCATGTCGGTGGCCAGAATGCACCTGTAATCACATGACAGCTTGACACACACCACCCAATCAGAGTGTTACTCTAACGAGCTCGTTAGGAAGATGACATCACGTTATTATCCCCTCCCTGATCCGTTTGTACTGGTCCGTAGACAGATTCCTGAAGATGTTGCTGTCTCTCTATGGGAAAAAACCGTTGATTGAGTCACCTATCTGACTGACACACCTGTTTTAGAACAACTCAGGTAAATGTTCAGCTCTCACCCTCTCTAGTATCTCAAAGGCCACTGCACAGTGATGGTTTTCCAAAGGAGAGATGTCGTTATATCGAAGCGCCAGTTCAGTTCGAGCGTTTATCTTAAAAAGGAGCCAAAAAAATACATCGTTTACATTTTTAAAGCAGAAAACTCTGAGAGATTCGTACATTTTTACTTGAAATCTGTCAGTATTAATCACAGAAACTTGCTATTTATTTATTTGTTTGTTTGTTTGTTTGTTTGTTTGTGTCTCCAGCTCTGGGGGTTGGACCTGGTACGCGTTGTTGTATCCTGTGTGGTCAAGGTCATGACAGACTGCAGAGCTCAGCATGATCAGCAGATCCATGGAGTCCATTTTGCTCCTCAGGTCAGTCAGCCAGATCAACCCATACATCTGTTTAGAGAAAAGGTCTACCAGAACCAGAACCAGAACCAACTGCAGCTGGTATTTTAGAGAAGCTTTGTTATTTCATGGTTTCATGTTTAGCTGCAGCTTTATTGAACTCTAGCTGCTAGATCTCACCATCTGGGTAACACAGAAGCAGTGTTTGAAGTTGTGGAATGGGATGTTGTTGTATCTTCTGTAGACCTCGAAAAGGAACCGCTGCAGAACTTCAGGCTCAATGTTGAAGGTCACAGTCAGATCTAAGTCCGTGTACATGACCTGCAGGAGAACCATGATCTCTGCATCCTCCCACTGCCTGTACACACACACACACACACACACACACACACACACACACACACACACACACACACACACACACACACACACACACACACACACACACACACACACACACACACACACACACACACACACACACACAGTGTGTAATCCTGTGAGGTCTTGTGTCATATCACAGAAAGGTAAAGGTGGTTTGGGGCAATCTTGTAATTCTTCTGTCTGGGTTTGATTATTTGGTCTGAATGTAAATCCTGACATCATTCAGCCTCAGTGGGTTTGCTTCCTTGCTTTAAAGACTGTCGGCTGCACTTCACATCAAACGCAGAGCCCTGATCTTATGAAAGACCGTTCAGACCCATTCATATTCAGATGAAGGCGTTGGTCAGAAGAAAGGCTCGGGAACAGACAAAGCCCATCATGAGCAGCTGCTCTGAGCTGTTGATTCTGCATCTGATTCCTGTTGTTCAACTTACCAGTTATCAAAGGTTGGGGTCTTCAGATACTGCCTGACTTCTTCTGAGACCTCCAGAGAGCTGCAAACACGAGGAATGAGAGCTTGTGTGAACCAAATCTGCTTCCTGTCATGATTACCTGTGGACTCACCTCATTTGCATGAACTTCTCCCGCACATGTTCACACTCCTCCTTGGTTTTGTGCAGCGTTCTCTTGTGGTAGAAGGGCGACGGTTTGTGAGTTCCCTCTGAAAGATCTTTGTAGAACCCCAGCCAGCTGAGATGCTCGACACTCTGAAGGTGGGTAGGATTCAAACAAAAACACAATCAGAGCGAGACACAGGACTCCACGGGGGGGGGGGGGGTCAGAGAAGAAAGCTGGAGCTTCTTCATCCAGATGGGTGGCTCTACCTCCAGCTTCTCCCGGAACAAGTCCACCTGTTTCTTCATCTCGTAGACCACAGCAGGTGTCTCGCCAGCATCCACCAGGATTTTCTTCTCCAGGCTCTGAAGTCTGGAATTACACATCTGATTTATGTGGTTCTGGCTAAACCTGTGGTCTGTTTCCAGCTACGGTCACAGATATCAGACGATAAAAAGAGTTTTGTTTCTAAAAAACTTTCCACTCACTTCCATCTTATTTTTACCTTTTTTCCATGGATGAGAGGTCGAATCCAAGTGAACCAGCAAGCTCTGCACCTTGGAGTGAGACGGAAACAGGAATGTAAGGAGATCTTACCAGGCTGGGTCAGAGGGAGCCCCGTGGTGCTGAATCAGTGGTACCTAACAGCTCGCTGTTGCAGTCGGCAGCCACCACCTCCAGTTTGTAGCGGGAAGCGGGAGCGTTGGGCTCCAAGCTGGGTGAGATGTTGATGATGTTTCCTTTGGGGTTGTACAGTTTCAGGATGTCATGGGGTCCGGCCTCGGCTGCAGACCTGAACAGATCTAGGAGGAAGGTTTTACTTTGTTCTCTGATCGGTGATCGAGTGGATCAACAGAACAGAGCATCTGTGTTCCTGGAGCTGGATCTGCAGGCTTTATTCTCATTTAAAGATTTCATATTGAGTTGTGGGTCTTCTGCTAAGGAGCAGCTGCTTTATCCTGAGCTCCTTATCTCCAGGGCTGATCAGGCCTGACCCTCCAGAGGAAGATCAGTTTCACGCTGAGATCCAGGAACTCCCTCTTCTGGTTCTGATCCAGATCTTCAGAGCACAGATGAGGATTTAGATTATGCAACAAATCCAGAACCTCATGTTTCAGCTCAACTGCTTCTTCACCAGGTTAAGTCCTCAATTACTGAAGAAGAAGCTCTGATCTGACCGTCCATCTATCCTCCATCTTACCATCATGCTCAGTAAGACTCTAGACCTCCTCCACTCCCAACAAAGAGAAGACACTCCATCATTTTCCAGAAGAGAACCAGGACCTCAGACTCTCATCTCAGCCGAACTGGTCTGAAGATCCCAACAGAACCACATCTTCTGCAGCTGAGATGACATCCTGCAGTTCCCTTACTGGACCCTCTCTCCAATACTACACCTAGAGATCAGGTCCATGAAGACCAACATCAGGGTCAGGTAGGTCCCACCTGCTCTGGAGCTGAGCTCAACGACCGAATAAACCATGACTACACACACACACACGGTCCAAATTCTCCAGCTCCACACATGATCCATTTATGATGTTTAACATGAAATCAGAGAAGAAGAATCTGCAGAAACGTGAGATTAAGGCAGAAAACTGCTGGACTAACACACAGCAGCGACTACGTCAGTCAATCAATCAAAGATACTTTATTAATCCCAGAGGGAAATTAGAGTTTCAGTACACACAATTCAAAGAATTGGTGACTGTGGTCATTCGCAACCCCCGAGCCGCGCTCTCTGTGGAGATCCATCCAGACAAAACAAATCGAACATGAAACAAATCTGCCTGCTGTCAGATTGTCTGGGTTAGAACCAGAACCTCAGACTTCTTTCATGTTAAACTTGATCAGACGCTCAGAGAATCAGACAGCGGCCCCAACAGTTTAGTCAGAAATCATCATTTATTCATTGCATTAAAAACATTTAATAAATGTTTATTTATTAAAATTACCAGACAAACTGCTCTTTTATACAGCAAATCTAAATGATGAAGACCAGATCATTTATCTATTATCATCCCAACACGACACTCTTACCTTTGACATCCTGAGCAGGACAGTCGGCGGGGAACTCGGCCTGCTCAGGTATCCCGTTCACAGTGAAGTAAATCCTTTTTGTTTCCATGAGTTCAGCTGCTGATGTCGCCGTGTGAGCTGCAGACTGCCGCCTCTCCTCCTCTGATCAACACTCCTGCTCCTCCCCTCCTGCTCTTTTACTCCTCCTTCATGTCACTCGACACATTTAGACTCGTGTTTGCAAAAGGTTTCATTTCATTTGTTTGTTTTTGAGTACTCTAACGTTTTGATTGTCCTCAGATATTTGTAGCTATATTAAGGAAACATGACTAAAGACAAAAAATAAATAAGTGATGTAAAATCTATAAATTATTTAAGAACTTTGACAAAATCCAATATCAACACAATAATCTAACATTTCTTTCTAAATCCAGACCTCCTTCAAGATTCCACATTAAAACCTTATGCTGGCAGACATATTAACAATGATATATGAAAGAGAATAAAACATACAAACATGGAACAACTGAGAGAAAAATTAAATAAAGGTTAAGTTGTCCTATTGACGTGTAGAACTAGTTGTAATGGTAATGTAATCCAGTCATTTAAAACATGTTTGTTACAAGGAGAGTAAGAGCAAGTCATGAGAGGTCAGACTTGGCATTTCTATTTTCATTTATATTATATCTTGTATAAATAATTCTGTCCTTTTTTAGGATTACACCAAGTTGAATTTTGAGGGGACCAGATCTAAATTTACAAAAACGAATAATTCACAGAGAGATTTCCATAGCTGTTAGACTTTTGTAGAACAGGTGCTTTGTGGTCTCCAGGTTTGTTTCATTGTAGTGATTTTCAAATTGAGTTTTCTTTTAATGAATTTGTCAGGAATCATAGTTTTAAGATGATCTTCCTTACATTTTCTGATATTTCAGATTTATGACCAATCAGATCCAACCGAGATTCCCAGAACCTACAGAACCTGGCTTTGGTCATACACCTTCTCCTCTCTTCGGAGCTCTGAACAGGAACAACGAGCGGAGTTACCAGCAGGGGGCGCTGAGCAACTGCTCCATTTCCCGCTGAATTGGCTGAATTCATGTTTGGCTGTAATCTGCCGCTCTCTTAGACTTCCCTCACCATTCTGAAAAATGTTGGAGCCAGAATGATCCATAATTCTTTGTAGAACTCTGCTGGAAACCCGTCTGGACCTGGAGCTTTCCTATGAGTCATGGATTTAAGGGCCTCCTGGAGCTCCGCTGATGTTAGTGGAGAGTCCAGGACTGTAACTTGGCTGTCTGATAATTTAGGAAGTGTTATCCTGTCAAGGAACTCATCGATCTCGTTATCTGATGGGTTTATCTGTGGTGAGTACAAAGTTCTGTTTTTGTCTTATGTGATGAGAAAGAGATTATTTTACCTCTCATCACTGCCTTTCCTGCCTCCCAGAAAATAGATGCTGATGTTCCAGGCAGGTCATGTTCTAAATATAAAGCCCACTCCTTTTTTTAAAAATCAGTAAAACCTTCGTCTTTAAGCAGTGATGTATTAAACCTCCAGTTTCTGCTTGGTGGGATTGTCTTCTTGTTTACCAGAGTTAAAGAAACCAGAGCATGGTCGCTGATAACTATGGGGTGTATCTCGGTGTCTGAAATGTCAGCCAACAATGAACTGCTGACAAGAAAATAATCCAAACGTGAATGAGAGTGATGGACGTGTGAGAAAAAGATATACTCTCTACGGTTAGGATGAAGAGATTGCCATGCATCACGAAGCCCATAATCACTCATGTACTGTTTAACTATATTAGTGGATTGCTAATTGCGCTGAGTCCCAGCTGTACTGAGCCTGTCTGTTAAGGAATTCATCCAAAAATTAAAATCACCTCCAAGTATAAGTGGATAGTCCAAGTGTTCGAAGAGTACAGAGAAAAAAATTACGAAAGAATGGAGGGTCATCAATATTTGGACAGTATATGCTGACGATACATAAGCTTTGGTTTTGTATAGATATTTTCAACATTATAAATCTACCCTCTGGATCTGAAATTGTGTCCAATACTGTGAAATTGATGTTTTTGTGTATTAAAATAGCTTCACCCCTTTGCCTAGAGTACAGTGGGGCAACAAAGTATTTAGTCAGCCACTGATTGTGCAAGTTCTCCCACTTAAAATGATGACAGAGGGCAGTAATTTACATCATAGGTACACTTCAACTGTGAGAGACAGAATGTGAAAAAAAATCCATGAATTCACATGGCAGGATTTTTAAAGAATTTATTTGTAAATCAGGGTGGAAAATAAGTATTTGGTCAATAACAAAAATTCAACTCAATACTTTGTAACATAACCTTTGTTGGCAATAACAGAGGTCAAACGATTACTATAGGTCTTTACCAGGTTTGCACACACAGTAGCTGGTATTTTGGCCCATTCCTCCATGCAGATCTTCTCGAGAGCAGTGATGTTTTGGGGCTGTCGCCGAGCAACACGGACTTTCAACTCCCTCCACAGATTTTCTATGGGGTTGAGGTCTGGAGGCTGGCTAGGCCACTCCAGGACTTTCAAATGCTTCTTACGGAGCCACTCCTTTGTTGCCCGGGCGGTGTGTTTGGGATCATTGTCGTGTTGGAAGACCCAGCCACGTTTCATCTTCAAAGCTCTCACTGATGGAAGGAGGTTTTGGCTCAGAATCTCACGATACATGTCCCCATTCATTCTGTCCTTAACACGGATCAGTCGTCCTGTCCCCTTAGCAGAAAAACAGCCCCAAAGCATGATGTTCCCACCCCCATGCTTCACAGTAGTTATGGTGTTCTTGGGATGCAACTCAGTATTCTTCTTCCTCCAAACACGACGAGTTGAGTTAATACCAAAAAAGTTCTACTTTGGTTTCATCTGACCACATGACATTCTCCCAATCCTCTGCTGTATCATCCATGTGCTCTCTGGCAAACTTCAGACGGGCCTGGACATGCACTGGCTTCAGCAGCGGAACACGTCTGGCACTGCAGGATTTGATTCCCTGCCGTTGTAGTGTGTTACTGATGGTGACCTTTGTTACTGTGGTCCCAGCTCTCTGCAGGTCATTCACCAGGTCCCCCCGTGTGGTTCTGGGATTCTTGCTCACCGTTCTCATGATCATTTTGACCCCACGGGATGAGATCCTGCGTGGAGCCCCAGATCGAGGGAGATTATCAGTGGTCTTGTATGTCTTCCATTTTCTGATAATTGCTCCCACAGTTGATTTTTTCACACCAAGCTGCTTGCCTATTGTAGATTCACTCTTCCCAGTCTGGTGCAGGTCTACAATTCTTTTCCTGGTGTCCTTCGAAAGCTCTTTGGTCTTGGCCATAGTGGAGTTTGGAGTCTGACTGTTTGAGGCTGTGGACAGGTGTCTTTTATACAGATTATGAGTTCAAACAGGTGCCATTAATACAGGTAACGAGTGGAGGACAGAAAAGCTTCTTAAAGACGTTACAGGTCTGTGAGAGCCAGAGATTTTCCTTGTTTGAAGTGACTAAATACTGATTTTCCACCCCGATTTACAAATAAATTCTTTAAAAATCCTGCCATGTGAATTTATGGATTTTTTTTTTCACATTCTGTCTCTCACAGTTGAAGTGTACCTATGATGTAAATTACTGACCCTGCCGAGACACCTGCCGGCCGCGACATTTGGAATTCTAGGATGTCCAAGGAAGATCCCGCCTTTCTCGTCTCTGATTGGCTAGAAAGGCTCTACTACGATTGGCTATTTCATTTAACAGCAAACTGGCTGTCCTGCTAAGGGCTGACAACAGTCCTTCTGCCACCAGCAGAAAGCTGTTTTGGGGAGTTTAGTAAAGAAAATGTGAACTTAGCGCTATAATAAACATTTTGTCCTGGTTTGCGAAATATTTTGTTTAATAAAAAACTGAAAAACATAAAATGTGAATTTTAAATCTTGTTGCATTTATCAAACTGTTGGACTTACTTTATTTCTCTTGGCTCTTAAGCATTAGAGTATAAACATGCCTTACCTGGGTATGACATTTAATAAAACTGCCCTGAGCTGCCGGTCTGTTTCTTCTCTAGAATAATGAATACTGGTGAAAAATAGGTCTAAATCATAATCAGCTTTAACTTAATTTTTTATTACATGATATACATTTAATCTGATGATGAGAGATGTGCTCTAACTTGTAAACAGCCTTAACCTATTAAAGCAGGATAGCCTAATAATGAAGTAATAAGATAACCTCAATAGAGCCAGCAGATACAAAGTCAGTCTACAGTGTGATAAAATGCCACACGATTTATTACAAGTTCACATTTGATGTTTTTCGGGTTCTTTTATGAAAGAAACTGGACCTGATTTGTTGCTAAACAGAAAATTATGTTTATTATAGCGATGAGTTCACATTTTCTTCAAATAACTCCTCAAGATCTGGCTATAAACATAAAAACCTGCAGCGAGGGAAAACGGTTTCCTCTTACACGAAATAGCCAATCGCAGTAGAGCCCTTCCAAACAATCAGAGGCGAGAAAGGGAGTAAGACGAGACCTTCCTTGGAAATCCTAGAATTCCAAATGACGCCTCCCGGCCTGCAGGGGGAGCGCTGTGACACCAGCACGACGCCACGACCAGCGCTTCCGTTCCGTCTTCAACTACCCACATGTCGGAGCTCCAACGTGTTGTACGGCGACATTGATCCTCAAAGCTCTTTAAACGTCTCCGTTTGGGTCATAAAAAACGAGCGAAATGACGGAAGGTAAAGCAGAATCCACCTCAGCGCGAGCAAAAGAGCTACTGGCTCTGAATCCGGCCCAAGAGTCCGAGTTTAAGAAGAAAGTCCAGGAGGCGAAGCAGAAGAAGTCCGGGAAGGTGGGTTCCGATGGAAGTGTGGCTCTGATGGAGATAAATCTGATCATTTAGTTACTGGATTACACTAGGATTTAACTACCCGGTTCTCTTTAGGGGTTTTGAACGCATTTGATTTTGTTCTTTAATAACTATTTTTAAGGCCACCTTGTTTAGCTAGTGCACACGTTAGCTTAAACTAACAGCTACAGCACTCTCCTCCCAGTCCCACCCTGCTAAAGAGGGCCTGGAAAAGTTCCCCCACACATCAAAGTGATTTTTCATTTATGAGCTTTTATAACCTTGTTAATCAGGATAGTTGATTTGCTGCTGCACATAAACCGTCAGTCAGAAGCTCTGCTAGCCGGTTAGCTTAAGAGGAGCTAGTTCAGTTTGTTAGCTTGTTATCAGAATCATATTTGCAGTTTCATCATCTGAGCTGCTTTTTAAGATCTAGGTAAACTTGTTCAATTTGGGGTTAAAAACTAACGTTTTCACATATTTTCCATGTAGTTTTTTGCCAGTTCCTCTTGTGAAAGGTAGACAATTGTTTTTCTCTTTCCCTCAGAAAATCTTAATATTCTCCTAGTTTGGCCCAGCACAGTTCACTTCCCAATTACAGCAACAACCTTATATCATAACCACATAAGTGGAGAAAATGCTCAGTAGCAATGAGAGAATTTGCTGTTGCATTTAATGATGTTAACTATTATTTAACATTTTTCAGATATTTTTATTTATTCAAAAACCCTGGTAAGCGATGTTTTTCTGTATTTGGAGCATCAGAAAAAGTTTTATGGTGGTGGTGATGTTTTAAAGTCACTGAGAAACTGCATGCATGCAGTTTATTGTTTTGCTGCTAATACAGTAGCAGGTGCAGCTGCATATTTTTGCAATAAAAATGTTATGTTGTAATGGAATTCATGCATTAGTTTTTGTTTGCTCTGAACCCAGAGCAGACGTCACACGCCAGACGACATCAACACTGCATACTTTAGTATTTGTTCATTTATCGTGAGTAATATCGACATTGCAATATTAAGCACTGTTATCGAATATCGCAGGTTTTCCTAATATCGTGCAGCCCTATTTTATACCATACTAGACTAGTTTTATAAAACATTTAACTAGTTTTATACCATACTAGACCTGTTTTATGCCATATTAGACTAGTTTTATACAACATTTAATTACTTTTAAACCATATTAACTAGTTTCTTACCATATTAGACTAGTTTTATGTAGGGCTGAGTACTCGATTACAAAAATATTCAATAGCTGCAGCCCTAGTTTTATACCATACTAGATTTATAAAATATCAGACTAGTTTTATAAAACATTTAACTAGTTTCATACCATATAAGACTAGTTTTAATACCATACTAGACTAGTTTAATAAAATATAAGACTAGTTTTTAAACCATATTTAACTGTAGTTTTACATGATGCACCATCAATCATAGAGCACAGGACTATATTAAAACTTTAATTAGGAGGCTAACAATAACTTAGACTAGTGGTAATAAACGTTACTAGTGATTAATATAAACATGTGGTAATAGAAGGTAATTAAAGACCTAAATGATTAAAAAAAAGTGAAGCAACATTATAATAACTTTAATAAACACAATCTAGAAAGTTATTAATCTGTTGTTCTTCCAGCCAGTCTGTAGTCTTATATCATGTAACTGGATGAGTGTTTCTCTAGACTTCTTAAAGAATTGAACGCTTTCTGTCTTTTCAGGGTGGACGTCTGACTCCAGGTGTGGTTTACGTCGGTCACCTGCCTTTGGGACTATTTGAGCCGCAGCTTAAATCGTACTTTGAACAGTTTGGGAGGGTCCTGCGTCTTCGTTTGTCCAGAAGCAAGAAGGTGATGTTGAACGGTGCCATGTTTAGTGAAGACTAATAGCTTTATTTACATCATCCGAGCAGCAATGGCCCTGCAGCTCTGCTCCAACACATGTGGCTCAGGCTGAAAATGGTCTCGGGTGTAAATGTGGTCTGAGGTCAGATAACTGAGCCTAAAGTATTCTGGTGCATTAAGCTTATTGCCTGCTGGACCTGATAGCAGAGCGATAAAACCCATGTCCCAACATTCACTAAAGGTTGGTTTATGCTTGACGTGTCCGCGAGGTCCGCGCGGCAAAATTGCGTCATTTTAACAACCACGCGCCTCCGCACGGCCCAAACTTTCCGCACTGCACACCTAGGAAATTTTCTAACCACGCGGACGGTCGGACGCGGAAAAACATGGCGGACTGGCAAGGACTAGTATGGCAGAGGTTCGTAAACACAGACATTTGTATGATTCGGCTCTCAGAGATCACCGTGATCAACATGTTGTTAATAATTCTTGGAGAGAAATAGCTCGCACTGTCGAAAAAGACGAGAACGCTGTTAAAAATGCTGGAATGCCATGTTGTAAACAGTAATTTCTACTTCTACTATGGTGTAGTGTTGGATGCATGCCATAGAGCTCCATGCTGCCCCCTACAGTTTGGGAGAATATTGGCTCACCGCAGAGACGAGCCGCACGAACCATAAACGCTGCGAGTTGTGAAGCGCGGTCCATCCGCGAGCCGCATCACTGCGCGGAAAGTGAATGTGTCAAGCATAAACCAAGCTTACTCCAGATGTGACCAGCCTGGGATGGAGACGTTTCCCCTCCTGAAAGCGGGGCTGGGTACTGATCCATGTGTGCTTTGTTACAGACTGGTGGAAGTAAAGGCTACGCGTTTTTGGAGTTTGAATGTGATGAAGTAGCAAAGATTGTTGTGGAGACCATGAACAATTACCTGATGGGGGAGAAACTCATCAAATGTGAGTTTTTACCTGTGTTTGTCTGAGAGTTACGGGAGTGTTGTGCCTCAATAGGATTGCTACCTAAGAAGGATTTACAGTACTTGCTCAGACGCCGTTTGGAATCCATCCATATTCCCGACTTTCACTGTAGCATCTTTGCATTTGCAGGTCATCTGATTCCTCCCGAGAAGGTACATGAGAAGCTGTTTGTTGGCTCCCAAAAGACTTTTAAAAAACCTTCAAATCCCGCTGTAAAGCGGTACAACAGGAAGCGTTCAGCAGAGCAGGTGGCCAAAATGACGGAGCGGCTTCTACGCAAAGAGTCCAAGCTCCGCAAGAAGTTGGAAGCACAGGGAATTGACTATGACTTCCCTGGATTTGTAAGTGTCCCAGTTTAAAAATCACTACTGTAACTTTAGTCTGTAGTTGTTTGGCAAGGTCTTGGTGGTAGCTGTCAGGACTTACTGGAGATGTGCTTTGGATTTTAGCTGGTTTCAGAGGATCTGAAAATGTACAGCAGGTCAAAAACAGTCAAAGTCAAACTAAAAACTCCAGAAGTCCTTCAGAAGGTCAACAAAAACGGGAAGGAAGTCCCTTCTGGACAGGGCTCTGAACCAGGGTTAAGGTGTAGGACCCAGGACCACTCCAGGAAACACACCTGAAGCTCTGGCTTCTGTGGACCTGCTGACCCGGATGAGATTTGTCTCCTGATGTTTTTGTTCAGGAGGTTGTAGTTACCTCTGAGTCCTGCTAACGTCCCTGTTGTTCCTCAGGCTGCTCAGGTGTCTCAGAAGAAGAAGTCATCAGCTGCCATGGACACGTCTTCGTGTAGTGACGTAAGGACATCATGCACCTTCATTAGAGCAAATGTGTGGAAGAAAACAATTATTTGAAATCACAATTATTTCACACGAGACCTCCAGTCACAAAACACACTTTTTATTAAAGCTGAGATGGAATCAGATCTGTCGCTGAGTGAGAAGATGATGCTGAAGTTTCTGCTGCGAACAACAACCTGAAGTTTTATCACATTGTTAAACTGGTGCAGCGGCAGTCCTCGCTCTGTCTTCTGTACTTGTGCTGGCGTTTAAAAACACAACGAGTACAGCCTTCCGGGGGGGGGGGGGGGGGGGGCAGAATGAGAGCATCCGTGCATAGCTGCAGTTGTAATACAGTTGTCTGTAAAGTGGACCTGAGTGATTTGGCCCAGTCTGAAAGTGACCCGAGGCGTTTGGTGGTCTTGGGTTAGATAACTGGGCCTACAATAACGTGGTGCATAAAGCTCATCACCTGTCTGACTGTGGCGGTGTGATGAAACCCATGCTTCAACATGTGCTGTCACGCATTCGGTTATGCAGCATGCTCTTATTTTGACATCTTGGTGACCCCCTCCCCCCTGTGTGATGTGATGGAGTGGTTGCTGCAGGATCCGTCGGCTCCACGTTTAACACAGCATCACATTCAAACGGTGCAGTGTAGTCTCATCTAAAACACTTATTTCTTTACTCTGGATTGGCGTTGATTAATAACTAAAATAATTTAGATTTAATGAACTGAAACGCTTTTTAGAATTTTGTTAAAATTATTCTAATTGTTAATTTTTCCATTGAGAATTTAAAAATTAGCTAAATGTGTTCCCAACTGGATGGGTGATGTTCAGATACCCTGATCGACCTGAGTACCTGGGGTTTATTTTCTGTAGTCGAGCAGCCATGAAACGTTTAAGAACTCCTGTTGTGTTCCACACCAGGACACCACCCCCGCCTGCACGCCGTCCTTCCTGGAGAGGAGGAAGTCCATGGTTGTAGACGACGATGACGACCGTGAGATTGTCGTTAAGATGCCGGCTGTAGATTGCGATGAAGATGACAGTGAGGATGATGAGGAAATCGTCTCCCAGAGCTCAGAAGAGGACACGGAGACATAGTGGATGTGGACGGGGGACTTTTAGGAGCTGGATATAAATACGGACTTCAGTTTGCCTCCAAACAAACTCGAGGCTTTGAACTGTGTTCTTAAGGTGAACAGTTGTAATAATGAAAGCAGCAACAGTCTAGAGGCACCCCACCAGGTGTTTTAGGGTTTCTGACCAACCTTAAGGTGAGTTTGATGAACCTGCAGCCGTCCCGGATCTGCTGCTGTTGTCGGGAAATACTTTAATAAAATAAATAATAACCTTCCTGAACCTGTATTGTTACTTTGCTCACCAACGAAGAATCCACTCCAGCAGTATAAACGGATTTATGTTTAGGTTGTGAGTTTACGAGCTGAGGAGGAGGGTGGGAAACGAGCGAGCTTCATCTCTAACAGAAATGCCTACAAACATGTTTTTGTGATTGAAGACATGAAAGAAGCTGAAAGGATTGAACTAAACAGCTTGAAGGAAGTTGAATCGCTTTATGTCCAGGAAGTGAAAGCTTGTGTTTAACGTGAAGTGTTTAAAAAAAAAACTTTTCACAATAAAAGCATTTTGTGGCCCATGAGGACTTAGTTGTAGATCTATATGAAGAGTTCTGTTGAACCTCTTGAAAGTACACCAAAGTTTTTATTCCAACCAGATTAGGACACACAGTTTACCAGCTGCAGAAGTACATGTTTACAAGTCTTATGGCTCTGCAGCTCAAAGGAAATGGCTTGCTCAGATAGTTATCTTTTTTTATCTAACAACAACTTTCATTGTGTTGTAACTCAGTCCGTCCCTTATCCTCCACTTCTCCGGGGGCAGTAGTCCAGACTTCCCTCTCCCCAGCCACTTGGCCCAGCTAAGACGTTCCCTGGCCAGCTGACAAGCATGGTCCCTGCAGCGTGTCCTGGGTCTCCCAGTTGGACGTGCACAAAAAACTTCACCAGGGAGGCATCCTAAGCCACCTCAACTGGTTTCTCTTGATGTGGAGGAGCAGCAGATCTACTCCGAGCCCCTCCCGCATGACCGAGCTTCTCACCCTATCTCTAAGGGATAGCCCAGCCACCCTGCGGAGAAAACTCATTTCAGCCGCTTGCATCTGTGTTCTCATCTGTGGAGGTGGCTCGATTGTTAAGTGCTCGCCCTGTAATTGGAAGTTTGCAGGTTCAAGCCCGCTCAGTCTGTCGCTGTTGTGTCCACGGGCAAGACACTAACCCCCTCACCTGGTGATGGTGGGAGGGACTGGTGGCACCTATCTACAGCAGCCTCGCCTCTGTCGGTACACCCCAGGGCAGCTGTGGCTACATCGTAGCTCATCACCACCAGGGTGTGAATGACTGTTGTAAAGCGCCTTGGGGGGTTCCTGGGGCCTCATGTATCAGCTGTACTCACGCACAGATCTGTGCGTATATCGTGAGTAGGAACTCTATTACCCATTGATTTTGTATCTGTGCTGGAAATGTTCCTAAACATCAGAAACCTTCAGACCGTGCTTAGGAACAGCATCTAGTGGTAGAACAGGGGATCTGCACCATCGAAGGTCTCAGTCATCCGCACACATTCCTCATCCATAAATTATTTTACTCGGTAAATAATTTTTTTTTTCTGTGGAAAAACTGCTGAGTCACATAATTGATGCTACAGCACCCAACGGGAATCTGACTTTGTAGCATGGGTGTCGAGCTTTTTCTCTTCCCATGAAATGCTCAACCATTTTTAATATTAAAGTTAATTATCTTATACTTATGTCCTTGTGAAACGCCTCGTGGATTTGCTTTAGATGCGTTAGATAACAGATTGTTTCTATGCTATTATTAAGGATCTATCAGAGCTCCTCGGCACTGACAGCAGATCCGTCTGGAGCTGTTGGGATCTGGGATCCTTTGTGGAGCTACAGACAAACTTGCAACATCCGATTCCAGTTCATTTTCTATTTTACAACTACGAGAACACCCAGAACCTCCTCTGCTCCCCATCACACACGTGTTGTCATGGTAACCAGACGGAATGACAGCTCAGAAGAGGCTGCACTCTCAGACAACTTTTCCAAATTAAACTAACTCCAACCAGAAGACTCCTTAAATGTAAATGACAACCTGTATTTTATCACATTAAAGTTTTTATTTATTTCTGACAGGAACCTCTCCTCTGTCCTCTGCAACTTGTTTGATTCGTTTGCACCTCGGCAGCCAGTGTTTCAACCTCGCAAGTTTTCTTTTTTCCGGGTAGAACGCAGGAATCCTCTCACGAGCTGAGGACATAGTGTGACCAAACCGGCTCTGGGTAATTTGGTGCCCAGGGCGAGAGTGCCCATTTGCCCCCCCTCCCCCCCTCCCCCCCCCCTCCCCCGCCTCTCACCCAAACCCAAGTCCACACATTGGAAAAAGCAACTCCACAGTTATTCCTTAGTTACTAATTTTTTATTTTAAATATTCACACAGCAACTCTTTAAAGTCAACAGCCTGAAGAATAAATGTAAGCTTGAAAGATGAGTAACCTGGGAATATTACTATAGGCAACAACTCAAAATGTTGTGCAAATGTCATTGGGGGGATGCAAAATCAAAAGCAACATTAAACTGTGCAATCAAAAGCAAAACTCAAATATCAAAGTGTCATCATAAAGAAAGTTCTACTTTCCATTTTGTTCAACTGCTGTGGCCAGTCAGCAGGATCCATGGGGCCAGCAGCTCATGTTCACAGACATCTGTTGAAGCTGATGATGGTGTCTCTTCAGGCTGTTGGATTGAGCACTGAGTCTGCTGGTGTTGTGTTCTTCTTCTGTGAGAAAATAAACACACACACACACACACACACACACACACACACACACACACACACACACACACACACAAAGCAACTTAACCCTCTGATGCATGAATTAAGAACAGCGCCACTTTCACATTCAATATTCCTCGGTCATGTGCAGTGATGCTTTTCACTATTTTTAATATTACTGGACTTTTTATTTTATTGATCTTTTTTAATCTGTTCTATGAAAACATGAATAAAATTATCAAAAACAGGTGGAAGTGGGGAATATTTGAAAAAACTTATGTCTCACTCTCAGGTGCTCTTCAGCATCAAATAAATTGTAGAATATGAGGAAGAAGAACCGGTGATCTGAGGCACTCTGAGGTTTTCATTTATTAAACAAGGAAACACCGACGCGTTTCGGAACGACCATCTTCAGGGCATAAACCTTTATACCTTGAAGATGATTCATTATGTCACAAAAACTAACGTCCATCCTTTTTTACAAATTTACAGCCTAATTGACAATAACATCTTAAGGAGACAATTTCAGATGTGTATGTTCAGATTATTTAATATTCTCAATGCTAAATCAATGCTGCACTGATTGTGCCAAAAACAAGTGTCTGGTGTGGATTTAAATAAATTAATTTTGCATATCGATATATGTGATAAGCCGTTTAATTTGAAAAAGTCAGTTTCTACTGCTGATTACAAATAGCCTAACAAGTAACTTACTCACCTGGTTCTAGATGCTGAGATTGTAGCTCAGTAAATGTGCTGCTGCTGCGTGATGCCTGGATGAAGACGCTGCAGCGTAAACAAGAAAGAGACGGCATAAGATGTCATGCTGGGTTTAGGCAGTTCTCACTCCCCGCCGGGCCCGGCGGCAGCGGGGGAGTCCCCGCCACGGCAGTGACGCCCGCCCGCCCGATGTGTCGGACAAAGTTGAAAATTTGCCACACCCACACCTAACGTTCTTCTGATATACAAATATTAAATTCATATTGTATGCGTACTTAAAACTTGAAACAACGTTCATAAAAGGCTGCAAGCATACTCCAAAAACCAGTAAAAAATCTTACATTCTTCATCATCACAGTGAGACTCAACATTGTCTCAGCTGCATCTGGACACGACGATTCAAAAGTAAAATGGATGGGTTAAAGTTACAGATACTGTATTGTGTGCAGGGCTGGACTGGGACAAAAATTCAGCCCGGGCATTTTGACTGGAGACCGGCCCATCACCTGTTTTTTTTTGGAAAAGACATTAAGCCTTACGCTGTTTCTGACACACACCAACGTACACGTTCTTATTGGTAGTATTTATGTATCAATCTAATAAACGTAAACCTACACCATCCTTCCTATCCGGGTATTCTAAAAAGTAGGGTTGGGGGTAACTGATTATTTTTAAAATGATTATTCTGACGATTATTTTATCGAATAGTCGACTATTCTAATGACTATTTAGATGATTAATCTAGCGATTACTTTTCTATTGCACAATTAATAAAAACCAAAAAATTCTCAAATAAATTCCTCCAAAAAATTGATAAGTCGTTACTGTAAGAGAATAAACACTACAGGCCTTCCATTTTGTATAACACTGCTTTTATTGTGTTGCGGTTGTTTATGTTCTGGTGACGTGTAGAACTTGGGAGTGCAGGCTGCTGCCTGAGAGGTGGTTGGAGACGGAGTGTCTCCATGCTGCTTTGATTTGTTCACTTATGTGCATGAGGCAAGTGGTGTTACGACCCTTCCTGGGGAGTCACGTGTTTCTCCTATTTTAACTGTAAATCCTTCTAGCTGTTATATTTATAACAAGAAACAGATATTCGGACAGAATATTTTCACGTTTATTCGAATATGATTGTGGAACACACCCAGCATCATAATAAATGAAGTAATATTTATGCCAATTTAAGCCTTTATGGGTGACCAGGACTCTGTGTTTATGAATGTGGAAGACACCCAGCATCCTGTGATGGCACTAATAACATCAAGAGATAATAAATAAGGTAATATTTAGGTCAATTTAACCCTTTACAGGTGACCAGGACACTGTAATCAATTTTTGGCAAGGGAAATGATCATTTGTTGCCATTTTTGAGGTGTTTATGAATGTGAAAGACACCCGGCATCCTATGATGGCACCAATAACATCAAGAAATAATAAATAAAGTAATATTTAGGTAAATGTAACCCTTTACAGGTGACCAGGACACTGTAATGATTTTTTGGCAAGGAAAATTATCTTCTTTTCTTTTTTTTTTTTTTTTTTTTTGCCATTTTTGGGGTGTTTTTGATGACACAGTAGGCAGTATGAGTTCAGTAACATCAACAGATAATACATAAAACCCTTATTTGGTCAATTTTAGCCTCCATGAAAATCTTAGTGATTCAATCACTTTTTGGCAAGTAAAATGCCATTTTATTTGTCTACAATTAAATCATCAATAAAGAATTTAAAGATATTTTGAGGCGTTTCTTATAGGTAAACGGGAGGGTGTAGTCTATTTGGCAAGTGACAATCTTAATTTTATGTGCTGAAGTGCTTTTATCTTGTTACTTTTAAATAGAGCAACGTAATGTATAGATAGTAACCTACACAGTGTCATTAAAGCCAAAGCTTGATCATTTTAAATACTTTTTTTCAAGTAAAAATGTGTCCCAAACTAGTTAACTGTGGCTTCATGTCAAGTGGACTAAAGAAAGGAAGGGGAAAAAATTAAAATCGCTGGAGAATTGTTTATTTCCATTTATACAACGTTTACATTCAATACAGGGTACCATTTTACATTGTTTATTTATTTTTTTAGTATCAAGGCTGTAACATAAAGAAAGCCAGTTCTTACCACAAAGTTTGTGGCACAAACCATCTTTCAATCGCAAATATTGCAAAAAGGATTAATACATCCTCATTGTGAACGTTTAAGATAAATAGCAACACTTAAAACAACTTCCGAACTGGAAAAACTAATGTGGCAAGGTGCAGAAACGAGTGCCCAGGCGGGATTCGATCCCGAGACTCCTGGGTGAGAGTCTTACGCTCTAACCAGTCAGCCAAAGGAACATCTCTTTGGCCAAGTAGCCAGGGCGCATGATCAATCGGGACATTGTGGATGCTCACACTGCCACATCTTCCTCCCTCTTTCCACAAGCACGTCCTCGTCCTCCCGCGCAGGCTGCCACAAACACTGCCACACTAATATCCGCGATAAACATCTGTTTAAGTACCGGAAGAGGTTATCTTTGCTTTCTGAATGTCCATATTGCTAGATATGCTGAGTTTTAGGGCGAAATCCTGGGGAATTTTGTCTAGAAATGCAATTACCTAACCGTGCGCGATCCCGCGGTGGCTAATCATTTTTTGGCAGCGAGTCAATTTATGGCACAACACCGGCTCGGGTTTCTCCTCCTCCTCCCTCTTTTCTTCTCCAACCTGTCGCTGGGCTGAGGCTCCATCACTTCCTAAATTGATTTTACTTGAACCTTCACTACCAAACAACTGTGAGATTTTAACACATGTGCCAGCATCAGCCTGAAGGGCCAGTTTCTTTTTTAGTCGAATTTTCTCCGCTCCTGCTTTCCGTTTTTTGTTCTCCATTTTGTTAAGCTCGTCTGTCTGTTTACTGAGATTCACAAACAACTGGCGGGTGCATCAGACCTCTGGCTATTGGTCCAGCCCAGAGTGTATTATTACCAATTGGCCAATCCACCAACTTTTACGAGGCGTCGCGTGGGGCGGCGCGAACAAGTTGTCCGCAACAACTAGAGGCCAGGAAAAAAAAAAAAAAAAAAAAAAAAAAAACAGACACCGGCCCATAAAAGATGAAAGGGTCGGCCCAGCGGGCAATTGCCCGCTATGCCCTAGGTCAGTCCAGCGCTGATTGTGTGTGTAAACAGCTAGCGAGGGTCCGTCCTTGGACCGTGCAGGAGAGGCAGTTAGCTACAATAATAACGCAAAAAGTTCCTTTGCAAAACTTATAAAGTCTACATACCTCTGCTTTGGGCCCGTTTATATTCTTCTTCCTTCCTTCGCTCTCGGAATGCTGATCCCGATGGCTTAGGCGTTCTTTTCCTCGTAAAATATCAAACGTTTAAACGTGACGACAACAGGATGTCCTTCACAGTGCCACCCACACACACGTAACTTTGGCAACCTTATAACGGTCAAATGCATCAGAGCGGTGGCTCAAGCGGGAGCTCGAAATGCAGCCAGATCATTAGAATTTAAATATTGATGTTTCAATTTCATGTCATTTCAAAGGGGAATTTTTTGAGTATGCAGCGAGTGCATTTCATATTACAAACATGAATTTAATAAACTTTTTTTTTTTTTTGAAAATTTGCGCCCTTGGGTTTGCACAGGTGGGATTTATCAGCATACGAGTGGAGGAATAGCGTACAAGACGCCACCGCATGTTTCATAAACCAGGGTTTTGACCGTTCGTACAAACATTCTACATTTCCTTCATGGGAAGGAATTTAGGAATTTTTCTATGAACGTTTAGGCCCCAGGACTCTAGAAGGCGCTATATCAAATACAGGGCATTTACTGTATTAGGTCACTACCCAAAGCTCGTGACCATAGGTGAGGGTAGGAATGTAGATCGACAGGTAAATCAAGAGCTTTGCCTTCCAGCTCACTCTTCACCTGTCTGACTGACTAAGTCTGTCAGACAGGCATACTGTGATTGGTTCAACGAACACCCATGCACCCTCCAGGACTCCCCTAAGGGTGTAGAGCTGGTCCAGTGTTCCACGGCCAGGACGAAACCCACACTGCTCTTCCTGAATCTGAAGTTCAACAATCCGACAGACCCTCCTCTCCAGAACCCATGAATAGACCTTACAGGAAGGCTCAGGAGTGTGATCCCCTGTAGCTGGAACACACTCTGCAGTCCCCCTTTATAAATGGGGTACCACCACCCCAGTCTTCCAATCCAGTGGAACTGCACCTGATGTCCACGCAATACTGCAGAGCCATGTCAGCCAACTCAGCCCTTGGACATCCGGAGCCTTAGGGAACTCTGGGCTGGTCTCATCCACCCCTTGCCATTGGGTCTTGCCACCGAGGAGCTTTTTGACCACCTAAGTGACCTTGGGGCCTCAGAGATATGAGAGCCCGAGTCAAAGTCCCCAGACTCTGCTTCCTCACTGGAAGGCGTGCCGGTGGCATTGAGGAGGTCTTCGATGCACGTTCCAACAGCACACCATCCCCACTGTAAACAATGTGTTATAACTGTGTTTGTTCCATCTGTTTAGTTAATGCAATACTTTTATTTTAGTTTTGTTTGAGTTGATAGCTGATGTACTGATGGAATGAAAGAACTGGAAATTCCTTATTGTTCCTCGGTGGGAAAATGTTTTGACAGGAGAAAACTATGAGAGTAAAAAATAAGGTGGAATAAAAAAATTACAGAGTAAAAATACAAGAAGACACAATATAACAATAAAATATTAAAATGCTAAAATATTTAGAACTCTAAATGCTGAATACATACACATTAGAAATATAATAAAATATAAATATAAGATACTAGAAATACTTATGGAATGAAAAATACGGTGATAACGGGCCTGTGTTAGGTTTAAACGTTGACCTTTTCCCTGATAAACATGTTTTATTTGTTCAATAAAACAAAAACAAACTTGTTTATCTGGTTTGATGCTTATTTGCACCTGCCACCTTTGACCAGCAGGTGTCGCCACATTTCCCCCATTTCCCTTTTTTCCATGCGACAGCCTTCCAAGTGCCAACATCATCTCTGACCCAAGTGCGCCTGCGCGCGACGATCCCCATTCTTGTCCTTCAGGCTGCATTCCGGGTGGAGAGAGAGGGAGTGATAGAAGGACCGATAGGAGCGGCTCGAGGCCATAAACGGGATATATACGCAAATAAAAGCGGAGCTACATGTCCCAGTAGCGGGAAATGGTGAGTGGAAACATGGAGGATGTAGCTGCAGCTCTCAGTCTTCTTCCGACACTTTTCTTCTTTGTGCTGCCGGGCTCCGAGCTGACGTTTCAATGAAAGGCTTTGCTAGCTTTAGCTTTATGATATTATCTCCGCTGCTGGCGCAGTGGGGACGTCGCTCCCGTTAGGGGTTGGAGGCAGGAGCCGGAGGTGTCTGGAAGCACAAAGAGCAGATCCTGGATCAGCTTTTGTCCCCGGTTCCTCTGTTAGAGCTGCTGCTGGGTTTCTGCTAACCTGAGCTCAGCTAATCCTCCACAGGACGATGGGCTCTTCACCTCCGTGCCTGTTTGCATCAACACAGGAGGAAAAAATGACCTGCTTCCAAAAAAAAAAACACCTTCAGATCAACACCACCTTACCGGTGACGTCATGGACGGTTTATTTGAGCTGAGGCTGAATGAAAGGGAGGAAAAGACTGGCTCCATATGGATGTGTAGAAGTGAGACCTGGGCCAAAAATAGACCTCATTTAAAATGAAAACTACATAAATGTAGAATGTTTAATTCATCATTAAACAAACTACACTGATGAGGAGAACAAAGGCTAAGTTTGTATAGAAAAGGATGAGTAAATATTGGTAGAAACATGACAGTTTATTTCATCCTCGGCAACATAACCAGGATCTGGGTCTCTCCACTAATGTTCAGAAGGATGTTTTTAAGTCCTTGATGGTCTGGTGCTCTTGGAGCTGTAGACCAAGGGGTTTCCTCTCCACTGCATGCTTGCTTAGTATGAGGATTGCTGTAAAGACTCTGACACTAGTCAGTGACTCGATGCAACCTGCTGGGTTCCCTATATAGGAAACTTTTTACTGATTGGCTTAATGACCTGACCTGTACTGGAATGTTTACTGTGTGAAGGGCCTTGAGGCGACTCTGGCCCTGATTTGGTGCTTTAGAAATAAACTGAATAGACTTTGAGGTTTGCTGCTCCTAAAACCACCGATGATCAGACCTTCTCAGACCGGATCTCAAACATCCCACCCAGGTTCAACAGACTGGCCTTTAGGACTGTCTTGTCTTTACGGTCCCTTCACCATTTGAGTTTCCTTCCACATTTCCTCCTTCTTTTGGTGTTTGTTGATTCTATGTGTGTTTTTATTTATTTAGTTTTGTATTTATGTTCATTTTCATGGCCCATTTTATCAGTGGTGAGTTTTAAGCAGTTTCAGTTCTTTTTTAACCTTGTGCTTTTAAATGATCTGTATGAGTAACGTGGATTAGGATTAGAAAGGCTGCAGGAGCTCTGGTCAGGTTAAAGTTTCATCTGAAAGAACCATGAGACTTCTAGACCAAACAGAATTCCAGAACATGGAACCAGGTCCTTATGAAAGATGTATTTTAGAGTAGCTACCGTAGACTGAAACCACGAAAAATGTTTTTTCCTAACTGAATTGGTTCTGATGTGTTTGTTGGCTCCTCCAGGACCACTCGGGACAGATGCAGGAACGAGACATGGAGCCCTAAGCTAACCCTCTCCATCCATCTCCTTTTACCGCCTTGCTCGCCAAACCCAGCCACCCCCCGCCCCCCGCTGTGGTTTGGTTCCTCCTAGGGAAGAAGAAGGAAAATAACCCAAGTAGGATCTAATAGTAAACTTTCCCCAGCTGCTGTCCAGACACACACATGCTGCATTGCTACCATTCCCAAATCCCTGCTGCGTCTATCCCGGAGGCACAGCCTCTAGCAGGCTAGCTAGCAGCTGGCATTAGCACCGGTCCAGTCCTGAGGGATAACAGTGTGTGGTGAATCTCCACAGTCCGAGTCTGAGCTGTGATTGTTGCACGTTGTAGAGGCAGGTGGAGCGGGGGCGCCGTGCACTTCACAGGTCGGGATGATGGAGCCCAGCATGGAGAACTGCCTGGCCCAGGTTCTGCAGAAGGACATGGGCCGACGGCTGCAGGTGGGTCAAGAGATCATCGATTACATTCTGGACCAAGAAAAGTCCCACGACTTGGAGCAAGACCAGACGGCACTGGACAAGATGGTGGACGGCATCGCCAGCTCCTGGGTCAACTCCAGCAACTTCAAGGTAATTTAATCCAGATTATCCCTGAATTCAGAGTCAGATTAAACCTTCTGGCCAGTCATGGTCCGTTCCACTGGCTGGAACTCCTCTTTCAGCTCACTTCGGTCCATTTACTCAAAGGTCAAAGGTCATAGGATTGAATAAACAATGGCTGATCTCTGAAGGAAAGAGGAAGGATCATGTTTGCTGATTAATACCTGATAGTCCAGATTATTCTCCTTCATATTTGAGATCGGTCTGATTTAAGTCACTCAGACTAAATCTGGTGTGGTCCTCTAAAGTAGAGCTGAGCAGAGACACGTCTGTTTGATGAATTTCCTGTGGTCTGTCGAGCTGTAAATATAAATAAAGCTAACAGCAGCCAGTTCCTCTTCCTGCTCTGGGATTGATTGTGTGTTATTCTGGATTTTAATCTAGGCCAGGGTTAATCTGACTCTGAAAACCTATATCAGCTGCACTTTATGAGCTGGTTTAGCTCTGTTTCCTCTGAATGATGCGCTGGTTTTCGCTCCATTTGGGCTAAAATATGTCTGAACAGAGCCGAACCCACCCCCACTGCCCCGCCTTCCGCTGCTCGGTGAAGGTCCAGGCAGACTTTGGTCCTCCGGACTATTTGTTTAGGCTTCAGGATTTAAAACATGCACACAGTCAGGTTTCTGCTGGAGAAGATGCAACATGAGGAAAGCCTTTAGTTTAGGTGAGAGTTGTGATGTCTGGTGTTTTAAACCGGACCGACGGAACCACCAGCACGGGCCTCACCGGTTTCTGGGCAACTAATGTGGAAACTATTTAGTTAGAGAGGGCCGCTGGATTCATTCTCCATAAACGGAGGTTTGCTTCCAACACCAAGCAGCCAGAGGGCCTTACGGCTGTCTCGTCTCTCTCCAAAGCTTCTGTCAGCTGCTCAGGTTTGTTGTTCAGCTTTAAACAGAGGTCAAAGGTTAGTCCCGTGTATCATAAAGTGTATAGTTCTGGATGTAAATACCGGCCTGTGTGGTGGTGCGATGGAGAGATGGCTTTGTTGAACTTGACTGTTGGTCACTGATGATAATCTGCAGCATCACACCCATCCCCCCCACAGCCCCATCAGAGTAAATCTATAAAAACACCACCGGACGTTAAGGCTGGGCGATGGGACGAATGAATCGACCATCTGAGGGCTGAGCCGTTACGCTTGTTTTTTACAGGAGGCGATTTGTTTATTTATTTATTTGTTTGTTGTTGACAAATATTTTACATGCTACACACAGAGAACATCGCAGAGGTAACAATCAAGAAAAGATCTCCATCAGCACGTCTGAGCCTTCTCTCACCTCCTCTGCCTCTGGCTGCTGACAGTGCATGTGCAAGCGGCACGCTGAGGAGGGGTTTGGAGAGCGTCTGTGACGCACTCGTCATCGTGCACAACAGCGTGGCGTTGAGTGGAAAGCCTTCTATCTTTCAGAGTCTTGAAGACTTCTGGTTATTTCATGTGGAGAAATGTTTCCTGATTTAAACTTTGGCTGAAGTAGCGCTCATCGTTATTCAGCACCTGCTTCCAGTGCATCAGCAGAGCACGGATCCATCCAGAACATTATTTAAACATCTATGAGTCTGTCGGAGGCCAAAGTCTAGAAGCTCATAACCTCTTCAGCAAGCTCCCTACAGACATCTGATCACACACAAGCTGCAGGTGACCAGCTCAGGTTTACACGGCGCAGGAGGAACGTGCGTTCGAGCCGCAGCAGGTGAAACGTTCCTAATATAAGTGAAATCATTTAGTTGCATTGTTCTAGTTCCTGGGGCATTCTGATCAGCTTGGTTGGACTAAATATTAATTAAAGCGAATGATTATTCATTATTTAAAAAATGAAAGTGACGGGGATTAATGGATCATCTAGCACTTTGAGATTACTTTTGTAATGTAAAGCGCATTATAAATAAAATGTATTATTATTATTATTATTATGTGACCTCTGGCAGCGAGCTGCCTCCTCAGGGTGCGTCCAAACGCAGCAGCCATTCATTCCATCCCCCACTTATAAAAGAGAGAACCCCAGAAGTTTCTGTTCAGAAAGAAACATTTAGCTTAAATAGAAACCACGACAGTGGGCACCACAGGGAAACAAGACGAGGCTTCTCTTTCACATTTTAACCGTGTTTAACACGGGCCGTTTATACGTCACTACCAAACTACAAATACAAAATTCAACTAAAATAAAGCTTTCTCTTCCAACAAACATTTGTGCTGCGCTAGTCTAAAGAAATCTATGTCTTGGGCTTCTTCTGTGTTCGCACATCAGTCCGTGCGCCATGACGTCACATGCACGAATAAATCGTCCGTCGTCCTTTTATGGACTGACGATTGGCGGTGGGAAAAACGATACAAATCGCCCAACCGTGTTGATGTTTGTTCTGCTGGCTTCGCTTCACTCAGGACTGGAGCTTTTTCCTCACAAAAAGGCAACGAACATAATGATGTCACCAGGAAGTGATTTCAGCATCCAGCAGCATTCAGGAATAATCCAGTTTAAAGCGAGAAATCGGAAAAGGTTCTCAGATTTCTGCGTCTTTAGTCCGATTTAAAGCAGCAGGTAAACACTTGGTGTTATAAAGAGGGTATGCTGATACTTACTGGAATAAACGAGTTAATTCAAGCAAATCATCATCGTTGTTGTTGTTGTTGTTATTCTGTGGCATTGGAAAATTGACACCACTGCCCCAAATGAACCCAAATGCAAAATCTGGATTTCTTGGAGTAATACATGACTGGAATATAAACGTTTACTATTTAACTTTGTCTTTATGTTTATTTGCTGAAGTCGGGGTCAGATGTTGATCATTTTAGACGATTAGATCTTTTCTGCAGGGTTTCCAGACCCATCGGGGTTGAATCACCTCCTGACCTCACCAGGTCCGGGATGGCGGTGAAAGCCGAGCCCAGAGACGGTTCCTCTGCAGAAGGAGCTGACATCAGTGATGTAGACGCTGCTCATCTACGCTCGCGCCCGCTACTCTCAGCTTTCCACATCTGGACGTGTTGCTTCTTTGGAGTTAAACTAACAGGAGGAAAACCTAAAGGTAGCCTGAGGGAAGTGCTGGGAAGCTTCCTGTCGGGACACCGTCCACCCTGCAGGGCGTTGCGTGCCGTTTACGAGCAGAGCTTCAAAGTTGCCTCACACACCTCCTCTTATTAAAGGGGAGTCGCTGGATCGGGATCTACAGTCGGCTGTTCTGGCTTTGATGTCAGCAGTAGGAGTCATGAATCGGAACCATCAGAGTTTTGTTTGGACCCGTTGACCAGAGACACTTATAAACCTGTAACAGGTGAGCGTGTCCTCGGAACATCAGTTTTCCATACTTCAGTAGTACTAGTAGTATTGTAGTATTAGAGTGAATCTGTGTAGCTCTGGTTTGTTTGTCTTCATAACGGAAAAGCATCAGATTCCCTGGATCTGACGGGTGGATTGTCTCCTAGTTTCTGGTTGGAACCGGTTCTGGATCACCCCTAGCTTCCCAGGTGACCCAGCACATCCCTGCTAGAGGGGGAAGGTGGTTCCACCAGTCATTTCAGGGAAGAGTCTCAGCTGTCCAGGACATGATGATCAAAGAGCTCCTGGATTTTTGTTCTTGTCCCTCAAAGGCATTTTGCCTCTTATCCAGAAGCCTTTTCCAGTCCTGATCCTGGATCAGAAACAGGAAAAGAATTCCACTTTCCTTTTGCGACGGTTTTCTCTGATCCTGCTGTTGCTCTGTGGGATAAAAACTCCATAAGCGCTGCTGGTTTTCCGGCAGAGACGCGTGTGATCAGCCTGACAGGTGGCTCGGTGTGTCGGAACCACTTGAGTCACTTCGGAGTGAAAACCAGAGCCGGCAGCCTGAACTGATTCAGTCAGGGAACCAGCTCAGTTCTGCAGGAGGCGATGATGCTTCCTGACGGGACTGAAGGCAGGAGGTGTGGGATGATGGGCTTCTCATCACAGCTCATCCCAGATGAAGCTTATCTGGACAATTTGTTCCCCAGACTCCAGCCTGGAAAATCTCGTTGCTCCTTATTAAAAACAATAACTGCTTCTCTGACAGCACATGTGAAAGATGACCCATGTGTGTGTCGCCACCAGCAGCAGCTGCTGTAAATCCCATTTCCTGGTGACCTTCCCAATACACCTCAGCAGATTTCTGTCCAGAGGTGGAGCCCCCACACACTCCTAATCTGCTCTAATCTGCTCCGACGCTGCTCTTTTGTTTGTAAATCTGTCATCAGACTCATTTCCTGATTTTATCTGAAAGTCTAACACAAGATGTCCTGGTGATGCTGGTTAATTCCGGTTGTTGGGTTAGGGTGACGGTTATGAACGCGCCCTTCTGTCAGGTGGAGATACTGGGTCAGACTGGTCAGTGCTGGGATGTAGGGCCAAGAACCAGTAACTCTTATCAGCATGACTCCAGAGCCGCAGCATGAGGTGACCTGTGTGTGTGTGTGTGTGTGTGTGTGTGTGTGTGTGTGTGTGTGTGTGTGTGTGTGTGTGTGTGTGTGTGTGTGTGTGTGTGTGTGTGTGTGTGTGTGTGTGTGTGTGTGTGTGTGTGTGTGTGTGTGTGTGTGTGACAGCCCATGTCTCCCAGTATCTCTGCTGAAGCAGCTGTCCTACTGGGCCGACTCAGTCTCTGAGTCCTCACAGCTGTTTGTGCTGATCCACAACAAAAGAAGCTGCTGGTTCTGGATGTCTGAGCTCTTGTTGGGTTGAACCAAACCGTTCTTCCTGCTCGTTCTGCATGTTCTCATGTGACTGATGCTCCGGTCCCACCCAACACGGTCATCGTAGAACCAGAACATCCATGTTCTCACACCAACTGCTCTTTTTCTGCTGACTGCTTCAGAAACCACTAAACCAAATCAGACTGGATCCTCTCTCTTGTCCGATGATGTGGCTCCGCCGTGCTGCAGCGAGCCTCGCGATTCCGTCTCTTCCCAGCTGATGACATCATGAGCTGTGCAGCCTGCAGTCAGCCTTGTCAGCTTCTTTGGTCTCCTCATTCCCTGTATGGAACTTTAATACCTGGAAGATCATGCACTTCCTGTTTGCTTCAGACTTGATTTGGACCAACCATGAGTCTGATCATTCAGCGTGTCGCTGCTTCAGATATCAGAAGCTCATCAGCCTGATTGACCCACGTAATGCCTAACCAGATGTCTCTGACAACAAGAGACACCAGTACAAAGTCCTGGAATGTCGCTGTTGTTGCAAATCATTCCCAAAGGAATGTCTGCTGGTTTGTCTGCTGGGCTTTGCTCAACCTGAGTCCATCAGCAGTTTTCTGGTTGAGGTTGTTTTCCTTTAAGTGTCAGACGTTTGTGAAGCTTTAGCTCCAGAGTCTTTTATGTATTTTGCCTGTTCTTGTTGTGTTTCTTGTTCAAGCATTTGGCTTTTTTTTGTACAGCACTGTGGTTAGCTGCCATGCTATATAGAAATGGTGCTTTATAAATAAATATGGGATGGTATGGTACTGAAGCCTGAGTAGTTTTATCACCCACCATCATCAAACCTCTGGACCACGTCTAATGAGAGTAAAACTGGTGATTCGATTTAAGATGGTTGCCACGGCTAATCGACAGTAGCTAACTCACAGATGTCTCTAACTCCGTCAACGCCATAATTTCTCATCTTCAGGTGGTCCCGGTCTGGTCTCTGGAATGAGAAGCTTCACAGGCTAACAGCAGTTAGAGGAAAATGTAAGAAATAAAAGGAAAAGCTTTTAATAGGAGAGTTTTCCTGAGTAAAAAGTGTTAAACAGAATATTCCTAGAACCTAAAGCATCTTCTCATGTGAGGTCTGTTCCATCTTTGGTCTGCTCCTCATGCATCCGTTATTGATTACACAGCCTGGAGGACTGGGTCAGCTGATTTTGAGTGTAGAAATCAGAGTTAACGTGTATCTAAATGCTCGAGTCATTTCTGTTTTCCTCCTGATGGATCCGGGTAGATTGCTGCTATCTGGATCTCCTTGTTCTCTGCTGATCTGTTTTTAGTCCTGAGCCTGTGGCCAACGGGACTCATGCACCTCAGCCCCCGACCCATCCCGTGGTTCTCGTCTGACGGGACACGGAGAGTCAGTTCTGCCTAGAGAAAGGGAGAAATGCCCGTGTTATTGTTCAGAAGCTAAAATGAATCGGCCCAGAAAAAGGCTGCAGGGCTAAATATTATTGTTTATTCAGATGAAATCTATGTTCAGGCTGCAGGAGTCTGAACCTGTGTATTTATAGATGTTTTATTGGTACAACAGTCTGAATCATTGAGCAGAAAAAAGCTTTGCAGCACCACATCCAGCATTAAAGCACGGTGGAGAATCAGACATGGTGTGGGGCTGTAACAGGAACCTCAAGGAAAACAGTGACACATGGGACTGAGGAGGAATTCTGACACGTCAGTGAAAGTCATGTTTAATAAAGCTGTTGTCGTGGAGCTGCTGTATTTATCAGATGCGTCTGCAGATACGACGTGTGTGTTCCAACGTTCTTGTCTTCATGGACCAGAGCCCCTAGGGTTGTCCTCATCGCTCCGTTTTCACAGCAGGTAGAAGTGCAGAGGGTCCATCTTCATGACTCTGTGTGTCTAAAGGGTGGAAGACCAAATATAACAAATTTGATGTGTTTGGAGACGACTCGTGGTTTTCAGACCTACGCTCCTTAAGGCAACAATGACTCCAGCAGCTCCAGGGATGAAGGCAGGAATGTTTTTCACTAAGCCTGGAGTTGGTTTAAGTATGTCGTCCCGGCAGAGTCAGGCCATCTCTTGTCCTGAACATCTGGATGAAGCTGAGCCAGACGTCCATCACTGTCCGGGAATCATAACTGCTGTTTTCAAATGCTGCGTTGCACTACTACTACTCATTCACTCACTCACTGTCACTGCATAGGGAGAATGTTAGGAACTGCTGAGATGAGTGGAATTGTCTGGAAGTTTGAAGCTTAACTTTCTAAAATCCTCTCCAGAATTTGGTTTAAAACTTGGGAATCTTCATTTATTTACTTTGGAAAACTACCACAGGGATGTTTCTGCAATGTGGAATTGTGTCTGTGTAAATAATAATAATAATAATAATAATAATAATAACAATAATAATGCATTGAACTTATATAGCGCTTTTCTAGACACCCAAAGACGCTTTCACACACTCTCACATGCACACACTGCTAATGATGGTAAGCTACTTGTAGCCACAGCCGCCCTGGGGAGGTCTGACAGAGGCGAGGCTGCCATTTGGCACCGTCGGCCCCTCTGACCACCACTAACACAGGCAAGTTGGGTGAAGTGTCTTGCCCAAGGACACAACAGCAGGATACCCCTGGCGGGAGCTGGAATCAAACCCATGACCCTCTGATCATGAGGCAACCCGCTCTACCACCTGAGCTACTGCTGCCCCGAATGTTAGAATGAATGAATTAATGAATGTTAGAAGTTGGAATTCTGTTGTATCCCTGAACAGCCTCTGTTCATAGACATAGTGCTTCAGGACTGATGAGCTAACAGCTAGGCTGAAACCATTTTTACACCCACGGTTGTTAACCTGGAATTTTCTGGTTATTACCAAGGTATTCCATTGTAAATTATCATGGAATTCTGTGTTATTCACATACAATTACTTTGTTATTAGCAGTAAAAACCAGTTTGGTAACGGCCCAGTGTCGACGCTTCAGGTTTTTGATCATCTGTTGATGAAAGGGACTTTTGGTTGTTATTTAATAGATTTGTGAGCCTGTTGGGAAGTTTTGTTATCTGGGACTGAGTCCAGTAGGAAGCCACATCATTCCCAGCTGTTGTCCTCAGTCACAACTAAAAGCTGCAGCAGTGCCCCTGTGTCAGTGTGATTCCCTATCATGTGTGTGATGAGATGATTGGTTTTGAGGGAAGAAAACCCTGTAGATTTAACTTGAAGGCTCCATCCCTCCTGACACAGATGTGGTCTGCTGGATATCTCCCCAGCAGCTCTCTCGGTGAGCGTGCACGCGCCTCCTGGTGAGCGAGGTTAGATGTTGGAGAGGTTTGGTTTGATCTAAGAGGAGGCTGCAGCACCGTAACAAACGTGTGTGTGTGTGTGTGTGTGTGTGTGTGTGTGTGTGTGTGTGTGTGTGTGTGTGTGTGTGTGTGTGTGTGTGTGTGTGTGTGTGTGTGTGTGTGTCTGCAGCATTTGAAGAAAACTATAAGTGATATAAACCTGCCTCCACCAGGGGGCAGCAGCGATTTGCCTGTGGACTCGGGTCATAATGATAATCACTCATGGACACGGTTGCTAAAAATTGCACCAAGCTCCAAACAAACAAACATTCAGATGATGCTCATGTGTTGTTTTGTTTTTATTCAGCAGCTGTTGGTCCCTCAGGAAGGCTGATGAAAGAAGTTCAGTCAGTGCCCCGCTCCAGAAACATTAGCGGGTTTCTCTTTCTCTACTCTTAGGACTGGTTATACTCATTATGGCCTGAATGATGAGTAGTAACTTCATTGGTAGTGTTGAAGTCCAGATTAGTAGCTCTTCTTTAGGTTAGGTCTCACAAATTCATGGAGTTCTGCAAGGCTCCATCCTTGGTTCTGCTAAGTTTTACTACGTTCTTTCTTTAATTAACAGATTTCATTGCTGTGCAGATGACTTAAACGTTAACATAATTTTAGGACAACTCTATAAATAATCTTGATTGTTTGTGGTTAGGATTATAGTTAATAACAAATACATTAGCGCCATTTTTTCCCTCTCATATGGAATCTGAAAGTTTTTTTTTTTTTTACTTATTTTAAATATTTTTACCACTGCTTCATTTTATTTTAGCATTTTAGCCCAACAGATCAATGAATGAATGAATGAATGAACACATTGACAATAGTGGATCTTTAAAATCTGTATTCTGGGCCCACTCAGACCTTTACCAGGGTAAATGAAAGTTCCCGTGTTTTCTAAATGTTATTGTCTTCTTCTCAGGTGGCTCTGCTCGGTTTGGACCTCCTATCTGCCTTAGTGACGAGGTTACAGGACAGATTCAGGGCTCAGGTGGGAACAGGTAAGATGAGAAACAGATCAATAATGTTTCTAACTCGTTGATGGACATAAAAAACCACCGATGATAGCAGACTCAGTCGTTTTTGTCTGATTTCAGGACATTTTAGATTTTATCAAATGAACGTATTTCCAGTCTGAGAACTGTCATGTTGCTGTTGATCTACATTTAGATTTCACAGGAACCTTCATAAATAAATGGTTGCTGGTTCACATCCACATGTGTTGTTTTCAGTTCTGCCCAGCCTTATCGATCGATTAGGAGATGCCAAAGACCAAGTTAGAGAACAAGACCAAAGTCTGCTGCTAAAGATCATGGAACAAGCTGCCTCTCCACAGGTACCAACCCTTCTGAGGAACCAGAGCTCTCCGTGTTTCACTCCTGAAATTTAAACCAATTCAGTTTTATTCTGCTGCCTGTGACAGAGAAGATCTCAAATGATCTCAGTTATAATAAAAAAATGGATTTAAAGGAGACATAACATGCTTTTAAGTTATTCCTTTTTACATCTAAGCCATTCAGTTAGGGTCTAAATACAGTGGAACTGCAGTTCTTTGGTCTGATTTCCTCATTATTGTTGCTCTACAGACCCTCATCTACCCCTGTTCTGAGGAGAGTCTGAGAATGAGCCGTTTTTGGGTACTGTCTCTTTAAATCTGGAGAAGGAGCTGCAAACTCCGCCCCCGTCCATAGTGCATACCTACTCTCCTCCCCCAGTCAGACTTTGTAGTTCTACAGGGAAATCATTATGTAGCTTAGCAGAAACTTTATATTAGCATTTTTAAAACATGCGGGAGAGTTGTCCATCAAGCTGTTTCACGGCTGCCAACTGTCTCATGCATTTGTCTGTAGTCACACACACACACACACACACACACACACACACACACACCCGTCACGGCCGACGGAGGGACAAGCGAGCAAGCACGCACACACACACACACACACACACACACACACACACACACACACACACACACACACACACACACACACACACACACACAAGGAATGCTGCTTGCTTATTTATTTCTGTTAAAATTGTTTTAAAAAATGATACAGCTCATTAAAACACCATTAAAAGAATATATTTTATTAAGATCTCTCTCTGTATGTGTGTATATTTATATATATAAGTAGTCTTATTTTATAATGGGTGTCTTAATGGCTGAAGATGGATAAAAAGCAGTTACGTTTTAATTTAAAGGTTTGGGATTCTAGTCACAAATAAAGAACATTTCTCCAAATGTTCTTTAAAGGGGCATTATGGAAGTTTGACAGCCAAAACATGTATAGAAATAATAAATGTCTTCTTCATACATTCTCCTGCAATGCCCTGGTCCTGTAGAATGAGCCCTGGCATTTTTACTGTGATTGCCTGTTTTTCTGTAAAGTCACAGAAAAAGAGAGATGCTCGGGTCGAGCAGGCTGCTTCATGCACGTTCACGCTCAGGCATAGCCCGTAGCATTTGCTATCCGTAGCTTTAGCAGCAGAGAGAGAGGCAGTGCGACTTTGTCGCTGTTCCTAACGCCTAGTGACAAAGCTAGCTACATTTCTGAGACCCTTAGCTACTTTCTGTAGAACTTTCTTCTAGATATTTCCTGCAAATTAGCAACAAAATAGCCATTTTTGCTCCGAACCATTCTTTGAACGTTGTTTCAGCTGTCATCAAGGATAAAAATGTTACAGATACAAACAACGTCACTGGTGCTTTAGCTCACCTAGTAAGACGTCGGACTCTCATGCAGAACACCTGGGTTCGATTCTGGACGTGAACATAGTTTATTCAGAATTTATTTTTTACATTAATGGTATATTTTTTTACAGTAAGATGCCCAAATTTTTATTTGAGACTCGCCGAACGGCATTGAATTCACAGATAAAGAAGATGTGGGTTCAACTTTCATTTTGGAACAATTTTTCAAGCAAGGGCAGGGAATGATCTGAGCATGCAGGAGAACTGACCCATCATAAACCTTTGTCGGCTGTGCTGAAGAGAAAGGTACAGAACCAAATTATTTAATTAATTAGCTGCGTGTTCTCCTGTCCTGTCCTCCAGCCCCCCCCCCCCCCCCCCCCCCCACACACACACACACACACGCGCGCACACACACACACACGCACGGGACTGTCTCAGCTGTTATTTTCGTTAAGGAGTGTGCACGTACAGCATGCGCACCTCGTACACGAGCCTATTATTGAAGCTGCCGTTACGCTTTTGGCCTGAGGGGGTAATCGCAAGCATAAAAATTCAAAACTCTGTAAAGTCCCTTTAATGTGATCATTATAATTCTAATGCTTACGACTTTACGTTTTTATTGTCTGCTATGCGTAGCCTATATCTTTAATAAATGTGTGTTTAGCTGTAACCTTGGTAATTCTAACGAGTACACAAGAGGTTGAAATCAGTGCTGCAGTGAAATTCCCAAGATCGGTCTGCTTTGCTAACAAATCTAGTTAAATCTTACCTGCATTCTAAATAAATACGTTAGGTGAAAGCCAGAAATGGAGGAGAAGCATGCTGCATCATCCTGATCTGAGACTGTGTATTTACCTACAGGATGCAATAAATGTCTACAAGGCTGAGTTTGGACCATTGCATCTAAAAGAAAACATACAATCAGTGATTTTTTAAATTGTTTATATTAATATACAAATTTTCAAAGTATTCACCTCACAGCAAACAAGTAGAACAATATAATAAACAGGCTTTAGTAGTTAAACAGGCGTTGTGCACACAGGTGCTTTGTGTCCCGGTGCTGGTGGTATCTAGGTCTCAGAGTTCCTGTCCTCCTGCCGTCTTCTGTTGTCCTCAGGATACGGATTGATGTTTCCTGATGATGAGGGAGGGGCAGTATGTGGGCTTCAAACTGGTCCTGGATAACAGTGGGAGACCTCCGTTGTCTGAATACTGAGACCAGAGGGTTGGTGAGATGCAGATCTTCTCTACCTCATCTAGAAACGGAGTTAATGGATAAAAAAGTGGGTTTTTCATGTTATGTCTCCTTTAAATAACTGGATTTATGTATCTCTAGTTTCTACGTTAAATGCTGCAACAAGAGAAAAAAAACAAAACTCAAGTCAATAAAAAACTTGTGACAACACACACACACACACACACACACACGTACAGACAAACTAGATTAAACTACGTAGAAATGTTTGATCTTCAGTTCCCACGCTTATATTCTGGCTCGGCTCAGATGCTTCAGGAAGATCATGCTTATGAGGTTTATGGGTTTGTGATCCGAAGCGGTTCTGTTGATTTGGACCAGAACCTGGATCTCTGAGGACGGTTCTGTGTCGTTTCAGTACGTCTGGGACCGGATGTTAGGAGGCTTCAAACATAAAAACAACAGAACCAGAGAAGGAGTGTGCCTTTGTCTCATCACCACACTGAACACGTGAGCAACATCACTTCATCACTCACTCATGGGTTCATCTCCTCTTATATGATGCTAAAAAAATCACATTTTTCTTTTAGACTTTTCTAAAATGAAGTTTTCTGTTTGCAGATATGGAGCTCAAGGCTTGACCTTAAGTAAAATAGTTCCTCATATATGTAACCTGCTGGGAGACCCAACTAGTCAGGTAAATCCCAACCTCCCTTATCCCTAACCATCCTACTGTCTGAACTTCTGTAGCGAATCACACAAGATCCTTCTCCTTGCTTTACTAACTTACTTACTGACACTGGATAAAGTGGCGTGTTTGATGGAGGAAAACCGAGCTACAATGGGTCATCTTAATGAAGACGGCTCATTTTTGTGTCCAGGTTCGAGACGGAGCAATCAGCTGTTTGGTGGAGATCTACAGACACGTGGGAGAGAGGGTGAGGCTGGACCTCAGCAAGAAAGGCATTCCCCAGTCAAGGTAAGGCCTCTGGACACACACACACACACACACACACACACCACTCTTTCTGTGCAGCTCCCCCTGGTGGAGTGTTTACATGCTGTAGCTTTAAGTTTGATGTGTCAAACTTTGTTAATTTCAAAACAATTCATGAAAATCTAGACTAGGACTAAAAGCCTTTTAATCTGTTTTTCTTTGTCAGTTCTTGCTAAAACTTGATCTGATGGCTTCAGTCAGCTGTTTTTAAAGTAAACCTTTGAGTCTTTTATTGGATGTGGGCCGTGCTTCTTCTGACCTAGGTTGTTTTTGAATTTGTGTTGATTTTCTGGAACGTTGTCCTCTCAGCTCTGATCTGATTTTTCTGTAAATAAAACCTGAAACAGCAGAATAAACAGAGAAAATAAATCAGATGTGGTTTCATTTAACAGCTGGACATTTTGGAACAAACCAGGAGCGACGGAACAGAACCGGGTTCTGTCGGGCTGATCCAGTTTCAGTCTGGTGTTTTTGGACATCTTTGTGATATGGTGTAGACATGTCTGTATTTTTCTCTTGTGTTCAGGTTGTTTTTCTGCCTTTTTTCTCTTTTATAGGTTAAATGTAATCTTCAGCAGATTTGATGAAGTCCAAAGATCCGGGAACATGATCCCATCCTCGGGCTCAGGTCAGTCCTGCTCTTTGTTTCCTATCAGATTTGTGATCTTTCTCTGCTAGAATCCGACAAATCTGCAGTTTTTTGCTGAATTTGAGGCGTTTTTGTTGGAGCCGAGTGGATTGTGGCTCTAAGGCTGCTGGTTTGTGTGTTTGGAGCAGCTCAGTGCCTGGTTGTCATGAGCTTCAGGGTGAAACTTCCAGAGTTAAATAGCAGCTTTCTTCATTCAGGCTCTCATTATCACCAGGTTTCTCTCAGCCAGCAGCTTTTCTCCTTCAACTGTTTTCCTTCAGTTTAACACAGGCTTAGGGCTGGGCGATATGGCAAAAATAGAATATCACGATTTTTCCAATATTTTATCACGATTTCGATTTTATCACGATTTTTTATCCATGAATAGCATAACTTCAATTGCGTATTAAAGAAGAGAAACATTGAATAAACAAACATTTATTCATATTAGGGATAATCAGCACAGTGCTAACACACTTATATTTTAAACTCACACCAGAGATGATAAAAGCCCTGAGAGAAACAATTACAAAAATCAGTTTTTCTCGTTTTTCAAGCAACTTAACATAAATTAAAATCGTAAACATATTTAAAGTGCAAACATGTCAATTGCAAACGTATTGTGCAAACATTAACTTGTTCAAAATACTATGTAGCTCCCAGTTGCTCATGTAGTGGATAGTTAAGCTCAAATACGGCTCTGATGTGCGGCTGGACCAGAGATCGCTTGTGGTAGCAAAAAACTGCGCATTCTGAATATTTTCTGCAACAAGTCTCTAAATAAAGTAAAATTTTCCAGTGCAGATTGGAGACAACCCATAGAAGCACTGATTTGATCTCATTTCAGAGAAAAATAGAACAGGTCAGATGCACCTAATAAATAAAATTACTAACAAACTCAGGAATCTTTCTTTGCTTCACTGTTCTGGTGCTGAAAATATCACTAATGCGGATCAAAGGAGATACACAGATGAATGCACCTCTTATTATTTGGAAACGACATTTACTGCAGCTGGCAGAGGCAGAGATTGTTTCTATTGATACACGGATTTACAGAATCATTTTAAATGTTAATAGGGGAAGACTGCAGGAGGGAGCGGTAAAATACAGGGGGTCCCAGCAAAAACAAGAAACTACGAGTCTGATGAAACCCGCTGGTTTTCCATCAGGCAGTCACGGGACAGCTCCAACGACCCAGTGACCGAGCTCAGTCCGGTACCGACACCGGCTCGGCAGAGGGTGGACGAGCCGAGGCGGCGTCGTGCTCTGCTTAAGAAGCGGTGTTATTTTCCTGCTTCAGAAGAAGCGTCCAACGTGTTTTTACGCTTTCTCCGAGACATGTCACGTCACTAAGTTGTTAGCGCCGCGCGCTAAGGAAACCCTGCGTTCCTCTTCGGAACGAAAACCTCGTTGTCGCTCTCAGCCGTGGCCGAAGCCATGTTTGTTCACACACAGGTGAAAACAAGCGGGGCACTAATATATTACTATGACTCACTCTGATTGGTTAAGGGTCAAACAAAGGCGTGTCATTCGCCGGAGGTAAGTTCCATTTTCATTCAGAGGCAGAAATTCAACAGCAGAGCTGTGAATCGTGATAAAACGGTCTCTCAAAAATGACAGACCGTCAGATGTGTAGATCGTAAAACGGTCTAAAATCGTCATATCGCCCAGCCCTACACGGGCTTGAATTTACTTGAAGAGTAAGATTTCTAATCTGGTAACAGTTCTGGTGATTAAAATCTCTGCATAAACTCATTTTATTGAGACAAAATGAATTTGATCACAAACATAAAAAAAAAACCCGGTTGTTCTTTTATTAGAAACAAAAACAGGAGGGTCACATGAGGTCGTTGTACATGCGTGACCCATTCCGGCAGATATTTGGTAGGAAGTTGAGTTTCACAGCTGCTGTGAAATGAACTCCGACTGCAGACGAGGATGTCTGATGTCGGCGTAAACGTCCGACCATTTCAGCGGATCAGAATCAGAACCTCTGATGTCCTGGTGAGATTCTGGTGAAAACATGACAGGAAGGCAGCGCCAAAGCTCTGGTGTCCATGTGTGTTGAGCTGGTCGTCCACTGTGGTTGACACACACACACACACACACACACACACACACACACACACACACCACACCACACCACACCACACCACACCACACACACACACACTCATTAGGCCTGTGATTGTTTTGTGTTTTTAAATGGTAATAATTGTTGTTATTGGTGCGTGCAAATAAAGATTTATATCCATAATCACAGAGAAAACAATTCTGATTGAATTAAAGTAAATTAAATACAGCCAAAAACATTCAGACATCCTATTTCCCAGCTACAGTGAAGGCAGCTTGATGAAGCTGAAAGAAAAAACGATGAATATTTTTTTCTGAGCTGAAAAATGTTCTGCTTCCTCCTGAAAATGTAAACCTCCAGTTGTTTTTTAAAGTGTGACAGACCCATGGTGACAAAAATAAAAGGAAACAGTGACAAACAACCTCTTATCTAGAGACTGCAACAGTGGGAGGGTTTGACAGCGAGGGAGAGGGTGAGGCATTCGGGTGCAGAGTGGAGGGATTGGAGGATGTTCAGATGAAGGGGGGGGGGCCTTTCTGTAGCAGCGTTGGAGGTAAACACTGAGTTAAGAGAGCGATCCGCTGTGTGGCGGCATTTCTGAGAGCAGCTTTGCATCATGACAGCTGGAGAAGGTAAGACGACTTTCCTCTGGAAGCTCAAACTGGATCTCAGATGGAAGAGAGTCACCAGTGAGAGCTCTTATTTAATCAGGCTCCCTGCTGCTTCCTTCTCTTTTGCTGCAAACGGAGCTCTGACTCACGCTCAGCTGGCTTCCTGGAGTGGAGGATTTATTTTACATCCTTTCCCCTTCAGCAGAGGGAACTCAAGGATGATGGGTGTTTTCTGCAGCATCCTGGTGTTCATGTAGATTCACAGGAAGAGACAACAGAAATTAAAGTGAATGTCATGTTCTTCAGCATCCTCGTTTCCAGAGCGGTTACATAAACACTGCAGTTGCTGCAGTTCTGTGTTGAGCTGTTACGGGTCTAAAATGGGTCACCTTCAGCTCCATCAGGTCAGAGTTCAAGTGTTTGGAAGAACACACACCTGCCAGGTAGTGTGTGTGAGGAGATGGGACTGATTTTTAAGGAAACCCTTTGATGTTTCCACAGAGATCCGCCTTCAGATGAAGGCTCAGAGCTCCTCCTGTGTGGAGGAGGATTGTGAGCTGAAGAAGTTATACATGTATATGTATCATATTTTCCGGACTATAAGTGGCACTTTTTTTCATAGTCTGGCTGGTCGTGCGACTTATGTACCAAAGTGATTTATATAACAAATTATGTATGCTGCTGCGGGCCGGCTCCGGTCCAGGTTTCAGCTCCTCTGCCCCGCTGGGAGGGTTTCAAACACCTGCTGGAGGCCGTGGCGCGCTGCTGCTCCCTGACTGTTTACTCTGTTATTGTTACGGGTACTTGTCTTGCAATGTGAAATGCTTGGTCTCAGGTTTTGTTAGAAAAATAATAAAATTTCCCCCCAAAATGTGACTTATATATGTTTTTTTCTTCTTCATTATACATTTTATGGCTGGTGCGACTTTTACTCCAGAAAATACTGTGTGTGTATATATATATTCTTGTTAAAAGGATATTTAAATGGAGGCCATGGTTCCAGACTCATTTTCCATTGTGAAGATAAGTGGATTTGATCACAGATCCACGGAAGCACCCGGGTCTCCTTTTTCCAGTCCTCATAGTCAGTTTTCCCATCAGCCACACTGGTCTGGATCAGTCATCTTGCAGGCTTCCTAGCTGGGTTTCCTGTCCTGTTGGGGTTGTGAGCATGTGCAGATGAAACAAAGAAGACAGAAATGATGAGGGAGAAGTAGGCCAGCGTGGTGAATGATGGGATTGTCTTCGTTCTGCTCTCTGCCAACACAAATGAGAGAGTCGGTTTGTTCTGAGGGGTTAAACGACTTTTTAACAGACTGGAGGGACAGAGGAGGGGTTGTCGCCATGGCAACAAATTGATGCACAAAAGCACTTTAGAGACTGGTGAAAAGACTAATCAGTAAATGTAACAAGCCACATTCTGTTTCTGTCCAGCTGTCTAAATGAGTGCATGATGCTGGACGAGAGATGAGGTGATGCAGGAGAGCCTGGTTAGTAACCTTCCTCTCTCCCTGTTTGGGGCCGTGATCCGACTGGAGCGTTCTGCTCATATGGAGAGTGAATGTTAATCATTTGGCTCACTGGTCAGTTTTTCTAAACCCAGATTTCCTCAGCACCCCCGACTGACTGATTTACCTCCACGTTAAACATTTAGAGGATATTTTTTTCTGCAGAAACTGAATCCAGTGGTTCTCACTTCCGGTCCGCGGGACTTCTTGTCCTGCATGTTTTCCATGTCTCTGCTTCAGCACACCTGGTTTACATGTTTATATTGCCTCCTCAGGACATCAAGTGCTGAAGATGCCCGGTAGCCACTCATTCATTGAAGTCAGGTGTGTGTGGCAGCAGGGAAGCACAGGTGTTTGAAACGTGGACTTGAGAAAGCCAGAGGGTTTATTTTCTGCGTAACCTGCAGCTCGTCTGATTTCTAGATTATTTTAGTTGACATCACCAGTCAGCTGATGGTTTCTGCAGCTTTCTGCTCCAAAGCCAGGATCCTGTTGACATGACTGCTGAGTCATGGATGTGTGTTTAGGCATTCGGACAGCCATTCTGGTGTTTGGTCAGCTGTTTTATTGTGTATAAAACGGTTTTATGACAGATTAGAGCTACAGTTAACTTTATGTTTATTGTCTTTATGCAAATGAGAGGTACTGTAGAGTAATTTGGTTGAAAACTAAAACATATTTTTTTATTTTGTTTATGCGGGCATTTATTTTTATCATGTCGTTTTTAAAGCGGAAACATCAGGAAATTAAGGACATGGAAACTTTAGGTTACTGTCGTAACCCCGGCTCTCTGAGTAGCATGAGTGTCTTACTATGGGAACGCCTAGGCGTGACCTCATCAGAAGCGCTTATTCCACATAGCCAGCCCTGATTGGCTGGAACAAATCTGTCAGCGTGTAGGAGGCGGGAACCCCACCTATATATTAGGCCGGCTCCTCACTGACATTATCCTAAAATGACCGCCTCTTCCTCGCTACGAAATAGCAAGGAGGGCGGTATGGTGAGACTCACTCATGCTACTCAGAGAACCGGGGTTACGACAGTAACCTAAAGTTCTCTTTCATAGCATTCGTTTCGTGTCTCGCTATGGGAAAATACTGACTCCCGGATTGCAAGGCAGGACATGATCGACAGACTGTACTCCCAAATATATCGTGTGCACAGCTCAGACAGTGGGAGCCATACCCAGGCAGCACCGAGTGAGCTAGTGACGGTGTTGTGACATCTAGCTCGTAGAACCGAGTGAATGTGTGAGGGTATGGAGCTAGGATTGGGACAGTATTCAATGTAACTTGTACCAAGTTTTGTAACTTGGAACATGTTTCATGACTTGTAACTTTGGATTCGTAACTTGGAACTTTAGTTTTTTAACTTGTAATTCTCAATTCGTACTTGTGTTTCTTGTTTTGTAACAGTAAATTTTCATTTTGTACATGTATTTTTTATTTTGTAAAATCAAGCTTTTATTTTGTACATTTACTACTCAGTGTGTAACATCAAACATTAATTCAGAAACATGAAACTTTCGTTTTTTACCTAGCAGACTTCCAAAATTAAAAAATCAATGTACAAGTTTGAAATCCAAACTCTCAAACACACATTTCATTCTACAGGTACAAACCTCAAATCTACAGTGTTACAGATCATTTTGTCTCGATTCTAGCGTCGGTGGGAGGAACCAGGGTGGAACCAAGGTGGAACCAGTGAGAGCACGAGTCTTAGCTACCAATCACGTTTCTCGAATTCCAATCAATTTCCCTCTGGGATTAATAAAGTAGTTTTGAATTGAATCAGAAACATTCAAAGGCTGATGAACACATGAAGGTTACCAGAGCTGGGGCACATCTGAGGTCATGAGGAAGCTGATTCCATCTGAGCAGCATAGTAGCTGAAAGCAGCTTCACCCTGTTTGGCTCTGACCCGGTTCTACCAGCTGTTTCCTAAGGATCTCAGAACCCTGCTGGGTGTAGTTACAGGAAGGAGATCCAGCATGTGTTCTGGCCCCATGCCACAGAGTGATTCATAAACTAGTAGAAGCACTTTGAGATGGATTCTGGAGTTTACTGGTAACCAGGTAGAGATTTAAGAACAGGAGTGATGTGCTCGGTTCTCATAGTTCTTGTTAAGATTCTACAAAGACCAGTCAGAGACCATTGCAATAGTCCAGCCTGCTGGAGATGAACACATGAATGAGTTTCTCTAGGTCTTGTCTGGACATGAGACCCCTGAGTCGTGCTATTTGATGCAGATGGTAAAACGCTGATCTAGTTATAGTCTTAATGTAACCAGTGAAGCTCAGGTCTGAACCGGTTATGACACCAAGATTCCTAATCTGAGTCTTTGTTCCTCTGGAGCTGATGTTTGAAGGATATGATCAAATGTTCACTTCCAGAAACACAAGATTGGGTTTCTGATCAAACGTTGGAAGGATTCTTCCCCATATCTTCTGATCCCTCCAGCTTCCTGGTTGGATTTGGGTGTGGTAGCTGTAGCTTTTGCTTTACTCCCGTTTAAAGTGGCGAAAGCTTCTCAGAAGGCTGAGGTGACCTCAGACAACAGGAAGGCTACTCTGGCAGGAGGTTAGGGTTTGCTCTAGTTGTTCCCCTGATAACAGAAAAACAACGCAGGTGTTTGTGTCAGCAACATCAGTGGCTCTGATGTCTGTAATCAATACTTGGAGAAGCAGAATGCAGAACCTTCTGTTTACGTGTTGAAGTTTCTATGAGGAGGAGGTGCAGCTGTACTCTGAGCTCCTCGTGTATGGTGGAGCTCCTCCACTCATATCTAAGGCTCGTCTAGCTGCCCTACTGAGGAAGATTCTTTTAGATCCAGGATCCGGTTCTGTAGGTCCTGACTGTATGTCCCGATGGTGGCTCGCGGGTTAGGAGCTCACCCTGTAACCAGGATCCAAGTGATGGAAGGGCAAGCAGATGCTAACAAAACCACATCTTTAGTTAGAACCAGAGACTCTGAGGTTCCTAAACCCGACCCGGGTTCTCCTGGACCAGGCGGGGTCCAGCTTTGGTCTGAGAATGTAGGAGCAGCTCTGAGGGAACGGAGAGACGGTGATGTTCCCAGTTCTGATTTATAAAGTCTTGATAATAATGAACTTTGGTTTGTTAGGTTTAGAGTTTAAAACCTGTTTACAAACAGTTTTTTGTACCTTTGACCTTTTGGTCTTTACTAGTTTAACATCTTTATGAAGATTCAACTATAAACAGTTATTTTGACAGGTGACCTCATATCAGTAAGCCCTTCCCCCTTCTCATCAGGAGAGTCTTCTGGCAGCGTCAGCACACACACACACACACACACTGGCTGTAGTGAGATAATCAGGCTAGACGGAGCAGCGGAGACATGCTGAGGAAACTGATGTGCCGGAGAATCTGCTCCAGTAAGAAGATGCTGCTGTCTCTCCTCTTCGTCCTCCTCCACCATCTGAAATGTTCTTGTGTCTCTTTCATGTCTCGGTCTTTCTCTCTCCCAACCTGTAGCTCTCGTTCTCCACCTTTCTTTCTCCATCCCTCTGAGTCACGAGGGATCTGGATGCTTGTGTGTTGTTTCTGGTGTGTGACGGTCACTTTGCTGCGGCTGAGTGGGGATGTTTGGGTCGTAAGCAGGTTCTTGTTGGGCTGACTGGAGGTGGAAGCGAGTCTCAGCAGCGTTTCCTCATCCTCCAGCTGGTCCCTGGTGTTACGTCAGGCGGCTGACAGGAACCGTGTATTCGTGCACATATTCAGACCAGATGAAAGTCTGATCGATGGAGCGCGCTGCCTCTGCTCAGAGATGACTCAGACCAGCAGCTTCATCACCGACCAGACCAGAAACCAGAGAATTGTTTTGCCTGCCTTAAAACCTCGCTTCTGTTTTACAGATAAGAACTTTGAGGATGAAGACTCTGTGGATGGAGGCAGGTCCTCCTCGTCCTCGTCCTCCAAAGTGCCCCCTGGTGGACGGAGGACTGTGATGAGCTCTGCTAGAAGACCCAGTTCAGCTTCTTCTACCAAGTCCACAGGTGAGCAGAGAGCTTTATCCTTGTGTCTCCAGCGGTGAAGCTCTTGATCAAACCCAACAAATGTGTTTTTCTTCTCAAAGGTAAAGAAGCGGCTGCTGGAGCTGTCGATGAAGAAGATTTCATGAAAGCCTTTGAAGACGTGCCCTCGGTGCAGGCATGTCCAGCTCTGATCATAAACCCTTCTGCCTTTCTTCCTGCATGATTGCATCACGTTGGTCGATCTTTAAACGTCAGCGCTGTGAACGTTCCTTCTCCTTTTAGTCCACTTCAGTAGCAATTATGGATAAGAGTGAAGTTTAGCATCGGATGTTGTTGCTGTTGGGAGTAAAAGCCAATGTAAGAGGTCAGAAATCAGTAACTCTTCTCTGGTCTCCTTGTCTAGATCTACTCCAACAGAGAGTTGGAGGACCAGCTGACGAAGATCCGAGAGGTTCTGTCTGACGATAAACACGACTGGGAGCACCGGGTGGTCGCGGTGGGACTTTTTCCTCCCAAACAAACATGCTGCTATAATAGTTTCTGATTCCAAAGTGCTGAGTCATTCCTCTCTTCTTCTGCAGCTGAAAAAGGTTCGTTCTCTTATGTTGGCCGGAGCTGCTGAGTATGAAGGTTTCCCTCAGCAGCTGCGCCTCCTGGAGGCCGCATTCAAGCTGTCCGCCAAGGATCTGAGGTCTCAGGTGGTCCGAGAGGCCTGCATCACCCTGGGGTGAGACCGGGATGGTCTAAACACGGTTTTAGACGTTAGTCATGGTGAACAGCTGCATTCTGGGAAAGTTTACGGGTAAAAAGACCAAAGTTTGTTGAAGCTGTCTTAAACTTTGTGGATGATGGAGACGTTCCCTGGAGTGCTGACATTACCTTGGATCTGGAACTAATTGGGTTTAGCTCTGAAAATGCTTAACCAAAGCTGTTTCTCTCCACATGCTTAAGCAAACGAGGACTAGCTAAAACATCCATCATCCAAGTTCCAATAGAACCCTGATGAGGTGGAACCGGGCCGACATTTTTTAAAGAGCAGCGGGTTGATGAATAGATCCGAGCGACACGGATCCTTCCTGCTTTGGAAAGACCGGATGGTGGGAGATTTATGAGCTGGAGTTGGAAGTAATGGATGGACCAGCATGATGGAGACGTAGTCCTCAAGTAGAAAAGGTGTTTAAGAACTCTTAACGTGACCAGAATCGGGTTTGTTATTTATTAAGCTTTTCTATCGTGGTTTAGTGTTCCGGTGCATCAGCTGGTCCCAGAATATCTGAGATAGTTTAATAAAAATATTCCTGTTTCAGCTTCCGGATGTTCTACATGCTTTCTTACACGTATCTGTGTGGGATCGGTTCTGCCTCAGCTGAGTAAGAGGTCCTCTGGACCAGGTGTGTCCCTGATCGTCTCTGTTTGTATCCTAATGACTTCATACTCCAGCCAGATGGAGAAACTTTTCCCATAAGCTCTAGAACCCAACAACACCTGGAGGTTCTGGTTCCTGCTTTCATAAGGTCAGTGGAACCATGACATCTAGACTGAGAGCACGTCTGTACAGGTGGAACGTCTCCATCATCCACACAGTTTAGGACAGCTTCAACAAACTTTGGTCTTTTTATCCGTAAACTTCCCAGAATGCAGCTGATGCTAACGCCTGGAGCTTTAGTCCTGCTGTTATTATAGATAATTGAGATGGTTTTATAATAAACTTTAATCCCACTTTGGTAGAAATAGTTCTGGTAAAGTTTCAGGTGAAATCCCAGGATAAATCTGTGGTACCTTTAATCATAAATTAGATTCTCAGGTGATTATTCTGGCCGTGACGGGAGCTGCACACACCTTCTGTCTCAGGTGATTTCTGACCCCGTTCTGTCCTCCTGTCCGTCAGACACCTGTCCTCGCTGCTGCGGAACAAGTTCGACCACGGAGCGGAGAGCGTCATGCCCACTCTGCTGAACCTCGTGCCCAACAGTGCCAAAGTCATGGCCACATCAGGAATGGCTGCTATTCGCCTCATTCTCAGGGTGAGACGTCCCTGAACACGTCCACAGCTGCTTTGCTGTTGGAGCGGACTTGATCAAAGATGGCCGCCACAGCTGTTCCTTATTAGCAAATGTGTCTAGCTCATTTCTAACTTCTCTCCTGTTCCTGTGTTCCAGCACACACACTACCCCCGCCTCATCCCCATCATCACCAGTAACTGCACCTCCAAATCAGTGGCAGTCAGACGGTAAGACTTCCTCAGGACTTTATTCCGCCCAGTAAAACCTCAGCTCTGGTTTCCATAGAAACGCTCATTTGTTCACATTGCTTTCTCTACTCCCATGTTCTGGTTTGTACTCTGGAAGTATGGGGTACCAGGCCCTCTGATACGAGCTGTTAGGTCCCTGTATGACCGGTGTCAGAGCTTGGTCCGCATTGCCAGCAGTAAGTCGAGGTTGTTCCCAGTGAGAGTTGGACTCCACCAAGGCTGCCCCTTGTCACTGATTCTGTTCTTTTTTTTTTCCTAAACAACCAATGATGAACAAGAGTCTGCTTCTAGACCTGCAGAAAGAGAAAAACAACACACAACAATACAACAAGAGCAAGCTATCACTGCGTCAACCTGATGAGGAAATATAAAATCAACATTGTTTAACTGAACAATCACACGATAATAAATCACAATGCATTTAGTGCCAACCACAGCCTTAAGACATGTGTTGAACGTGCCCAAGCCCATACTTATGAGAGCACCATGTGAGCACCTGTCTGTGTACACACGCTTGTTTATGTAAGGTTTCTCTATAGGAGCGTCCAATAGGGAGTGTGAGGGGCCACAGACGGATGGAGGGAGCTCCAAGTCCCAGAGATCCAGGAGCTGCCCCAGAGCACAGGGACCCCAGGGAGACTGTAACCAGAAAGGCCCCCGCCCCCCTCGAGAGGCGATTGCCCCGGGGGGGCACAACCAGCAGCCGGCAGAGTCCCGGGAGACATCAGCGGCAAGCCCTCAGGCCCGCCTGCAGCCTATTCATAACTTCTATAGACAGGATTTCTTGGTGCAGACAAGGTGTTGAGGGGTTCGTTTTGGTGGCCTGAGGATCAGGTCTCTGCTTTTTGCAGATGATGTGGTCCTGTTGGTTTCATCAGAACGTGATCTCCAACTCTCAGTGGAGCGGTTCGCAGCCGAGTGAAGCAGCTGGGATGAGAATCAGCTCCTCTAAATTTGAGACCATGGTCTTGAGTCAGAAAAGGGTTGAATGCCTTCTCCGGGTCAGGGATGACGTTCTGCTACAATTGAAGGAAAGATAGCTCTGGAAATGGATAGGTGGATTGGTGCTGCATCTGCAGTGATGCGGGCGTTGTACCGGTCTGTCGTGGTGAAGAGAGAGCTGAGCCAGAAGGTGAAGTTCTCGATTTACCGGTCGATCTACGTTCCTACCCTCACCTATGGTCATGAGCTTTGGGTAGTGACCGAAAGAACGAGATCACCGTTACAAGCGACTGAAATGAGTTTTCTTCGCAGGATGTCTGAGCTCTCCCTTAGAGATAGGGTGAGAAGCTCGGTCATCCGGGAGGGGCTCGGAGTAGATCTGCTGCTCCTCCACGTCGAGAGAAGCCAGTTAAGGTGGCTCGGGTATCTTGTCAGGATGCTTCCTGGACCCTCCCCCATGAGGTTTTCTGAGCACGTCCAACCAGGAGGAGGCCCAAAGGTAGACCCAGGACAAGCTGGAGGGACTACGTCTCTCAGCTAGACAGGGAACACCTTGGGATTCCCCCGGAGGAGCTGGAGAGAGGGAAGTCTGGGCTACTGCCCCCATGACCCGGCTCTGGATAAGTGGATGAGAACGGATGGATGGAATACTGTTTGGAACATTCCACAAACAGCTGCAGCCCAGTTAGGTAAAGAGGAGGTTTTCCTAAGTGTTGATGTTTGTTCTCTTCCTCCAGACGCTGTTATGAGTTCCTCGATCTGATGCTGCAGGAGTGGCAAACAAACACACTGGAGAGGTGAGTTCTGCGTGTGTGTGATTGTGTGTAAATGTGTGTGTTCTTTACGTGTGTGTGTGGGTAGTCTTGGCATTTGAGCCAGCTGAGCATCGGCTCGCTGAGCTCCTGATGAGGCTCGTTTAATTTATGAGACCTGCCAGGGTCTTCATCATGGAGGCGACCTCCTTCTCTTCCTGTAACCATGACAACAGGAGCAGGGGCTTTAAAAAGCGTGAGGAAGTCCCAGCCGGGGACCACATTCCCTGTGGATCACTGCAGGAGTAAAAGTGGGAAAGGGAAAGGAGAGCTAGAGGGATCTGAGGGTATTCCTTAGCCTTTGGGATCTCCTCACCATGTTCCCGTATTATCCCAGACACGTCGCCGTTCTGACAGAGACCATCAAGAAAGGGATCCATGATGCTGACTCCGAGGCCCGATCCATCGCCAGAAAGTACGTTCATCTCCATTTGGAATGCATCTAACTTCCTGTTTTTAGAAGGTTTGGCTCAGCTGCTCTCCCTGTTCCAGGTGCTACTGGGGTTTTCATGGTCACTACAGCCGGGAGGCGGAGCATCTGTTCCAGGCGCTGGAGTCCACCTATCAGAAGGCTCTGCAGTCGTACCTGAAGAGTTCGGACAGCATTGTGTCTCTGCCTCAGTCGGATCGCTCGTCTTCGTCCTCACAGGAGAGTCTAAAGTAGGAAGAGTCCAGCTTTCCCTCCGCTGGTTTTCAGCTCTGACAGTTTTCCTCTTTATTCCACTTTCTGGAATTCTAAATCCCTGCTTCTGGGTCTGATGTTTAGACCAGAGTAGATCACATTAAAGCTCTGCGATTGGCCCATTAAGTGTTTAATAGAGAATGTAGCTTTTTATATTTGTAATATTTTTATTATGTGACTGTAATGAATGCGTTCTTCGTTCCAGCCGACCGTTACCGGTGAAGAGCGTCATCAGCGGGAGCATAACCAGAAGTAAGTGTCTGCCTCATGGAGGGATGGCGTATGAACTCCTGCATATTAATGACATCAGGAGTTGGGAGGAAACAGAAGAGGAATGTTACCCAGCAGCAGTCTGGTTGATTTGTGCTCTGCTCCAGGTAAACTGGTGGGTACCAGGGTCTCCACAACACCGGGCTCTCTCCAGCGCTCCCGCAGTGACATCGACGTGAACGCCGCCTCCAGTGCCAAGTCGCGCCTGTCCACTGTCCCCGCCTCCTCGCCCTTCAGCTCCGCGTCCACCCTCCCTCCGGGGTCGTACGCCTCGTTAGGTAAGCGTCCGTCGTCTCCTGCAGCAGGAAAATAACCCGATGGGAAAGATAAAATGTTGCTGCAGAGCTGGTTCACATTCATGTTTTCATCATAAAATTAGAATTTTACTCATGTCTCATCATCTGTGCTGTGTTCTGAAGATGAACGTGTGATCGCTTGTTGAAGTTTTTAACTTTAATGTCAGCTCTTCCTCCTGTTTCTGTTTTCTTCTGGATCTTAATACCCCGCAGCAACGAGCCCTCAACTAATACACTCACAATACTTCATTATTAGTATTATTGTTATTAACTTAATGAGGGGGTAACGGTAAGCGTAAGGTCTGCGTGAAAAACGTTTTATTTTATCTTTATCAGCTATGTGACGACGTCTCCATTTATTAACGAGCTATCCCAGGAACTCTCCAGCTTCCAGAAGAATCCAGGTTACGGCTGTTGTTGGTGCATCAGGAAATAAAAAGCTGATCACGAGGATCAGGAACGGCTGCAGGAGGGAGCGTTTTATCCCAGAGACGGTCCTCTCCTGTAATCAGTGGCTTTTATGGCTCTGACAGCGATTATTAATCCTGATGCTGGAACTAGAGCGTTCCGTCAACAGGAACTTGTTTAACAAACAGAGCTGATATGTGTGTGTGTGTGTGTAAGCTAACGTTTTCACATCTAGAGACCGTCTCCATCCTGTTTTCCCCTCTCCAGAGAATTAATAATAATATCTGCTAACTTCTGCACTCTCCTTCCACTCTGCTGCATTGATTCACTAAACTGTCCTAAAGATGGCACTGCTGGTAAAAGTGATGGTAAGAGTTGTGTGTCTGTGTGGAGATTTCCTGGTCTTACATGTCTCCATCTGTCTCCTCTTCTCTCCTAACTAATGGTCAGTGATGTGCATGGACTGTCTGCATGGACCTCCTCATCATCTCCGTTCCTCAGATCCAGCCCTGCTGTGGGATCTTCCCTACATGCGTGTGTTTAGCAGGAATGTTCGTACATGTTTGTCTTCGGCTCTGACACGTCTCTTTTCTCCATGTTTTTCCTTCCCAGAAGCCAGAGTCTTTAATATTTAGCATCCTCTGCCAAAAGGTGGGCGATGATGTTTTTACCTGTGTGTGACGTAACGTGGCAGCCGTATGACATCAGAAGACACGAGCGCGTCCCTGACTCAGTGGGTTTTGTAGACAGAAGAGCCGGTCACGCCCTGATACCAGCAGGAAACAGAGCTGGACCTCACGCTGTTATAATGAAGTTATGATGTAACTGTTATGTTATCTCAGCGCTTATGCAGAGCCCTAAATCAACTCTCTGCTCCCCTCGCGTCTGCATGTGGATGTTCGCTAACGCCAGCGTATCGGGGACAGACGTTGTGCTGTAAACCTTGTGTTGGTGATGAAAGTGGTGCAGCTGCAGCCTCCGGTCTCCATAACGACAGGATTTAAATATCTGATTCTAAAGATGACTCTAATTAAATCTTCTCCTGACTTTCTGAAGGTTCAGAGGGCTGTGTCCAACAGTAACCAGTTGTAGAATTAGTTATGGTTAGTTGCTGAGTGTAATCCTGATCTTAAACTCATCACTGACTGCTTCCTTTCCAGCTGGAGCTGATTTATCTTTGGCCGGGTTATTTTTTTTCACTGCCGCCTTTTTCCCCGAGCGATTCTTGACCTGTAAGGTGTCCCTGACCGTAGATGTTGTGAGCTGATCGTCTCACCTGTCTGTAAAATCCGTGTTTTATTACCGAACACATCTTATGAGCCGTGAAAACGCTCTGCTCTGAATCAGTGTGCAGCTTTTCTCCTTCGGTTGTTGTAGAGGAGATGCTTCTGTGAGTCTGAGGGTGCAGCTGGCGATGAACTTTGACCTGCACTGATTGGGAGGCTCCTGTTTTGTGCATTAAGACATAAAATCACTGATGGAGTTACCTGCAGCCACTGCTTCAAACACCTGGTTACCACAAGCAGTCTGACAGTTTTATTATCAAAGAAAGAAAACAATCTTTTCTAAAGCACTTCACAGCCTAACCCTTCACAAAAACAACGTCAACTTTCCATTTATTCCTTCAAACGGATACAAATCTTTGTTCCAGTGTTTCTAAACAGAACAAAGCTTTTCTTTGTAAATGGATGAAATGTAACTTTATGGTTCAGTAACTTGTAACTGATATTTAAACGTAAAAGTATTTTTAAACTTAACTTTTTCTTTGTTTTGTCACTTTAACTTGTCAGAGTTTCTAAATGAAAGTGTGTACTTGTGTGTAAGTAGTCCCTGTTTTCACTGTCCTTGTGTCTCTGTCTTTTAAAGGACGTTGTCCCCTTGTCCAGGTCTCTCTTGTCCTTTTCCAGCCTCCCCATGCAGAGTTAAGGTGAAAACAGATTTCTGTTCTTTAATTCTGTGTTCTCTCTGGGTTTGTCGTGCAGGTCGTGTTCGTACTAGAAGACAAAGCTCAGGCAGTGTGGGCGGGGCCAGTCCGTCTGTGGTGGACAGCAGGGGGCGGAGTCGAGCCAAAGTGGTGTCCCAGTCCCAGCGTATGTACTCACGTCTTCCTCCTGAGTAATCTGAGTCTTCTTCTCATCCTGTCACGCTCGTTTCATCTCTGAAAAACAAACTGTTTTTCTGTTGGTTTACAGAATTGATCAGCATTTAGTAAAATGATCTTTGTTGTTGTGCCTCCATGCATGCACACAGCTCCTCCATATGTGTGTGTTTTAGTGTTATTGTTGTTACGGGATCTCTGATCCATCTCCAGCATAACCAACATGTCCACAGAGACCCAGAGTGCATACTGGGTTAAACAACCTAAACTCATTTTGACCGTTGTCCACCTTGTCCCACCTATTGCTTCCATCATCCAGGATCCAGATCAGCCAATCCCATCAGTGGTAAGGCCTCAGCTTGATCCAATCACAAGCCAGACGCCTCATCAGTCAGAACCCAAACACCCCAGAACTCTGCATGTGCTTCTCTTCCTGTAGCTTCTAGCTTCACCGAGTTCACCGCTGCATCTAGATGTCTGTTTCCTGTCGGGCTTTTATTTTGGTATTTGTTTCTGTGTTGTGTCACAGTAAAAGTCTTCCCCAGCACAGTTAGGACACACCCACTCTGCCACTGGGTTGATAGTTGAGTCCGTTGAGCTGCAGCAGTCTGACAGAACATTTGAGTTTTCTCCCCAACGCTGCTGATCGTGTGTTGGATCTGTTGTGCTCTTCCCAACAGCTGGGAGTCGATCCAGTTCTCCAGGGAAGCTGCTGGGAAGCGGCTACGGTCGGATCCCCCGAGCCACGGTGTCTGTCTCCAACACGCCCACAGACAAACGCAGCAGAATTCCACGGAGCCAGGGCTGCAGCCGGGAGACCAGTCCCAACCGCCTGGGCCTGGGTAAGACCGGAAGGCCTGCCGTGTTCAGGAAGTTCCTGGACTTTAGGAAACTTACGGCACCATTTTATTTATTGAGCGCTTTCAACACATCCTTGTGGCTGACCAACGCGCTGCACAATTAAAAACAATCAGCTAAATTATAAAGTACAGTTAAAAAGAAGAACTAAAACTAAACAGGCAATTACACAATGAAATTCAAAAATATAGGCAATACAATGAAAGGGAGAAAAACTTTTGGGCTTAGTACTAAAACCAGGTTTATAAAAAAACAAACGACTAAAAACCTCAAAATATACAGAAGTATCATTGGGATGGAGGTAAACCAATGGACGTGATGCTGAAACCAGATTTAAAAGGGAAAATCCAAGGAGAAAAGGTGCGTTTTCAGTCTAGATTAAAAGGCCGAACGTGGAGGGGCAGAGTTCCATCGTTTTGGTCCACATACAGAGAAGGTCCTTTCACCGCGGGACTTCCAAGTGTGCCTCAGGAACCGTGAGGAGGAGCTGATCATCAGACCTCAGGGCACGAGGAGGGTGGTAGCGGTGGAGCGGGATCGGAGAATTGGTGTAATGTGATATCTTCTGTTGGCTCCAGTCAAGAACCTTGCTGCTGCTTTCTGAACCAGCTGCAGTCTGGACAGAGCTGCTTTGCTAATGCCATAAAGGCAGGAGTTAGAATTGTCGATCCGGTGTCGGTACCGTACCGGTTCGGGGTCCTGCAGCTGCCAAAGACGTCACAGTTGATGATTGGCTGAACGTAAGACTTGCGGAAGTTACAATACCACGTTCGTAAAAATTACGTTAGTGCGTTGACAATGAAGTCTTAGCAGTTGTAGTCCTAGCGGGTGTAGTCCTAGCGGTTGTAGTCCTAGTGGGTGTAGTCTTACCGGGTGTAGTCCTAGCGGGTGTAGTCTTACCGGTTGTAGTCCTAGTGGTTGAAGTCATAGCGGGTGTAGTATTAGCGGTTGCAGTCCTAACGGTTGTAGTCCTAGCGGGTGTAGTCCTAGAGGGTGTAGTCCTAGTGGGTGCAGTCTTAACGCTCGTAGTCCTAGCGGGTGTAGTCTTAGCAGATGTAGTCTTAGCGGTTGTAGTCCTAGCGGGTGTAGTCTTACCGGGTGTAGTCCTAGCGGTTGTAGTCCTAGCGGGTGTAGTCTTACCGGTTGTAGTCCTAGTGGGTGTAGTATTAGCGGTTGCAGTCCTAGCGGTTGTAGTCCTTGCAGGTGTAGTCCTAGAGGGTGTAGTCCTAGTGGGTGTAGTCCTAGCGGGTGTAGTCCTAGTGGGTGCAGTCTTAAGGCACGTAGTCCTAGCGGGTGTAGTCTTAGCAGATGTAGTCTTAGCGGTTGTAGTCCTAGCGGGTTTAGTCTTAGCGGTTGTAGTCCTAGCGGGTGTAATCTTAGCGGTTGTAGTCCTAGCGGGTGTAGTCCTAGCAGTTGTAGTCGTAGCGGGTGTAATCTTAGCGGTTGTAGTCCTAGCGGGTGTAATCTTAGCGGTTGTAGACCTAGCGGGTGTGGTCTTAGTGGTTGTAGTTTTAGCGGTTGTAGTCCTAGCGGGTGTAGTCCTAGGGGGTGTAATCTTAGCTGTTGTAGTCCTAGCGGGTGTAGTCTTAGGGGTTGTAGTCTTAGCGGGTGTAGTCCTAGCGGGTGTAATCTTAGTTGTTGTAGTCCTAGCGGGTGTAATCTTAGCGGTTGTAGTCCTAGCAGGTGTAATCTTAGCGGTTGTAGACCTAGCGGGTGTGGTCTTAGCGGTTGTAGTTTTAGTGGTTGTAGTCCTAGCGGGTGTAATCTTAGCTGTTGTAGTCCTAACGGGTGTAGTCTTAGCGGGTGTAGTCTTACCGGGTGTAGTCCTAGCGGTTGTAGTCCTAGCGGGTGTAGTCTTACCGGTTGTAGTCCTAGTGGTTGTAGTCATAGCGGGTGTAGTATTAGCGGTTGCAGTCCTAGCGGTTGTAGTCCTTGCAGGTGTAGTCCTAGAGGGTGTAGTCCTAGTGGGTGTAGTCCTAGCGGGTGTAGTCCTAATGGGTGCAGTCTTAACGCTCGTACTCCTAGCGGGTGTAGTCTTAGCAGATGTAGTCTTAGCGGTTATAGGCCTAGCGGGTGTAGTCTTAGCGGTTGTAGTCCTAGCGGGTGTAATCTTAGCGGTTGTAGTCCTAGCGGGTGTAGTCCTAGCAGTTGTAGTCCTAAAGGGTGTAATCTTAGCGGTTGTAGTCCTAGTGGGTGTAATCTTAGCGGTTGTAGACCTAGCGGGTGTGGTCTTAGCGGTTGTAGTTTTAGCAGTTGTAGTCCTAGCGGGTGTGGTCCTAGTGGGTGTAATCTTAGCTGTTGTAGTCCTAGCGGGTGTAGTCTTAGCGGTTGTAGTCTTAGCGGGTGTAGTCCTAGCAGGTGTAATCTTAGCAGTTGTAGTCCTAGTGGTTGTAGTCCTAGCAGGTGTGGTCATAGAGGGTGCAGTCTTAATGCTCGTAGTCCTAGCGGGTGTAGTCTTAGCGGATGTAGTCTTTGTGGTTGTAGTCCTAGTGGGTGTAGTCTTACCGGTTGTAGTCCTAGCGGGTGTATTCTTAGCGGTTGTAGTCCTAGCAGGTGTAGTCCTAGCGGTTGTAATCTTAGCGGTTGTAGTCCTAGCCGGTGTAATCTTAGCGGTTGTAGTCCTAGCGGGTGTATTCTTAGCGGTTGTAGTCTTAGCGGGTGTAGTCTTAGCAGTTGTAGTCTTACCGGTTGTAGTCCTAGGGGGTGTAATCATAGCGGTTGTAGTCCTAGCGGGTGTAGTCCTAGCATGTGTAATCTTAGCGGTTGTAGTCCTAGCGGGTGTAATCTTAGCAGTTGTAGTCCTAGCGAGTGTATTCGTAGCGGGCGTAGTCTTAGCGGTTGTAGTCCTAGCGGGTGTAATCTTAGCAGTTGTAGTCCTAGAGGGTGTAGTCCTAGCGGGTGTAATCTTAGCTGTTGTAGTCCTAGCGGGTGTAGTCTTAGCGGGTGTAGTCCTAGCGGGTGTAGTCTTAGCGGTTGTAGTCTTAGCGGTTGTAGTCCTAGCGGGTGTAGTCTTAGCGGTTGTAGTCTTACCGGTTGTAGTCCTAGCGGGTGTAGTCCTAGCAGGTGTAATATTAGCAGTTGTAGTCCTAGCGGGTGTAGTCCTAGCAGGTGTAATGTTAGCGGTTGTAGTCCTAGTGCGTGTAGTCCTGGCAGGTGTAATATTAGCGGTTGTAGTCCTAGCGGGTGTAGTCCTGGCGGGTGTAATCTTAGCAGTTGTAGTCCTAGCGGGTGTAGTCCTAGCGGTTGTAGTCCTAGCAGGTGTAGTCTTAGCGGTTGTAGGCCTAGCGGGTGTAATCTTAGCGGTTGTAGTCTTAGCGGTTGTAGTCCTAGTGGGTGTAGTCTTAGTGTTTGTAGTCCTAGCGGTTGTAGTCCTAGCGGGTGTAATCTTAGCGGTTGTAGTCCTAGTGGGTGTAGTCTTAACGCTCGTAGTCCTAGCGGGTGTAGTCTTAGCGGGTTTAGTCTTAGCGGTTGTAATCCTAGCGGGTGTAGTCTTACCGGTTGTAGTCCTAGCGGGTGTAGTCCTGTCGGGTGTAATCTTAGTGGTTGTAGTCCTAGCGGGTGTAATCTTAGCGGTTGTAGTCGTAGCGGGTTTAGTCTTAGCGGTTGTAGTCCTAGCGGGTGTAGTCTTACCGGTTGTAGTCCTAGCGGGTGTAATCTTAGCGGTTGTAGTCCTAGCAGGTGTAATCTTAGCGGGTGTAATCTTAGCAGTTGTAGTCTTAGCGGGTTTAGTCTTAGCGGTTGTAGTCCTAGCGGGTGTAGTCTTACCGGTTGTAGTCCTAGCGGGTGTAATCTTAGCGGTTGTAGTCCTTGCGGGTGTAATCTTAGCGGTTGTAGTCTTAGCGGGTGTAGTCTTACCGGTTGTAGTCCTAGCGGGTGTAATCTTAGCGTTTGTAGTCCTAGCGGTTGTAGTCCTAGCGGGTGTAATCTTAGCGGTTGTAGTCCTAGCGGGTGTAGTCTTAGCGGTTGTAGTTCTAGCGGGTGTTAGTCTTAGCGGTTGTAGTCCTAGCGGGTGTAGTCTTAGCAGTTGTAGCATTAGCGGGTGTAGTCTTAGTGGTTGTAGTCCTAGCGGGTGTAGTCCTAGCGGGTGTAGTCTTAGCAGTTGTAGCATTAGCGGGTGTAGTCTTAGTGGTTGTAGTCCTGTAGCCCACAAATCAACACTTTTCAGAGTAAATGTTTTCATTTCCAAAGGAAATGTAAATTAAAAGCAACGAGAGCAACTGATAAATGGTGACCCTCAAAAGCTCTTGGTTTTGATGACATGGGGCAAAATGAAGTATAAGAACTTTATTGACAAGACAGCAAGCAGCATTTTTAATTAATTAATTAATTAATTAATTAATTGACATAACAACTAAGAAATACACAGACCTGTTTTGTGTTTTGGCCGTCTGATGTTTGTGTAGTTTCACATTCTTTACAATGATAATACGGTGTTTTATTAGCAAGTGACATTTAGGTGTAACAAACAAGAATTTATCAACAAAACTGCTGATGTCTTTCCTAAACGTACGTGTGAAAGCCGAGTGGATTGGCCGTAATGTGACGTCATCAGCAGACGCAGGACCCCGAGCCGATCTGGTACCAACACCGGCATGTAATAATGGCGTAGACCACAGATTGTAGATGGCGTTTACTCAGAATAGGCCTGAGTTTGGAAATGCGCCTGAGGTGGTATAAACAGGGTGTTACTGTGCTGTTAACCTGAGCGTCCATCTTTAAGGCCGTGTCCATTTTCACTCCCAAGGTTGGAAACAGTCAAGGTCACATGAGAAGTGAGAGAGAGGAGGTCAGGTGAGGAAGCAGCTGTTTCCAGCCTGAAAACAATTATCTCAGATTTGGAGTCGTTTAAATGGAGAACGTTTTCAGCCAGTCACTCTTTAATGTTTAGAAGGCAGTAAAGCTTCTGAGAACCTTCTGGACACCCACATCTTACATGTCTTTACTTTATTAATCCACCAGGTGTGTAAATAACACACATGGACATTTATGTTGTTCTCTGAAGATCTGTTGTTGGTTTTCTTCTTCTACCCACCAAACGTACTTTATTAAGTTCAGGTTCTCCGTTTATCCTGATGGAAAATACTTTTTGTTTGACTTTAATAAGGAACAAACCCAGAAGAGTTCTGTGTTTGTGACGTTCTCCAACCCTGAGCCACTTTCTAATATTTACCAGCAGATTGTCTGTTTGTCTAACACCTAACTCTAACTCGGCTTCATCACTTTTGCTCATATTTGAGCAGAATTGTTATTTGGGCTGTTTCCATTTTGGCTGATGGCTCACTGGGCGACCAGCAGAGAAAAAAATGAGCCTAAAATGTTGGAAATCCACTAATTTGGCTCATTTCTGACTGCAGCTTTTATATCTGACCAGGTCATGTGGGGCACAGGATGTAATTGCAAACAAAACTTTTTGTTGCAGTTTAATCAGAAAGTGTCAGAAACTAACGTTAGCATTAGCCTGCAGCTCCTGTTGGTTCCAGACTCAGGATTTTAGAGTTCTCGTGACTAATCTGTAATAATCTCCTCTCTGTGCTCGCCCCCTCACCCTCTGCTGAATGCACGCTGATGTTCACACCTAACCTGTTGTCCTGACAGCCAGCCTGTGTGGTAAAGCTCTTCTTCCTGCTGCTCTTTCCTACCGCACGCTAGCCCGGAGCCGCATTCCCCGTCCCAGCATGAGTCAGGGTTGCAGCCGCGACACGAGTCGCGAGAGCAGCCGTGACACCAGCCCTGCTCGGGGCTTCGCTCCTCTGGGTGAGTACGGCCGAGAAGACGGCTGAGATAGCTCTCTCTCCCAGCGAGCTCCTGGACTGGAACATCTGTACGAGAAGCCGACATCTAATGTAGCTTCTGTCCTTCACTGTGCAGCCATGGGGGAAGTAGCACACTCTTTTTGTTTTAAGGTTCTTACAAGTCAAGACTCATTAAAGAAATGTCCTACACTCACTGGCCACTTTATTGGGTACACCTTGCTAGTACTGGGTTGGACCCCCTTCAGAACTGCCCTAATCCTTTGTGGCATAGATTCAACAAGCTACTGGAAACATTCCTCAGAGATCTTGGTCCATATTGACATGACAGCATCACGCAGTTGCTGCAGATGTGTCGGCTGCACATCCACGATGTGAATCTCCCTTTCACCACATCCCAAAGGTGCTCTATTGGACTGAGATATGATGACTGTGGAGGCCGTTGAGAACAGTGAACTCGTTGGCATGTTCAAGAAACCAGTCTGAGATGATTCCAGCTTTATGACATGGAGCATTATCCTGCTGGAAGTAGCCATCAGAAGATGGTACACTGTGGTCACAAAGGGATGGACATGGTCAGCAACGATACTCCGGTATGCTGTGGCGTTACAATGATGGTCAATTAGTACTAAGAGGCCCAAAGTGGGCTACGAAGATGTCCCCCACAGTATCACACCACCATCAGCCTGAACCGTTGGTACAAGACGGGATGGATCCATGCTTTCATGCTGATGCTAAATTCTGACCCTACCATCCAGATGTCGCAGCAGAAATCAAAAAACTCATCAGAGCAGGCAACGTTTTTCTAATCTTCTATTGTCCAGGGTTTGGTGAGCCTGTGTGAACTGTAGCCTCAGTTTCCTGTTCTTAGATGACAGGAGTGGTACCCGGTGTGGTCTTCTGCTGCTGCAGCCCATCTGTCTCAAGGTTCGACGTGTTGTGTGTTCAGAGATGCTCTTCTGCATACCTTGGTTGTAACGAGTGGGTGTTTGAGTTACTGTTGCCTTTCCATCAGCTCCAACCATTTTGGCCATTCTCCTCTGACCTCTGGCGTCAACAAGACCTTTTCTCCCACAGAACTGCTGCTCACTGGAGGTTTTCCCTTTTTCGGACCATTCTCTGTAAACCCTAGAGATGGTTGTGCGTGACAATCCAAGGAGATCAGCAGTTTCTGAAATGCTCAGACCAGACCAACTGGCACCAACTACCATGCCATGTTTACAGTCACTTAAATCACCTTTCTTCCCCGTTCTGTAGCTCGGTTTGAACTGCAGTGGATCGTCTGGACCGTGTCAACATGCCTAAATGCAGTGAGTTGCCGCCATGTGATTGGCCGATTAAGTTGCTTTAACGAGCAGTTGGACAGGTGTACCCAATAAAGTGGCCAGTGTGTATAAATGAACTGGGTTATTCAGGATCAGGAGCATGGACGTCATTTTCGCTTTAGAAGTGGGGGGGACACAGGGAGTGTGTGTGTGTGTGTGTGTGTGGGGGGGGGGGGGGATCTTTACAATATGCTCTAATGGGAACAGGCTTCAACTCAAATGGTTGTTTTCCACTTGGTGCTAGAGCTCAACCAGTGTCAATTTAATATAGTGTAATATTGTTTTTGGATGGTAAAAAGTGCAGGGGTCAAAACTTGACTTTGGAAAAAGTGGGGGGGACATGTCCCCCCTGTCCCCCCCCAAAATTACGTCCATGATCAGGAGTAACAGGAGATCTCTGGAGCGTACAGCTGTGTGTTAACGCAAGACTGCACAGAACCCCGGGTAGCTGCTAGTTAATCTGAGGAGGGTCAAAGGCCATCCTCATGCTGTTTAGTGAGGTATTCACACGTGAGAAAGGTTGAAAAGGACCTTCTTAGGAGTGGATGTCTTTTAGAGTTGACCCTGAGGTCAGAGGTCAACACTCAGATGACAGAAAACCCTAAGAGCTCCACCTTTAACTCCACAGGTTAAAGGTTAACTGTCAGCACAGTGGTGGAGGGATGATGGTTTGGGATCCAGTGAGTCCATTTGTCTGAAGTCTGGACTGAACCGGGTCATGAAACAGAAACAGGATCTAAAAACAGCACCAGGGTTCAGTCAGGGTCCAGACCAGAACCAGCTGAAACCATGGTGGTGAGGCCTTCAGAGAGCTGAGTGTGCTCCCCCCTCCAGAAGCCTGGACCAGAACCATGTGAGACAGAAACCAATAGTAACCAGCGGTTCTGTTGGACCAGCGGGTAGAGTCTGATGAACCTTAAACTAAAAGAGTGATGTTTATTCTCCACCATGATTTCTGTCTGAGGATCCACTCACTCTGTCTGGGTTTAGTGTTTCTGACTGTGGTCCGAATCATCTCTGGACTTACTGAGGAGATCTTCTCTGATCTTTTGAGTTCTGTACATTAAATGTGACAGAAATCATCCTGGAGACCTGGAAGCCAGATGTTTTTAGGCTATAAACGTGACTGTGTGCCTGGGTTATCATTCATGGTAACGTTGGTACCAAAGGTGTATTAAACATAAGAATCTACCATCTCTAGTCATATCTGTCATACATTGTAATAAACTATGAGACCAGCACCAAAACACCTCAGAACTGGTCCTGCTGGGTTCTTGTGGGAACATGTGTTGGGAACCGGATCGCTGTCCTTATGTGAACCACTAACCCAGTCCGGATGTCCCATCCCCCCCGCAGCCTCCCGACGTCACTCCCGCTCCACCAGCGCTCTCTCCACAGCAGACCCCCACAGCCAGTCAGGTGACCTGCATGCCCAGACCCTCCCCCCAGTCCCTGCTGGTTTCATCCCAGTTTCTGTTTGTTAGGTGTTTCTGTGGTTCATCACCATCGTCATCTGGGCTGCAGCCAGACCCCATCAGTCTCTTGTAATTGTATTTTTTTACCAGACGAAGTTCAGAACAATCCGTTTTCCATCTGCTTTTTATTATTTATCATTTTTAGCTGGTTTGGTTGCTTCATCCACGTCTAGTTTGGCGGTTTTTCTTCAGAAGGTTTGGTTTGGGATGATTTTTGGCTCATGTTTAATTTGTGTTTCTAGTAGCATCTGTGCATGGTGGTTCTTTTGGGTCGGGCTTTGCTTCCTGCTGTTTGGTTTTTGGATTGAACTTTTTCTGAGTTTTTTTATTTTTTTTATTCATCCAAAGACACAAAAATGCTCTGATGATCGTCTCTGAAAGGTAAGTGCGAGAAAGCTTCTCTTGTTAAGCAGCTCTCCCCGTCTCCTTTTCTGTTTTCAGACCGTTACGGTTTGATCCACCAGGCCAGGATTTCAGCGTCAGTTAACGCCATGAGGGTTCTGAACACCGGCACCGAGGTGGAGGCGGCGGTGGCCGATGCTTTGGTGAGTTTAACAAAAAGCTTGGTGAAGCCGCAGGAAACAGATTTGCTGTTGGGACTTTTCCCGTCAGAATGCTGGATCCACACAAATCAGCTGTTGACTGTTTGTAGATTATTCCTTCGTTAAACTTTCTCCTCTTTCCCTCTTGGTTGTTTGTTGCTGTTTCAGCTGTTAGGAGACTCCAGGAATAAGGTAGTTTGATGTTTCATCCCATTTGTGTGCTTTGCTGCTTTGCTCAGCTTGCCTGTCCTCCAGGGTTTAATTCATCTCAGTGTTGCTGTTCATCACACTCCAAACACGAACGTTACTTCCTGTTTGAGATCTTTTCTTTTTCATTGCTCATTTCTCTCTCTGCTTGAATGGCTGTTCATTTGGAAGCAACCAGATATATGGTGTGTGTGTGTGTGTGTGTGTGTGTGTGCTACATTTTTTAGCTTTAACCCCTAACCATAACAAGTATGAGAAATGTGCCGTGTGAAGTTAAAAGAGTGACGGTGCCTCTGTGTCCCTGCAGAGGAAGCCGTTGAGGCGTCGGTACGAATCTCCTGGGATGTACTCTGATGACGACGCCAACAGCGACGCCTCCAGCGCCTGCTCGGAGCGCTCCTACAGCTCACGAAACGGAGGAATCCCTCACTACCTGCGTCAGACAGAGGACGTGGCCGAGGTCCTGAATCACTGCGCCAGCTCCAACTGGTCTGAGAGGAAGGAGGGCCTGCTGGGTCTGCAGAACCTCCTCAAGAGCCAAAGAATACTCAGGTGGGCTGAAAGCCGAGGGTTCCTGGGTCTTCTCTGATATGGTTTATGTTGGACAAGATCTATAGTTCAGGGGAAATGTTGATGATTATTTTTGTGTTTTGTTCGTTGCAGCCGAGTGGAGTTGAAGAGACTCTGTGAGATCTTCACCAGAATGTTTGCAGATCCTCACAGTAAGGTATGAATCTGTTGGGACTTGACTCAAGCATGGTAACGGAAGGAGAACGTGGAACTAATGAGTGTTTTTGTTGCATGGCCCGCCTTGCTGTGGATCTAACATCAGAGAGTAAGTGGGACCTTAGCCCGTTGTTGGAGGCAGCCCTCTGCCGTTCCAGCCTAACACGTGTTCTGGGTTTCAGGTGTTCAGCATGTTCCTGGAGACTCTAGTGGACTTCATCACTGTGCACAGAGAGGACCTGCAGGACTGGCTCTTTGTACTGCTCACTCAGCTGCTTAAGAAAATGGGTGCAGATCTGCTGGGCTCTGTCCAGGCCAAAGTCCAGAAGGCCCTGGATATCACCAGGTATTAGTTCAGTGACCTGCAGACCTGTCACGGTACCCACACATCACCTGGTGACACTTTTGAGGAAGACGCCAGCAGACGGTAGAAACATGTTGGGTTTGAAAAAAATATTTTCACTCGCCTGAAGAAAATAAGCTGAAAATAACGACTTGATGAACTCAATAAACTGATGTGTTGACTGCCATCCTTTTCTGATCAGAAATCCGCTGGCTGCCAGCATTTTTCAGTGTTTCTACTGTAGAACATTGTGCTCTATGAACATGTAAAAAAGAAAGAGTAGATTCACTTCTTGCATCAGGAAGAATCAGCGTGTTTCCAGCGTTATTCGTTCTTTTGTAATCCATTGTCGAATTTGGGAGCTGCAGAAACTTTGTCCAGTTTGCGATTCGCTTTTTTCGCAGCAGCATCTCAAAACGATCTCTTCTGCTTCCTTTAAAGACATGATGTTAATTCTCACGGTGCGCGGGCTCGCTCCAACGTCCGCCCCGTAAAATAATGCAATTGACAACTTTAGTCGTCAATGGCAGTGGATGATGAGTTAAAAATTCTACCAAGACTTTAACTTAGAGTCAAGCGGTAAACCAAATCAATTCTAATGTCGGAATGGCTGCTGGAATCCGATGTTTTAGTGGGTTGAATAGTTGTGTGTCATCTGCATAGAGATGGCTCTGTACATCATGGTTCTGAATAAAAGGACCAAACAGAATAGAAAGGATCCAAAGACAGATCCCAGTGGAACACCGAAACTCTTTTGACTTTTTAGAGGTGAAGTTAGTAATGTAAAAGTTTCTGTTTGAAAGGTGGAGGTTGGGTGGAGTTTAGTGAGGAGTGTGTGGTTCTGATGGACCGTAAACACTTGTGTGAAGGCAGCTTGTTTCCTTGTCTCTCTGTTTTAGGGAGTCTTTTCCATTTGACCAACAGTTTAACATCTTGATGAGGTTTATTGTGGACCAAACTCAGACTCCAAATCTCAAGGTAACAAAAACCATGTCAGGTTTCTAGATGACAACCTCGTTTTGTTGCTCAGAGGAGCTGACAACTCCGACTCCACTCCTCAGGTGAAGGTGGCCATTTTGAAATACATTGAGTCTCTGGCTCAGCAGATGGACCCAGCAGACTTCGTTAACTCCAGCGAGACGCGACTTGCTGTGTCCCGGATCATCACTTGGACCACTGAGCCTAAAAGTTCTGACGTCAGAAAGGTAAGACCAAGCGGGTTTGTTGTAGTATTAAACTTATTAAAAACAGAAGTCTCCTAATGTAGGAACTGGAAAAGAGCTGAATGTTTAGGGTCTAACAAGATAGTATATCATTGATGGCCAGAGTCAAAACAGTAATCCATACAAAACGCTTTGGAAAATAGGTTAGTACCTTGTGTTGCCATGGTGATAGATATCAGGAATCTGCTTCAATATAGTGATGTCCACTGTCCTATGAGCCTTTTCAAATTTGCCAGGCCATGCATTTCAGGGGCAAGCCCCTATTTTCAATTTGTTTGTGCGTGTTTGTTTATTTTTGTCACCGTTCCTGCATAACCGTGCTGAATGGTTCGTTGACTTGGGCATTTCATATCAAGTCGCTAAAAATGTTGTGAAACAAATTATTCAAGAATTGAAAGCGATTTGTTGAAAGAACCAGATACTCTTTCACATAGATCCAGTTTTACACGATTTCTTTAGCAGATGTCTCTTCCAGCTAGTGATACGATTGCTGATACTTTACTTTTGCCTCTCCATTTCAGCCGGGCGGAGCAGAAGTTGTAAACTTTGATAATAGGCCGTCTCGGTGTGGACGTCCTTGGGTCAACTGCCCATTATCTTTCCCATGTCTAATGCACGTAGCATGTTCTGACTCGGTGTTTGTTTTTCCACTGGTGGTGTTGAGTCAGGGCCTCCTGGCAGGCTGTAAATACATGTGTCTGTGATGCCAGGCCTGGTCGTGCTTTAACCCCCTTCTACCTTACGATGTTACCCAGACCCTTCATAACTGGGTGAGCGAGGAGCTGGCTGGCAGGTCCAGCTCTGCAGCCCTTCTGACCACAGAGAGCAACCAGGAAGAAAGGTGTAAGCAGGTAGAGCCCGCTCCCGAGAGCCAATCACAGCACAACAAGCACGCAATGTTCGCCTGCTTGGTTCCTAACCACCAAAACAGCTGTTTCTCTGAAATAACCAACAGATCAGCCTGAGCAGCCAGAAAACACTCGTTTAACCTTAATTTTCTCCTGTTTACACAAAAGTCTTGTTCAGAAGTATGGTTTGTGAATGCTGTTTATTTGACTGCTGTGTGCCTCACACTTCCTGTCTGTTTGACTCATGCTAACAACCTCCCGTCCACCCGGAAGCCTGCATGGTATCCATGTGGGTCGTCTCCAGAGTTCGAGCCTCGCTCAGCCTTTCTTAGTAAAATAAACTCAAGTTTAACTAGATACCTGTTGGGCTCTGCCGAAGCAAGCGGCTCCACAGTGTGAAGTTTACCTGTACTCACCTGCACGTTTCAACAATTTCTTCATAAAATCCTAAAACATCGTTTGCTTCTTCTTCAGTTTTCTACTGAACAGGCCGAGTCTTTTTACAGGAGGATTTTCTGTGGGTCTCACTGGAGCAGATGGAGATGGTTTCCCTGGTTTCAGAGTGTTCTAGTCTTAGCCGTAACTTCAGATCAACCTTGTCTGCTGGGGTTTCTCTGATATTCCATACTTTTCATTTAGAGATTTTAATTCTCTGAACTCAAGGAAACCATCGGACCTGTTCCTTCTGTTCCCTCTCTGACCTCTTCTATTGGTCTGCCTACAGGCAGCCCAGGTGGTTCTGATCTCCTTGTTTGAGCTCAACACACCAGAGTTCACCATGCTGCTGGGAGCTCTGCCCAAAACCTTCCAGGACGGAGCCACCAAGCTGCTTCACAGCCACCTGAAGAACTCCAGCAACACCAGCAGCAACATGGTGAGTCAGAGTTCCAGGCCCTCCATCCTAGCGTTAATCACATCTTAATCTAGCGTCGTCTGGTTCCAGGGGTCTCCCAGTAACACCATCGGCCGGACGCCATCACGCCACACCCCCAGCAGAACCAGCCCCCTCACCTCACCTACAAACTGTTCCCATGGCGGTCTGTCTCCAAGGTAACCAGGCGTCAGGCGTCTGTAGCGTACGGCTGAGATCGGCTCTAACTGCTCCACTGGTTTAAGTTGGGATGATCATCAAACTAACCCGAACACTCAGGAAAGGTTCAGCAGAACATTTCAAACAGAAAAATGACCCGTGAACAGATAATTTTTACCTTTACTGGATCACAGCTGGTCTGACCCACGACCTTTCAGGATCGTTCCATTTGCTTGGTTCTGTCCATTCCTGCATTTCAGGCTGAACCCGTTTTTCCTTCTTCGTAGTTTTCGTTAGAGCTCCTGATACTGATGATACGGTTAAGATGTGTCTGTTCTATTGTGGCTCCTTCAACACTCATCCCTAGTTCAGCATCATGGGTTTAGACTAAACTATGAATAAAAACTGCCTGTTTGGGACTGTGTCTGATCCAAGAAGGGATGTCCTTAAAACTGATGGCAAAACCCGGTCCGATTCTCGCATGCTTTAGGTCCGATCACAGGGCTAGTCTTGTTGTTGCTAACAGAACAACAGTAACTGCTTGTGAACACTTTATTAAAGCTCTGGCTGTAAAAACAGCCTCAAATGGGAGCTACGCAGAACCAGGATCCATAAACGCTGAATGGCACTCAGGTGGTGTTCTGACCCGCTTTAGCTAGGTGATATTCTCTTTAACCTGGTGATGCTCTGACATGCGTTAACTAGATGATGTTGTGTTTAGAGCTGGGATGTTTGTTCTCGCGGTGCGGGGGCTCGCTCAGACGCCCACACTAAACTAAACTAACATAACTACCAGAGTAAGAGTGAAACTAACATTGATTTTAAACATGGCGGTCTGCCACAGTGATGGAGGACTAAGCTATTGTTAAATGCGACTCCTCTCAGACTTAGCAGCTCATCCAGGTGATTCTGATCTTCCTGAGCCCAGTGAGGATTTTCCTAGTGGTGTTCTGCTTCCTTCCTCTGTACTAACACCTTCCCTTATTCCCTTAACCTCCGAGCTCAGACTTTGTCTTTTCTCTTTCCTCACTCATCTTCCTCCTCCTCCACATCACCGTCATCTTCCCATCTTGTTGATTTCCGTCCACCTCTTCCTGCTCTCTACCTTGCCATCCTTTCTTCTTGTGGAAACAGTCGGTTATGGGGTTGGGGGATCGACGGGCTGTCCAAGCACCCCCCTGCCCCTCCTCCACCCCCTCCACCTCACTCCACCCCTGCTGCCCCCTCCCTAAGGGTCCTGCGCAGAGCGTATTCACCCAGGTAACGAGGCGGGCTGATCACAGAAACATGATCCATGAGACTGTTTTTACCGTGTTTGTTGTTGAAGAAGCACAAATCCATCGTTTCTAGTCAAATACAAACACTCAGCTTTTCATGTTCCCAGTTCAACTAGTCTGTCACTGAGCACTTGGCATGTGCATGCATGCTGACTGTGTACTTCTGATATCACAGCAAATTGTGTGTGTGTGTGTGTGTGTGTGTGTGTGTGTGTGTGTGTGTGTGTGTGTGTGTGTGTGTGTGTGTGTGTGTGTGTGTGTGTGTGTGTGTGTGTGTGTGTGTGTGTGTGTGTTAGCATGATGGAGTACGACACAGAGAACATGAACTCGGAGGAGATCTACAGCTCACTGCGAGGAGTCACGGAGGCCATCCAGAGCTTTAGCTACCGGAGCCAGGAGGACCTGAACGAGCCGGTCAGACGGGAGGGAAAGAGGGATGATGGCGTGAGTTACCAGAAAACATCAAATACACACTACAGGACTGTGCAAACATTTTAGGCAGGAGTGAAAAGTCTGTAAACTAGGAATCTTTCAGTAGTGGAAGAGTTCGTTTGTTTTTATCCGAAACAAAAACAGTGAATGAACAAAAGAGAAATCTAGATCATGACCACCTTCAACACAGCATCAGATCTTCTAGCTACACTAGGACACATCAGGTAGGTCTGGGACAGGGGTCGGCAACCCGTGGCTCTTCCATCCATCTGATGCGGCTCTCTGTGTTTGTAAAATAATGAATGGATATTTAAATAAAATGCTTTATATTTTACTGCATTAATTTTACATCTGTAAGCTAATTCTAAATGTAAAGATTGTCTGCGTAAACCTGAACAGTTCCAACCCGGTCTTACTGTGAGACCGGGTTGACGCGTCACGCTTGTGCGTAATCATATCGGCGCATTCTGAGCTGAAGAGGATGTGAGATTCTGGGATTCTCCTCAGACGGCTCCTGGATGTGTCGCCACATTGGAGACAGGAACAAGCGCTATTCAGCCAAAGTTTCATAATCAGGGAACATTTTCTAAGTGACAAGTCTCTCTGAGAGCCCGGGTTTGGAAAACTCTCGCTTCAGTGGGAGGAATCTTCCCGCATGCGCTCTGGTTCTGCGACGCGCTCCAAGCCCCTCTCCACATCTTCAGCTCGCTGTGGACCTTAAGTACGCGCTGACTGAGCAGTGTCCAGCTCAGTTGTTCAGATGGGAATCTTTTCTTGGGTGATTTAGCTACATCTGCGATGTGCGTCTGCATGCGTCGGGGTAATTCTTTCTATTCTTTCTCCATCAAAATAAACAGTCAAATACGGGAACTATCCGGTCAACACAAGCCCTGCTTTTAACTGTTCTGTTTTCTTGTGAAAATTGTTGCAAAGAGATATAATTAAACTTGATTACCACCAGAGCCAGGCGCACTGCGCCGTTATCTCTGTCACTGTAAATGAGGGAAACCAAAATGATCGGATCCTTTTCTGACCTTCCCCACCTACAAAGTTTAATTACAACAATCAAAGGTGACAGAGCCTGGATTTGTATTCTGAACAGTCTAAACATGTTTTAAAAAGAAACGTATGACAAAAGTGGCACCTGCTCAGTAAACCCACCAACAGGGTGAAAAATATCTAAATATTGTAGCAGAGACGGGCTACAACTTCTGGATCCACTTTATATAAATCGTTTTATTGATTATCGTCTTATGAAAGATAACTCTGACGTACATGAGCGACCGGTACCGGCTGCTGTCACCTGTTGTGAGCAGCTCTCTGCTGTCTGAGGGTAGGCCCCGCCCACAACGCCATGGCTGCTGCGGTGTTTTCTTTACTGTGGGAAACGGGTAATAATGGCTCTTTGATGGGAACAGGTTGCCGACCCCTGGTCTGGGAGAACATACCACAGATCTTCTCCTCATATCTATTCATTTGTCACACCTGCTTAAACATGTTACCAAGTGCTCAGACTGGCCCTGAAGGCCTCATGAGTCTCCAATCACACCAGACCCGACCTTCCTCGTTCCTCTCATCCCTGATTTAAACCGGTTAAGTAAACAAATAAAAGAGGGGTTTGTCTAGTTTTAGTTGTTATTGTCTTCTGTTCTCACCTCCTCCAACCTCCTTGTCCTAAAGGCGGGGAGAGAAGGAGTAGCCTCGTCTCCTGGTTCTGATTCCCGCGTGGGTTTAGAAATGGTTGAAGGCAGTCGCACGGCTTTGGACAACAAGACGTCCCTGCTGAACACGCCGTCCCCACGCTCCTTCTCTGGACCACGGAGTCGAGAGTTTTCCCCGTACGGATATGGAGAAACCATCTGCACCTACGACAAGAGCGCCCTGAAGGAGGCCGTGTTCGATGACGACGTGGAGCAGTTCAGAGACTGTGAGTGATGGAGTCGGGATTAGACGTGTCGGTTTTGGGTCTCCGTCGTGTGAAAGAGTCTCAGCATCCAGTCTGTGTTGTCACATTCTCCTCTCTGCACCCTCCATCCTCCACCTTCATCCCTCCTCCTCCTCTCCAGGCCGGCGGCAGGAAAGTGGAGAAAACCAGATGGCCCCCCCTAAAGGCTTTTCTCCTGGTAAACAACCTCCTCCTGCATGAGTCATTCGTTTCCACTCCTCCTCATCTCTTCATGTCCTCTCCAGCGTTTCTCCTGATGTTTTATTCCTCTTTAGGACAATGATAACATTTATCCACACATGAATTCATGTGTGCATCTCTCTCTCTCGCTCTCTCTCACACACACACACACACACACGCACGCACACACACACAGGTTTAGGTGAATTGGTATAAATTTTCACTTTCCCGAATCCAGTTTTTCTCTTCTCTGTTTTGCTGTTTCTCTTTGTTCCGACTCAGTCGGCTCGGACCTGGTAGCCGACCTGCTGAAGGAGCTGTCTAATCACAATGAGCGTTCTGAGGAGCGTAAAGGAGCCCTGGTGGAGCTGCTGAAGATCACCAGAGAGGACAACACGGCGGTTTGGGACGAGCACTTTAAAACCATCCTGCTGCTGCTGCTGGAGACGCTGTGTGACAAAGACGTACGCTTCTTCCTTACTAATCTGGTTCTGATTCGACTCTGGACTGATTCCCGTTTGTGTTTCTGAGCAGCACACCATCCGAGCTCTGGCTTTACGCGTGCTGAAGGAGATCCTGAGGAACCAGCCGGCCCGGTTTAAAAACTACGCTGAGCTCACCATCATGAAGACTCTGGAGGCCCACAAAGATTCCCACAAGGAGGTACTGGAGAGCGGGATTCGGAAACGGCTTTAATTCTTTTCATTTCACTACGATACTGAAGTATAAATGACTGGAACATAATAAAACATTTTTATTCAACTGAATAATTAAATTACTGAACACTTAACAGGAGGAACTACAAACATGGCACTAATATAGACTATTAAAATGTCACTGTGTGATATTTAACATTTATACCTGCAGATAGAAACACCTGTAAACGTTCCTGAGCCTTTAGATGGTCTCTCAGTCTAGCTAAATAACTGAAATTAATGTAGTTTTGCACAGTATTTGAATTGTTCCAGCTTGACATAATTGTGTGTTATTAGTAGCATTTCTGTTGCTGGTAATCTAGTAACGGTTAAATAAATAAATAAAATCCTTTAAAATGACACTAGAAGAGGCACAAGCCTGATGGAGGACTTACATTGGGTCAGACCCAAACACAGAAGAGCTGAAGCTGGGTGGTAAACACACACAGGTAGTTCTGATAACACCTGAGCTCCATGACGTCTGAGACTGATGCATCAGTGTTACAGCGGGACTAAAGACATGATCAGAAACCGGTTACAGCTGGATGATCTAGCTAGGTAGAAGATCAGGACGTCTGAGTGGTGAACAGGTAAGCGGACCTTCTGACGTCCTGCTGTCACGCCAATAAGGACACGCCTGCAGCAGTGACTCTGCGGGTCTGCAGCCGTAGATATTCATCACGTCCTCCTCGTTCTTCACGGCCGTGATGCGCTTGGATGAAAACCTCCGCCTCTTTAGCTCCTATCAGCTGATGATAAGCGGTAACACACCACGCTGCTGAATTAGTAACACACTCATTTCCTTATCAGTAATGGAAACAGCTCTGGACTAAATCCATCTTTCCTGCTGAAACCAGACTACCTGATATAAATGAGACCCAGCTGGGTCCATTGGTTCTGATCGTTTGGACCTGTTTTGTCTTAGGTGGTGCGAGCGGCGGAGGAGGCGGCGTCCACGCTGGCCGGGTCCATCCACCCGGAGCAGTGCATCAAGGTTCTGTGTCCTATCGTCCAAACGGCCGACTATCCCATCAACCTGGCTGCCATCAAGATGCAAACCAAAGTCATCGAGCGCATCACCAAGGAGTCTTTACTCCAGCTGCTTCCCGACATCATCCCAGGACTTCTGCAGGTCCGACCCCAACACAAATTAAGCTCCAGAGCCGTCCTGCTCCCTGTTTCATTGTCCTCTACAGCCCCAAACCAGACGAGTTTAAATGCGATCTGGACATTTCTCTCATTTTAGTGCTGATTGTTTTTTATTTTTATTTTTAATTCCATTTGCCCTATTTGTTCCTGGAAATATTTGCTTGTACTCTAACCTTGGTTGGACCCCTCCCGCATTCCTGCTGACCTCTCCACACAGACGTGTGTGAGTGAGCATGCACGTAAGCGTGCACGCGGTTCCCTAATGCTGCGTGTCTTCTCTGCAGGGCTACGACAACACAGAGAGCAGCGTTCGCAAGGCCAGCGTGTTCTGTTTGGTCGCCATCTACTCTGTCATTGGTGAGGAGCTCAAACCCCACCTGGCCCAGCTCACGGGCAGCAAGGTAGCGTACGCGCACACACACATACACACACACACACACACACACAGGGTTGGGGAAAGCTCATGAACAGATGCTGAGCCTTATCATCTTCTCATGTCGTTATTTCCCAGCTGCTTCCAACTGACTGACCAATAAGAAAACGACTTATATTTGCCCCAATTTACCTGACAACACGTGACCTTAGTAATGTAGTTTGGGTTTGAAGGTCAGGCCCACCTGACTGAGGAGGGACCATCCCCCACCACCACCTGACACCTGAAAGGGTCAGAGGAGAGCTCCTGATGGAGAACTCCAGATCGTTCCGTCTCTAATCGGGTTTAAACGTGAGTTCATGGAGCAGAGTGAAGAATCCTCCTCCACAGTGAAGCTTTTGCAGATTAAAACATGTTCAGATCGCTTTCTGAGCGTTTAAATAAAAACATGTATTCCTAATTTATTCCCATCTATTCTTCATGAGTTTGGATACAAAAGTTAGATAAACCTTCACAGGTTGCCTAAAGTCTTCAAACTGCTTTATGGTGTTTTAAAACTGGTCTTAACCCAAATTTCCCAAAGGAATTACCGAATTTCCCAAAGGAACTCACCCGAGGGATTAATAAAGTTCTATCTTATCATCTTATCTTATACGTATGAAATATGAAACGCTCGCTGAAGTCGATGCTGGACAATTTAGGAAAACAGTTAAAAATGTGAACTTAAGCTGGAGAAGTGATGAATGGAGACGTGTTGGAGACCTGGTGGAGATATAATGGAGAGCTAATAGAGCCATAATAGAGAGATGTTGAAGACCTGGTGGAGATATAATGGAGAGCTAATAGAGACATAATAGAGAGATGATGGAGACCTAGTAGAGAGATAGAGGAGATATATTGGAGAACTGTTTGAGACCCAGTGGAGACATTGTGGACACTTGCTGGACACTTTTGAAACTGTAGTTTTGAGAATTCTTCTTTTGCCGTTTACCACCGTTCCACCCTCTGTGGTCTCCAATGCTTCCCAAAGTTGTCCCACACTTCCTTCCCCAGCAGAGACCAGTTCCAGACTCTCTGACGTCTGGGAGGAAACTTGTTTTTAAATGTTCCAAGTTTCCAGCGGCTCTGAGATTCAAGTGAGGGAAAGTTTCGGGTCAGAACTCTCCAGAACGTTTGGAGACACTTTGGAAACAGCTGTTTGTCATTAAGACGGAGTAAACCAGATGTACCAAAGTCTGATTAATCCTCCACCTGCCAGAACCGGACCGCGTTCTGGTGTCTGTTTAAACTCTCGTTCTTGGGTGTTTTTTGGTTTTCATCACCATTTGAATATAAACATGTTGTTGGTGTTTCTGCTTGTTTGCAGATGAAGTTGTTGAACCTTTACATCAAACGAGCCCAGACCACCAACAGCAACAGCAGCAGCTCCTCAGATGTTTCCTCTCACAGTTAATGTCTGCGGCGTGGGGCCCTGGTGGCTGATTTACCCGATCTGTTTGATCCTCTCGGAGCTTCCTCTCCTCGTCAGAACTCCAGAATCCCATTCGTCCCGTAGTTCCTTCATCCCTCACCTCCCTGCTGTTGTTGTTTTTATGCGGGTGGGTGGGGGGTGTTACCTTCTCTTCCTGAAAATGGACCGATCGTGCTCAGATCTGTTTGGTGGTACCGTGAGCTAACCGCATCCCGGAGGAGGCGTTCTCAACTTGGATGAGCAGGAATGTCATTTGGCTGGCCCAGTGATGGATCAAACCAACCAGGAACGTGTCTGGGAACAAAACCCAGACCGGACTAATGGCGGCGCTCTGAAGAATTGATTGTCTTTTTTAGTATTATTATTATTATTATTTGTTAATAAAAGTGGCTTAAAAGGTGAACTCCCTCCTCAGACTGACAGGCAAGTTCCAGCTGGACAATCATGCTGTCAGCTCTTCTCCTAATCCACCATCAGCAGAACTCCGAAGCTGCTCGGTCTGAGCATGCTCAGTGGCTCCATTTGAACAGGACGTCCCTTATGACACAGCTGTCACTCAGAAATGCCCCTGGGTGGGCGGAATCCACATAAGTTAAAGGTTTTAAAGCAGGTTGCAATTTTACAATCGCAGATTATTTCAGATTTTCCATTTTAAATTCAGATTAGATAAATCCGTCTGAGAAACGAAAGCATTAGCTTTGTTCTGTGATGGAGCAGAAACTTCCCTCAGTCCAATCGCCCTGGGTGGTGATGAAAAACGTCAAATCAAACCATCCAATAAGAACGCAGACGGTTGCTCCCATAAATCTGCTTCGTTGATAACCTGATCAGGCAGATTTATTCACCTCAACTCAGAACCAACCCTGGATTATTTGTGACTTTTAACCCTCGCCTGGCACTCAGCTTTAGACTGGGACCACTGGGCTGTAACTGGGCTCTAGCAGGTTGGTTTTTGTACATACACTTGTGGACCACAGCTTCACACTTTACTGAATTCAGCATTAGGTTTTTGCACGTGCATGTGAGCAGCTGGTGAGGAGATCCTAAAGTGCACTTGGTCTGGTCCGGCTCGAGCTGCAGAACACAGAGAAGCTTTCATCTGCTGCAGAAACACACTTCACAAATCTCTAGTTGCCAACTCTTCCTGGAGGGATGATCAGATGAATTCTGGGTGTGTTAAGTTGTTTGGGAATGCACTGGGATGGGGCCACTCCTGCGTATTTAAGTGAATGAATGTACAGATTTGTGTTGTAATTAGTTTCCTGAGCAGCTTGCAGCCGTGCACACTCGATCAGACTCGTTCTAGTCTGACCAGTTTAATCTGAGCTAAAGTCACCAAACACATTTATGGTTCCTGTCTTGGCGAGCACGTTGAGCACGGTTTCTTTTTGTCTCCGCAATATCCAGACGTATTTATATATTTTATTTAATCCAGTTTTATTCGGCTGTTAGGATAAACTGTACAGAACGTTTTGTTAACATCAGCCTGTGATGTAAAGAACATGTCTGCTCAGAAATAAACGGACTGAAAACAGAAGCCGGCTCTGTTCTGGTGATTGATGAGATGCTTGCAGCTGATCAGAGATCATCCATGGAGCTGCTGGAAGCCTCCTGTTCCAGGCTGGACTTGAGCTTGTGGTTTCCGAGCGCTGAGGTGTTCCCAGCAGCTCTGGATAAACATTAACCTGAGCAGACTTTGAGAGGAGCTGCATTTAGTCTCTGTTCCGGCAGAATGGATCAGAGTCCCGCTGCTGAACCTTAAATCAGACCTGGTTTATTAGTTTGATGTTTTTAAGCTGAAGAGGCTCGTCAGCCTTCATTTGCTTTTATAAAATCCAGCAGGATGTCCACCAGAGGCCAGTCATGAGGTCCAGTCTGGAGCTGACGGCTGCAGACACACTGGTACTGTAGCAGGAGGTGTGTGTGCAGGCTCCGCCTCTCTAAAGGTCACCAAAGGTATGCTAATGGTGTCTAGGATGACATCACTGGGTCCATATAAGAGGCAGCCAGTCAGCTGAAGTCTGAGGATCCAGCAGGCTCTGCGTCTAAATCACTTCCTGTTGCTCCGGGATCAAAGGCACCAACATGCTGTTCTGTCACCCGCAGCCTGAGGCATACCTCCAGCAGTCCAGCAGCTACATCAGGTAAAGATCAGCAGGCTGGATCCAGCTTTTTGATTTGCCTGATGTTCGAAATCCTGAAGAGGACTTTTATTTACTGATAGTCTGTTTTAGTTCAGACAGGCTGGTGGTGCAGCTCACCTTTGTTCCTTTGTTTAGTGGATTAGATCAAACGGGACAATGGCCTCCAGCCTCATTACAGAAACATCATCACTGCTCCGTTTCTACCTGTGAAAGGCTTAATCCACCTTTTAGTTCAGATCCACATCAGGTTACATTTCTTCTTCTGGTGCTTTGTGTCAGAGATGCCTTGGCACCCTTCCTGAAGAGCGAAGAGGCCCGGGTTCTGGCTGAAGGTGGAGCCAAACGCACGCCGTTCCAGTACCTGCTGGGCGCCGCCACGTCTCCAGCTGTCAGGCAGCAGGAGGAGACACTCACCTACCTGAACCAAGGTGATCCGTCGCCTCTGACTGGACGGCTGGAGCTCGCGTTATCACAGCAGAGACGTTCAGCCTGGTCTGATGTTCTCCATCTAAAACAGACAAACGGGCATCAAGCTCTAAAACAGATCTGGGGCTTTGATCATGAGTTTGATTCTGTAGATGAAAATAGATTTTTATTTGATCAGAGCAACCCGAACCTGGAGACTAAACAAAATCATGATTTAGCTTCATCCAAAGAACTTTGACCTTTTTATTGCTCATTGTTTAATTATAAAGCTTTACTGAGCTAATAAATATTAATTTTGTGTTTTATTTTACACCAGAACAGATAGACGTGCAAGTTAGTTAAGAACTACAGTTTTAGCTTTGTTTGCGTCACTTTACCGGTGCCATAGAAATAAATTATGATGATGATTATTAATAATAATATTATGATATCATTATTGTTGTTATTATTAATATTATTTAATTTTGATGTTTGAATAAAGTCAAGAGAAGCTTTATTCATTCTGACCTTTGAATCAAACTTTGACCATTTGAGCAATAATTTGAGATAAAATTGAACATTTTTTAATGTTTGTTAATCCAGGAACATCAAGCCTCATCAATTCAGTAAAAATGAGCATAAAATCAAATACTTTAATTGAACAGAAGAGTTGTTTACTGATGATGCGTTATTATGCCCGACATGGCGAACAAAACGCTGGAATGAGATTTTCTAGATGACGGGGTTCTAAAGGGGAGGTCTGCACCCCGCTGTGGGACGTTAAAGACCAGATGGGGTCTCTATGTTCAACCTAATTAATGAAGGGACTTCTGAGTGATTGAATGAGGCTTTTATTTTGAAAGTATAAAGCTGACTTTTATTGTTTTAATTGCATGGACTTTTACTGACTTTACCCAGGCTACACGAGCTTCTGCGTGTTTGAATCGTTCGTTCATCTCCTTCTCTAAACCTTCTCCTCTTGCTGTTTTCTCATGATGGAAGTTTAATTCAGCTTTTGTTTATCTGCTCAACTCTGATTTGTTTGGAGTAAAACAAAACGATGAAATGACCACAGGGGAGAGCAGCACAGATTTAGAACAGCTGATTTGAGATGTTTGAAGCATTTCTGATGTTTTCTGTGTGATGGAAACATGCGGGCTGCTCTGATTTCCCAGTTTTCAATTTTAATCAGGATTTTTTTATGTTTTGAAATGTAGGTCAGTCCTACGAAATCCGTTTGCTCAACAGAAAGCTAGTGGACTACTCAGGTATGAGCAGCAGATATGTGAAGGTAGGTGTAAGGTTTCTCTGATCTTCTCTCTCTCTCTCTGGTTGAAAGTCTCTTTTCCTGGTTTGTCGCAGGTTCCTGAATGCCTCGTTTCTCTTCTGTTCTTCTGTCCTGAACATCTGCTGACCTCCTCTCCTCTTCCTCCTGCTTTCCTTTGCTTTACTGGGATTTCTTCATCAGGACTTGGGCGTCTTCCTGTCGGTCCAGGACCGTTGTGAAGATGCCGGGGTCGTGTGGATGAAACCCAGTAGCAGCTTACGGTCTGTTTGCTTCTGTCATTTTCATGTTTAGGCGAGCTTTTCAAATGTTTTAGTTCCTAACGGAGGTCATGACCTCTGAGCTCTGCCCGAGAGCTTCTGTCAGGCTCAGATAGACCAGGTTGTAAAGTCTGAACATCCTAGAGACACCAGAATGTGGCAGATGGCTTTTCTCCAAACACATGACGCCGTGGATCCAGAACCGTTTAGAGTTCTGGTCCTCAGTCATGTGTGAGTAGTTATTTAGGTTTAGAGAGCCTGAAACATGATTTAGTATTTTAGCTGTTGTGTGATGAGACTTCTCTGGTCAGGACTCCCACGTGGTGTCACCGGCTGCAGGTTTCAGTAAAGATCAGGTGTCCATTTCACCAGAAACAAACCTGCCTTTTCTGGTTCGGTCGATCCTGATTTAGCTTTTATCTTCAAACTTTGATCATGTGTGAAACATTTTAAAGATGTTTCCATAAAGAGAGAAAAGAAGAAGGAGCCTAAATGGTCTTATGGATTCTTTAATGTGGGAATTCTTGGTCAGGATTTCTGGAGCCTTTTCCCACTTTGACCAACAGCCTAACTGTTGATGGTGAGAACAGCTCCGTTCGGACCGTTCCTGCTCTCTGTCCTGAAACCTGGTCCCTCTCCTCAGAGCATCATACGTGTGGTGTTCCATGACCGCCACCTACAGTACGTGGAGCGCCAGCAGCTGGAGGGATGGAGGTGGAACAGACCCGGAGATCGGATCTTGGACATCGGTGAGCAGCACCACACTGACGACACCTTAAACCCCATTCTGACTCAGCCGGTTTATCGTTTGGAGTCAGACTTTACGTGATGAAGCGTGACTAGACCTCATCATTGTAATGAAGTCAATTGGATTAAATAAATTGCTGAAGAGCTATTTATTTCTACTCTCATTACTTTGTGACCAACAGCTGTAATACTCTATTATTATAGAGTATCACCTTGCTTGGTCTTAGGATTCTTTTAATTATTAAGCGATCGTCACACTTCGCTTTGATTCAAGAACCAGTCAGTGTTGCAAACAAATAAGAATTTATTTTACAAACAATTTTAAGCCTTGACAAATGGTTTAACTATTATTTACTGTGAGTGGATGCAAACTAAGAGATGGGTGTCTGGAACTAGGTATGAATATAGTATTTCAGAGTCAAAATCTCCGCATCTCAGAGAGAGGTGAGTTCTGGATAATAAAGGAATTTGGTTTGGATCTGAGCTGTAAGCTGTTCTTCTCAAACTGCATACAGACACTATCTCACTGTGTTCTGCATAACCAAGTGGAGACCATCCACATATAAATATTGGACAATGGGTTTCCATAGGCTCCAATAACACGTTTTTGAAGAAAAATGGGAGGTGGCCACCACCGCCATTTTGACCGTGTCACATGTTCCGTCAAGCCCAGACAATTCCACCAAAGGGAAGAGAGGTGGAGCTGAGGGTGGGGCTGTACAGCTGGGATCAACTGACGACACCCGGTCGAACTAGCTACAAGCTAACCTGAAGCTAACCCAAAGCTAACGCGGAGGTGGGAGCTAAGCTAACAGAGGTAGCAACCTAGCTACAACCGGAGTTAACTGTGCACAACACCAGAGCTTCTGAGTCAGAGATACGCCGGGCTGACCGCTGGGTAAAACCGGGTGGAAAACATCGGTCTCCCCAGAGCTCCACAAGCCGATAGTGGGAACCCAGCTCCACCAGCATGTTATATTTCAACCCATTTTCTAAAGTGCAGCGTTATGTTAAATGCACTGGGTTTTACCCTATTACATTTAAATTTCATGGTTAAACAGTACATGTTAACATCTAAGCTCAGCTCGGCAGTGACCTAAAATACATAAATATAATTTTACTTACCGAAAAAAATGAAGTGGAGACTCATTGGATGCTCTATTAGTGCAATTAATGCCACAGCAAGTCATTTTGTCCAACAATTGCACAAAAAATATCCAAAAAAGAATATACAAATCCCGGAGCAGTTTCCAGGCCAGACCGAGGCTCTACTGAGGCCTTTCCACGGAGCTAGTTCTGCGGTCACGTGGGTCTGATGCTCTTTAATTATACAGAATTTTAGGCTTTTAATACACTTAAACAGAAGAGTGAGAAAAAAATTCACCCCCCTCAGAGTTGTCATGAGTGTAAACTAGATCATTTAAACCAAAAACATGTTCTGGTACCAGGCTGTAAACATGTTTATTTCTGCTGTGAAATTGGTATTTTTAACATGGGAGTCAATGAGGATTTGCTCGCTTCTGACACCAGCACCTAGTGCATGAGGGTGGACTGGATGAAACCAAGCGTCTCAAAACCACTCTGAAGGAGTGTTGCAAAATCGGCTTTGTTCTGCAGGAAACATCTCTTGTTGTCCTCAGCTTTGCAGGTGCAAAAGCTTAAGGTTTTGACAGTGTGTCAAAATCCTTTGGTAGCTCAGCTAAAGATGGCCAGTCTTAAAGCTCTGCTCTCCAACCCTCGTTCTGTTGGAGGTTCCAACTTGTCTCCGGGTGGAAGCAGAGCGGCTGGTTTTATAGCCTACTGTTTATCTATTACCAAAGTTATCAGGAATACTCAGAACGCACACTGTGATGCAGAGCCGCTGAGTCTGTGAAACAAGGTTAGTTTATGTGTAATGCTTCTTAATTTAGCCTTACTTCTTGTCTGGTGTGAGTGATCTAATCCAGTAAACATACTTAGCATCATTGAACAGATTCGTGAAACATTTCATCATTTATAATTATACATGGCAATATTTAGTGATTGTTAATTGTAAGATCTTCTTTTCTTCAAGGATTATTCTGAAATATAAAATGATTACTTATACTATGAAATATTCTATTCTTCTGGGAATAAAAGTTTATTTTAGGAGTTCTCTTGTGAGGAACCTTGGAAAGGAATGCTGCTGTTCAGCTTTATTATCTGATGAAGCTTCAGCTCAGCTGATGAAGTCGTCTGATTAAAGAGCCTGCGTGTCAGGGTAAAATACAGCAGAACGTGTGTAGCCAGGGTTATTTGCTCTGGCCGTGCATATGAACTGTGGGATCTCAAAATCAGTCCATTTGGTGACGTTACATCATCCAGCGGGTCCAACAGAACCTCTTCAGCAGTGAATCTGGAAGAGTTCTGGTCCGCTCTGTTTGAAGCTTCAGACATTCAGCTCTGCTGTGTTTGGATCATGGTTCTGTTGAATGTCCCGGTTCAGTCCAGACTTACGTTTGGTCTCTGGACTTCATGGGGGAGCCCAAACCATTAGCCTTCCACCTCTCTGCTTTAGGTTTAGGGGTCTTTTCCCTGAGTGGTGACCTCTGACCTTGGGGAGAACCTACTGGGTGGTGAATGGTGGTCTCCAGATAGTTAGACAATGAGCCTTGACCCTTCCTAGTAATGTCTTTACTGTCACCTGGTCCTTCTTGTGTTAACACACACCTGCATGCTCCAGAAAGTCTGCCTTCAGGGTTGGTGCGCTCTACACCGGCCCTCCAGACCAAATCTAAAGTGAGTCAATTGTTGCAGATATCCCACTGTCAGTGGGGATCCTGGAGCCTCGCTCCGACCCTTTGCACCTCAACACTATTGAGTTCGTCTGGGATCCTCTAAAAAACGCCTCGGTCTTCATCCAGGTACTGTCAGGTCCTAGTTGTCTAATCCAGGAGACCCTGTGGTTTGAGTTTTCTATTGTCTCCTCAGGTCAACTGCATCAGCACCGAGTTCACCCCCAGGAAGCACGGTGGTGAGAAAGGAGTCCCCTTTCGTATTCAGGTGGACACGTTCACCACCAACGAACACGGAGAATATGTGGAGCATGTTCATTCCTGCAGCTGCCAGGTCAAGGTGTTTAAGGTAAAATGCTTCCTTCTCCCACCACAAACACTCCCAGGATGCACCCTGACATCCCGATATTCAGCCCAAAGGAGCCGATCGTAAACTGAAGACAGACAAGGAGAAGATCGACAAGAAGTCCCCTCAGGACAGAGAGAAGTATCAGGTCTTCCATGAGACCACCCTGCTGAAGGAGGTGAGACAGGAAAGTGTGTGTTTGCCCTTCGGTAATGCCGGGCGGTAAATTCCTCCGTTACCTGGAGGCTGATGCCGTCGTAAATGTTCAGTTTAAACCCACACTAGGCGTGTTAATCAGTTACCGCGCTGCTCCGAGCCCGATGCTCGTCAATGATTGGAGCTTTTTCTGTCTTTGGACCCCGAGTGAATCAGCAAGTGGTGTTCCTGTTAATCTGGTTTGTTGTTTAAAGGAAGCTGAACGTTTCTTAACGTTGATGAGGTCAGTAACACCAGCTGTTTGGTTTCCAGTGCTCCCCGTGGCCCGACGCCCTAAACCTCTCCACCCACAGCAGCACCAGCATGCCATCACCAGTTTACCACAGCTCACCAACGCCCTGCTGCTTCCCCGATGGGTAAGTTGGCCCCATCACCTTGGTGCGGCAGAACTCCGTAGGAAAACTCAATCCTGATGTCACTTTTAGTTTGGTGTCTACAACATCAAACAGGTGTGGTCGGCTGCTTTCTGAACTGTGGTGTTTGGTTCCTGGGTCAAAGGTGACCTCCAGCAGCACCAGACCCTTTTCTCATTGCTGCATCAACAAGGATGGTCTTCTTATCACTGTGGAACAAATGTGCTTCAGTGATGTTTTAACTGTTTCTCTGCTCACGATTAAATGGTTCTGCACAAATCTGTTGGTCACCCAGAGCTTCAGGCCAGGTCTGCAGAGGCACCTGAAGCTCTGGAGCTCCGTTACTCTGCAGGTTTCAGGGTTTTCATCCAGTGTCTGATTAGGAATGGAAGTAGCGCCCTCTTCGGACTCGTAACAAGTTTGAGCACTCGTGAAGGACTCTGGTGTGTTTGGGACAGGAATCGCATCACAGCTTCACTCATAGGACCAGGAAACAGCTTCAGACACTGATTTTGGTTCTTCTGGGCAACCGTAGTGATTCATGGAGGATCAAAAGGAGAAACAACTTGAGATATTTGTTACTTATTCACTAAGAATGAAGCACAGGTCTTCCTGTTTCCATGCAGTTTTAATCCAAGCATAGCACAGATTATTAGATCATCAGGTTTGAAACTTAAGTCAAAGAGGAGGGTTCTGTTTCTGGAGGGGAAATCCAAATAAAAGAAGTAAATCATCACCCCAGTCTGTCTCAATCAATCAATCAATCAATCAATCAAATTTTATTTCTAAAGCGCTTTTCAAACAAAGTGTTATTCAAAGTGCTTTACAAAATGACCCCAGATTCCCATAACAGGTTAAAAACATTAACAAACATATGCAATCACACGCACACACACACAGACTCACACACACACACGAGTAAAAATTATATTAGGCTGAGTCCAGATGAGCCAAGTATGGTAACGCAAGTCTCTCTTCCTCATGTTCCCCAAGCAACTGTTGTCCGAGCCAGCAAGCGGAGGTGTTGATGCCTGGCTGCTCTGATGTAAGTAACGGAGAGCGGTGCAGAGTGAAAGTGTTAATCTCGCTCTCTCATTCCCTTTAGGCCATTGTTTGGAGACAGTGGATGCTGTGCAGCTATACTCATTTCAAGGACTCTTCTTCTTTCTGACATGTAGCATCTCCTGCCGTCGTCCTCGCCACAGGACACTCTGCAGTGGCTGCTCCGTCACAGGTTCTCGCCTTTCTCAAGGCTCTTCTCCAGCTTCTCAGGTGAAAATGGCAGCTCTCTGGGAAAACCCCTTCTGCGTTTGTTACTTATCCTCACCAGAAAGACATGGCAGATGAATCAAAGTTGATAAATTGTGATTTGATTGGAGGAAATCAACGCTTTAGGCTGATTAACGTTTCACTGATCACAATAATTAGAACCAATGCCCTTAATGCTGATGTCACAGATTTTTTATTTTATTTTGAGTCACAGAAAACAAAAAGGTTTGGATTTCCTCTTATTACAGCTGTTCTCAGAATGCCAGAGCTTGGCTCATTAAAATTTGAGTTAAATCCTCAAGCATCGGATCAGGATTTACAGTAGAACCGGACATGGGCCAGAACCAGAACCAGACTGTGTTTTTGTTGGTGCTGTAGGGGCTGATCTCCTGAGGATGAGCCGGGAGGATCTGATCCAGATCTGCGGTCCGGCAGATGGGATTCGTCTCTTTAACACGATGAAGGGCAGGTGAGGACCTGGAGGACCCGGTTCAAGCATCAGCTGCTTTGACCCCACCCCCTCCATCATGTGGGCTGAAAGGTCACAAGAATGCATGGTTTTACTGGATTAAACAGAGCAGTATGCTGTGTGTTACAGCATAAACAGGTCTAATCTGAGAGCTCAGATTGACACTCATAAAGGTTTCTGACATCTTCAGTCACAACCCAGACGCTCGGGACAGAAATCTTTATGTTTCAGCTGTGATGGATTACAGGTGCAGTTTGTTCACAAAGTTCATATTTGAATCTGGCTTCCAACTAAGCTCTAATTCATCTCCAGAAGTTTTCAAGCTTGGTTATGAATATAGAAAAAACCAGAAAGATGCAGAGACCTTCTGGAGACTAACCCTGGAGAAAAGATAACTTACCTAACATCATCATTTAGACTCTAATCTTTTATTTTATTCATTAACCAAAATCTGAATCAAATCTTTTGACTAAAATATTTAAAAACACTAGATTTTGATTTATAAATCAGACAAACTGGAAAATTCCGAGTTAAGGAAATGTGTTGGTCCATCCATCCTGGAGGTAGATCCAGGAGGAAAACCCAGACACGCTTTGAGAACAGGTGTGGGACTTGCTTCTGTAACTCAGAGGTAAAGAAGGATCTGCTGATGTTTTCCAGGTCCATCCAGCCTCGTCTGACCATCTACGTTTGTCAGCAGCAGAGCAGAAGCCAAGCCACCAAACCAGGAGGTGGAGATGGTAGGTGCTCAGACTAGTTCTCACAACACTGACATGACCCAGCAAGGCTACTCTGGACAACTCTGGGATTTAAGGCAGTCCTAGAAGATCTCAGACCTTCTGTCCTGCCTTCAGTTTACCACGCGCTCTACCTAGAGGAGCGGACTCTGACCGACCTGTCTGAGAAGGTCGCCATGCTCTTCAACATCACCCCACAACAGATCACACACATCTACAGACAGAAGAGCACCGGGATCCACATCCTGGTCTCTGATCAGGTAGCACACACACACGCACACACACACACACACACACACACACGCACACATTCTGATTGGTGGAAAGTGTTTAAGAAATTGATGATGATGTAATTTTCATTTATTTTACGGTGTTCAGCGCCTTGGGCTGTCTGGATTGCTGGCAGGGAGGAGCTCTATGAATGAATGGATGAATGATGATGATGCTTAGTCCCATGTCTCTGAGCAGGAAGATTAAATTCACCATCATGTCTGATGGACAAACAGGTAAATAAACAATATTTAATCTGATTGGTTTCAGATGGTGCAGAACTTCAGGGAGGAAACTAGTTTCATCATCAGCTCAGTAAGAGGTAACTATGGTTCGTTTGGTGCGTGATGACATAATCCAGACTAGTGACTTCTTATGGGATTATTTCTCTTCAAACAGATGAAAACACTGAAGGTTTTAACATCGTGTTGAAATAACCGGCAGGAACCTGTGTGTGTGTGTTTGTGTGTGTGTGTGTGTGTGTGTGTGTGTGTGTGTGTGTGTGTGTGTGTGTGTACAGTTTGTAAACAGATCCCTGATAAAACATGTAAATTTCTGCTTTTGGCTCATTTTAGTTGTACTTTTTATTTTAGTTGCTGACTGAAATCCTTTCATATGTAATAATGTGAGTGAGTGAGTGAGTGAGTGAGTGAGTGAGTGAGTGAGTGAGTGAGTGAGTGAGTGAGTGAGTGAGTGAGTGAGTGAGTGAGTGAAAATGAGAAAGAAACAAAAGAATTAACCTGTTGGAGCTCCTGATGTTGCTCTTGTTGATATGTAAATGTAATTCGTTCAGGTTCATCTGTATAAATCGTGTGAATTTTACTCTAAATAAAATGTTTCGTGTTTCATTTAGGTCCGTTTTTATTGGTGGGTAGAGAAATCTGTTTGGGTGATGCAACATGAGCAGGTTGTGATGATGTCGTTCTTCACACAAACATGAAGTAGTTATCTGGAACAGTGGTGGTGCAACATGTCTATGCAGCTTACATTCACCCTGTGTGTGTGTGTGTGTGTGTGTGTTTGGGGGGGGGGGGGATGTCATCTGCATAAAGATGGTAGGAGATTCCTTTGAAGGAGCTCAGGATGTGCTGAAGAGGAAGCAGATAGAGGAGGAAGAGCAGAGGCCCCAGCACAGAACCTTGTGGGACACCATGGGTAAGAGAGGTGATGGAGGACCTAAACTTGGAGACGGCCACAGAAAAGGAGCGCTCAGAAAGATAAGAGGAGAACCACTCCAGAGCAGTTCCTGATAGGCCGACCCAGTCTCTCAGCCTCTTCAGTAGCAGGTGATGGTCAACAGTGTCAAAGGCTGCAGTCAGGTCCAGCAGGACCAGAACAGAACAGTCCCCTGCATCACTGTGGGTCAGAAGGTCATTAGAGACCCCAAGAAGAGCTGTTTCAGTAGAATGAGCTCTACGAAAACCTGACTGGAAGCTATCATAGATGTTATGTTCATCAAGAGCAGCTGTGAGTTGTTTAGCCACCACCTTTTCCAAGATCTTGGAGATGAACAGAAGTTTAGAGATGGGTCTGAAGCTGCTATGGCGAGAGGGGTCGAGACTCGTTTTTTAAGAAGCGGGTGGATTACAGCATTCTTAAAGTAAGCAGGGACCTGACCAGATACCAGAGAAGCATTAATTATAGAGAGCACGCTGGGGCCGATGGACTGAAAAGCACTTTTAAACAAAGATGAGGATAAGATGTGGAGGGGGCATGCAGAGTTGAGCCCTGCACGGGCCTAAAATCTGAGCCCGTGTCCGGCCCGGCCCGAGGGGGTGGAGCCCCAGCCCGACCCGGTCCGAGAAGGTTTTCAGGATTCTCTGGCCCGACCCGAGCCCGACTTTTTTTTTTAACCTTTCATGATGTTTTAGTGTGATAGGATGCTCAGCATTCTGATTATCTGTGAGAAGCGTTCTGCAGTAAAAAAAAAAAAACAAAGAAAGAAAAACAGCATCAGTGCAGCTTTTTTTTCTAACAGAGCATATTTTCCGAGCGGCAGGTGAAATTTACGAACACTATATTAATTGGATGCGTTTGTAAATTTAATCTGCCGCTCTGAAAATGCGCTCTCCAGTTAGAACAAAACAGCAATGAATGCTGTATTTTTTAACTGCAGAGCAAATTTACTCACAGAAAAATAGAATGCTGCCGTTTTCATGAGAATAAACGAATGTTTTCTGACATCAAAGTGGACATAAAATGGCATATTAGAACAGGGGCACATGTTTCAATCAGCAGTTTGAGAATTCGTTTATAGGCGCGTTTATAAACCACACACACCTTAACTGAGCTAACGGTGCGTGGGAAGCAGGCAGGTGCTGCTGCGTTTAAGTGTTTCAGGTTTTTTTTTATGAATTCGATTAAAAATGAAGGCGCCCGGCCCGTGTCCGAGGTAATTACACAGTCGTTGGCCCGAAGCCCTAGGCACGCGGGTCGGCCTGGCCCGCGTGCCTAGGGCTTCAGTGCAGGGCTCTAATGCAGAGGTCTTCATAGAGTTAGCTAGTTTGGTTAACTCAGTCAAAGAAACAGGAGCAAAGCTATCTAGGATGATGGGCCTGGTTGGAGTCGGGAGAGGCAGCGATAAGGCTGAAGGAGAGATGCTAGATCTAACCTTATTGACTTTGTCCACAAAGAAAGACAGACAGTTCTCACAGTCTGTAACAGAGTGGATGGAGGCTGTAGGAGAGGCAGGAGAGACGATGCTGTTGATGGTGATAGAGACATAAACTATGCCGGATGTTACAGCCCAAACCGGACACCAGTACAATCCTGATGCCTACTGTGATAGGGCTTGGGATCACACGTGATTATGTGTTGCATTATGGGATGTGTCAGATCAGAGGCACATACCTACCCACTTTCTGTCACGGAGCTGGTATGGAAACAAAACTACGCTTGGATGAGCTGACTGAACCACGCTGTACAGAGCTGTTTCAGTCATAGGCGTTTTTAGCCTATGACTCAAAAATGGTTTGATCTTGCTCACCTTTCCTGGCTCTGAGCCTTCCTGAGTGGCTGATATGCTGCAGTCAGGGTGACCGAGCTTCCTGCTTTCTGTGGGACAGTCCCGAACTTCCACTATGTTTCACTGGTCCTGCTGATGGAGACACCGTCCGGCATGTTTGACTCGTGGGAGATGGAAATGCTGTTACAGTACAGACTGAAAGCTGTTCAGAGAGAGTCTGTGATGGGTCAGCAGGTTCCTCAGTAATTAGACAGGTAAGATGCCAAAATAAGAGTCTAACACAGACAAGGTGTTTGTCTTGTTTCATACAAGCCAAACCCTGTTGAAGAACATGAAAGAACAGTTGAAATAATTAAATTAAAGCCTTGCTTATTTATTATGAGACTTATGAGAAAAAATTCAGAACATTAGGTTCAAATCTAACTTTTTTCAGAGATTAAAGTCAGTGTTTTTGATTTTCTCTCCCCTAAATATCTACTGTAAGAGATTGGTTTTGTTTTTGTTAGTTTTTAAAATGAAGAATCTGCTCATATTTTAAAACTACAACACCTGGACCAGTGGTTCCCAACCTGGGGTCCATGATCCACCAAGGGGCTTCCCACAACATTTGTGGGGATTTCAGCACATACAAGTGATTTTTGTCTTGAGGGGCGCTATACAAAGGATAACTTCTTTTTCCTCCTCCTCTTCTTCTCTCCATCTACAACATGTTTGTGCTGAGGTTGCGAGGTTACCACACAGCCAAGGGATCCTCAAGGACAGAAGATTGAGAGGCACTGACCTGGACCAGATTCTGCTACAGCGATAGCAGAATCCATTCAACATAAAGATTGTGATGTGTAAACTCGTAATTTGATTAGTGAAAACAATGTTTTTGTTTTCTTTCATGAATGTGAGAATAAAACTGAGTTAAAATGTTGAAGTGTATCTTGCCTGACCGGGCAGCTCTCTGGGTAATCAGCCCCCCTAAACCGCTGACGCTAGAATCGCCCCTGGACTGAATAGTGCTCATGGAAAACTCACTAGCTATATAGATGGTCTTATGAGTGTAAAGAAATCAAGAAAACAAACAGACGTTGCAGTGAAGAAGCAGAATTGGGAGAAAGTGTTAAACAACATGTTAAAACCCCTAAAAGGAAGCAGAGTACACAGGGGTACGTTAAATAGGAATGCCAGGGACCGGTAAGAGGATAAAATCAGCATTATGAATGGTTTGGATCCATATGAAAGACCCAAGACTGGAGCACCGAGGACAGCTTGTTGCTGCAGCAGCTCTACGTAATGAGCATTTTCGGCCAGCTTGGTGGTATGAGTGGATGTAAACATCCAGATGAGAGGTAAATGTGTCACTTGTTGATTTTTCTAGTAAAACAATCCCAACTGTCATCCCACAGACGTGTAGCAGGAGAACCTGTGTTGTGTTTCAGCCTTCTGCCAGGTGTGGGTAGCCTACGAGGGCACTGTGTGTGCATGTCGCCACTGAAGGAAATAAATGGTGTATAAAGAAAAGGTATGCCATCTGTAACTTTACAGGATAAAATACTCAAGTTCAGAAGGTGATGTTTGGCTGCTTACAGCTGCGATCCAAGTGAGCAGACAAGACTTTGTTGTGCTAGATATTGGTCTCTGTGGTAATGCCCCAAGCAGGAAAACAGTGAAAAGTTGGCCCATTTTCCACCTTTTTGCCAGGTGATCACATGTTGCACCCCACAACACAGCAACGATTTAGCATGGTTGCATAATATAACCGATCAAATTAATAAAAGATGAAACAAAACTGCAAGACCGATACTGAGCGTGCTGTTGTCTGGAGTAACAAGCAACAAGTAAGGATTCGGAGGCCGCCAACATGGAGGCAACGAATATAAGCTCAGAGGCTTATAGTAATAAAGTTGGTTGTGTTCTGTTGAAAGAGGTGAAACTCAATCTTCTTTACGTGGATGCGAGTCAGAGCCTTACAGGTCGTTTCAAGTGGGTCCTGCAGTTTAGCTATAGCTAGCCTAGTCTGAGTAGACCAGTCCCAATATGGTCCAGATGAAATAAAAATACTAAAACTGCCTTTTACTAAACTTTCACAAATCACAGTTTTACAGATTTGGTAGAGGTGGAGAACGCTTAGGGAGCATTAGGGATGCTTTAGCCAGGACGAGGTCAGGACCCAAGATGCAGAAACCTAGAATGACACAAGGCAGGAGCGTAGTAAAACGTAAAATCCTTTTATTACGAGTCAATGTCCAAAACTCCAAAAAATCCAAGAAGGGGCAGGAAGCCAAGCCTAAAGTCAGTCACCCCACTGACAAAAACAAAAAGCCCTTTGATGAGGAAAAACTTAGTCTCACGAGGAGGAACAGAACAACACAGACAACAACAATGGACCGACAAAAACTGAGACACAGACAGGGTTATATACACAGGGACTGGGTGATTAAGAGATGAGGAGCAGGTGTGTGGGGAATAGGGCACAGGTGAAACAAATGAACTGAGGGAAGAAGCAGAAATTAGCAGGGGAGAAAACTATATCTTAAACCTGTAAACCAAAGCTACTAAAACAACCCAAACTAAACTTAAACACTGTAGAACAAAGACACGGGGGAATCTAAAAATAAGTAAACAAATGATCTGAGTGGGCAGCGAGAACTGAGGAGAGACTAGGAGAACATGAGGAAACCTGGAGGAGCTGGGGACTAAAAGGGCTGGGGACAACAAGGAGCACAGTACCTGAGGGGATACCTGGAGGGAGAACAGGAGGGGGCTGGGGACCAAAGGGACACAGAATCTGAGGGGACACCTAGAGGGAACCTGGAGGGGGCTGGAGAACACAGGGACACAGAACATGACAGCATTAGGGATACTTTAGGGATGCATTAGGGATGCATTAGGGATAATTTAGGGATGCTTAGGGAGCGGAAACCTTGGGTGGAATTGCCCTTTCCTACACAGGAACCAACTTCAGCTTCGTAAATGTTCTTCCTCTTCACAGCAGACATCTTGCATGGGTCTCCATTTGCCCCCAGTGTATTAATGAGGATGGTGATTACCCAACAACAAAAAAAATCCACCTTTTTATTATGCTTCTTCACAAAATCAGACATATGGTCTGGCATGACAATTAAACTATCAATATAATTAACAGGTAGGCAAGAAACGTCCCACGTGATCTGCTTTCAACAGGCTGTTGCAACTAAAGGCTGTACAAAGAACAGGCATAGCTGATTCATCTGCGTTGACTCCAGTCCTCCAAACCCTCAGCTTTCTCCGTGTGGTTCGATGACATCACTTTCATGAAGCACATTTGTAGTCCTGGACTTATTTTCACTTACTTTCAAAATGCGTGTTTAAATTCACAGACATCAAATGTAAAATGCATGGAACATAACAAGCGGAATTAGAAAATAGTGTTTTTAGCTGTAGCGTCATGAATGTCCTGTTCTTGACCTAAAGGTCATGATCTGCTGTGTCTGCTCGAGCAGAGACATAAAGTCTCTCGACAGCCTAATCTGCATGAGATAGTGGCCAAGGTCTTTCATGCACTCTGCTCATCCGAACTGCTTCACCTCTGTTACCAAGACGAAGACGAACACTATTTTGATAAATACATAATCAACAACTTTGTTATTTACTAATAATAATGTGAGCCCAATGTTCAATCAATCTGTGAAACGACAATGTTATTACTTGATATTATAATCTTGGACATTTGCGCTAGACACGTGATGACACAGAGTAATGCTAAAGCCACACGACACATTTCCTTTTGTCTGATCCAATCAGAACCTTCGTTTCTGGGGCTAGGCGTGGTTTTCTGTGGTGTTTGTATAAACCTTCTTTTGCATGTCAAATTATGATTCGCCAGTAAACCAAAATATGACAATTATAAAAACTATCCCACGCCACCTTTTCGTTAGTTCTAAGCGTTCTAGAGAAGTCTCGGACAGGCCATCCGGATTCATCTTCAGCCATAAAGAACCTCGACAAGCTGGATAAAATCTGTTGCAAGTTACACCTGACCGCAATGGTTCCTTCAGAATAAAAGCTGAACCTCACGACCCCTTCAGGGTCTCGGAGACACCAGTGATAACCTGTCGTGACCTGGAAGCATTCCCAGACTAGTTTGGTCGGCACTGCTGCTTTTCTATCGGCTTCGGTTCCAAGGAGGGTCCTTGAGGACCTTGGCATTCTGGATCTAACGGAGGCTTCCCCTGGGGTACGTAGACCGACAGATGGCGTTTCATGTGTGTTATAAATCTCCAACTAAAGTTTAGAGAGAAACATTCACTCCCACTCATGACTAACCGCTTCTCCGGATCCACTGGTTCTGAATAACATTCCACACACACACTCCATCATTCATCACTTCTCACTCCACCTTAGTTCCGTCAGTACACAGAGTGTTTAAGTTAGTTTTGTTTAAATTGTGTAGAAATAAATTTCTTAACTATTTTAAACCTGACTCTCTCTCTTTCCTCGGAGTTTATACGAAGTGTGGCTTAATCCCTGCAATAAAAAGTTCTGATCTTCTGGTTAAAATAGTCAAAGATCCATCAGATTGATATTTCATATTTCTATGGAATCTCACATTTTATGGTTCATAAGTAAGATGTAAATGACTCATTCTTTACATATTGGCTAGCCCTAAGCCATTTATTTGTATATTGTGACATTTCATGTTGATTCTGAGTCATTTTAATTGATAAAACACTCAAAATTCATCAAAAATTGATGTGTTTGGTGGGAGACGGGACGATCACGTCATCTGCCACTAGAGAGAGCAGTTGACCTCCATTTAAGTCTAGAAAGGGGAGTGACACCAGTCAGCTCCAACAGGGGAGCGCTGATTCCTCTCTTTCACCCAAAGGCTGTAATCTAGAGCCCTGCACTGAAGCCATAGGCCCTCGGGTCGGCCCGGCCCGACGGCCCTCGGGCCGGGCTTCGGGCCAATGACTGTGCAATTACCTCGGACACGGGCCGGGCTGGGCGCCTTTATTTTTAATCGAATTCATAAAAAAATTTGAAACACTAAATCACTCAAGAAAAGATTCCCATCTGAACATCTGAGCTGGACACTGCTCAGCGCAGCTCGCTGTCAGTGCGTACATAAGGTACACAGCGAGCTGAAGTTGTGGAGAGGGGCTTGGAGCACGTCGCAGAACCAGAGCGCATGCGGGAAGATTCTTCCGACTGAAGCGAGTGTTTTCCAAACCCTGTCTTTCAGAGAGACTTGTCACTTAGAAAATGTTCCCTGATTATGAAACTTTGGCTGAATAGTGCTTGTTCCTGTCTCCAATGTGGCGTCTGAGGAGAATCCCAGAATCTCACATCCTCGTCAGCTCAGAATGCGCCGATATGATTACGCACAAGCGTGACACGTCAGCCCGGTCTCACAGTAAGACCAGGTTGGAACTGTTCAGGTTTACGCAGACAATCTTTACATTTAGAATTGGCATACAGATGTAAAATTAATGCAGTAAAATATAAAGCATTTTATTTAAATATCCAGTCATTATTTTACAAGCACAGAGAGCCGCATCAGATGCGTCTCTCGTCTCCGCACGGTTAGTTACCCTCGCGGTCTATCACTGGCAAATCAAAAGTGAGACGGATGACACAACCGCCCCCTGTACTTGCTTGTTACCACATTCCACCCGGCCACGATAAAAAACCGGCCATTCACCTCCGCCGACTCCGGCCAAAATATGATACCCGGCAGTTAATTAAATACAGGCTAATATTAGAGGATTTACGGTATGTATTTCAGGTCACTGCCGAGCTGAGCTTAGATTTTAACATGTACTGTTTAACCATGAAATTTAAATGTAATAGGGTAAACCCAGTGCATTTAACATAATGCTGCACTTTAGAAAATGTGTTGAAATATAACATGTTGGTGGAGCTGGGTTCCCACTATCGGCTTGTGGAGATCTTCTCCCCTCCCCGCAGCTCGGCGCATCTCTGTCTGATCGTGGCTTCTGTCTGCTGCCGGCTTGTGGTTCTCCCCTCCCCGCTGCTCGGCGCATCTCTGTCTGATTGCGGCTTCTGTCAGCTGCTGGCTTTCAGCAGCTTTCGGGAGACCTCTGTGTTCCACCCGGTTTTACCCAGCGGTCAGCCCGGCGTATCTCTGACTCAGAAGCTCTGGTGTTGTGCACAGTTAACTCCGGTTGTAGCTAGGTTGCTACCTCCGTTAGCTTAGCTCCCACCTCCGCGTTAGCTTCGAGTTAGCTTGTAGCTAATTCGACCGGGTGTCGTCAGTTGATCCCAGCCTTACAGCCCCACCCTCAGCTCCACCTCTCTTCCCTTTTGTGGAATTGTCTGGGCTTGACGGAACCTGTGACACGGTCAAAATGGCGGTGGTGGCCACCTCCCATTTTTCTTCAAAAATGTGTTATTGGAGTCTATGGAAATGAATTGTCCAGTATAGTTGTCGATGGTCAAACTCACCCGCTCAAATCCCACCCACCGCAGACTTAGGAGGAACCATATGCTAACACCCCCCCCCCCCCCCCCCCACACGCTTCACTTCGTTCAAAGGATTTTGAACGGCTCTTTGAGGTAAAAGACCGACTAATGAACGGCTTCCGTGAAAGAACAATAAAACCCATCACTATTTGTGACGCAAACGAAAGGCGTGTCTTTTCTTTAGGTTTCGTTTTCTCGGAGTTTCTCAGTTGCCCTGCCGCAGCTGCTCATCTGCTGTTGTTCCTGCAGAAAAGAAGGAGCTCTGATTTACTTCTTCAGCGTCGGAAGACCCAGCACCTCCTCCACCTGTCCACATATGCAGACCGCTGTAAGCACGTGAGTACTTCTGGCTTGTCTGGATGTGAAGGAATAAAACAGTCTTCTGCTAGATACAATAAAGTATCACAAAAAGCTGCAGAATAAACAGGCCTAAAGTTCAGATTACATCTTTGCTCACAAACATCGGATTTTTAACCTGCAACGTGTTTACAGATTAGAACTTCCTGTTTTATCTCCATGGGCTTCTGTTTGAAAAAGAAAGAAAGACAGCAACTAATTCACCCATTGGCCCAAATAAGAGGTATATTTGTTTAGTGATGGTAGAAGAGCAGTTATTTAGTAAAAAGACCAATCTGCACAGCTTCCTGCTTTGTGAGCCCCTAGCTGCTGCTATTACTGTGCTACTACCAAATCCAGCTGTGGGTGATTGGGAGTGGCTGCAACATTTCTCCAGGACAGACAGCCGTGCATGTAGTTAGACACCATTATATGTCAACTGTAAACTCAAGCACCCATCAGACTTGATCCACAGAATTTCTGCTTCAGAGCTCATTTGTGTCAAATGTACTTTCTTCTTCACTGCTCTAAAACAAGAACATTACTTATACAATATTGTTAGGGCCAACAAGGCAGAAGTTCCTTCATGAAGCCGCGAATCACTTCCTGAACTAGAGGAAGTACTCATGACTGTTACAGGAACCACCAGAAGATGCTGCAGGCTCCTGTAAAGCTACATAAAGTTCATTGTTTTCATAGATGTAGCAGACAAATGTTGCTGAAGGGTGCTCTCTGCTTTTTCTACATCATTCTATTGCAGGTGCTATAAAACTCAGGTGAATACTAAAGGGGTGGAGCTTGAAACGAGCACCAGCTTTCATGGATGCTCTGAAAAATATCAGGTAAAACCAAAAAGAATGCTTTTTTGTTTCTGGCTGAAATGCTTTGTCTGTATTGTTCAAGCTCACTTTAAATGGTTTTTGTACAACTAGTGATCTACATTGAAGTGGAGAACTAAAGATAGTATGGCAGACCAAGGAGACATAAAAGTAAGTTGCCTGTCATTATTATAATTTTATTAATTAATATTATTGGCATTGAGTTAACATGGTGACAAATTGGTCTAAAAACATACCAAATAATTCTCCTTAAAGCTTGGTGCTGCATGGCATCAGACTGTTTAACCCTGTTTAAACTTTTAACAACTCAGAAATCATGAGACTAACAGAGCAGCTGCTGGACAACTTGTACTGTTTTTTTTATAAAGACAAAGTTTTAGAATATTGACATTTTAGTCCACTTTCACATTTGCTCCTGTAGAAACAGCACATCTTTCACGAGCAGACAGAGATGTCTCGACTTCATAAAACGTTGCCATGGCTGTGATTGCCCTGATAAAATACCGTGCCTTGCCTAAAAAATTCACCACCCCATTGGTGATTAGTGGTTTTCTTATGGCTACAACTGTTTAGTGCCAGCCCTTTGAGTTTCCTCCACACGTGTGAGTAGAAATGCTCCTAGCTTCATTATCAAAACGCTCTGAGTTCTACTGTTTTTATTCCATTCGATTTCACTGGAAGCTTGTTTTTGCCAGTGTCGCGAGCGTGTCCTATTTATCAGTTCCGTTAGAACCTGGTTCCGTTAGAACCTAAGACTGCGCTGTGTTCTATTTCGTCTAGTCTTAGCCCTTAAGCTAGCTGCTATTGGAAGGATGATCTCCGCATCAGCCAATCATGAAGAGCTTAAATGTACGCCCACCAATAGTGGGCCCCCTCATGGTATATAACCGCAGTGACCCCACTGCTCACCTCCTTTTTCTCTTCATGCCAAGCTTGAGAGCTTTATTAAAGAGCAAATATTATCTCAAAAGAGCAAATTATCCGAAGACGACTTACCAGCCATGTCCAGCGACACCAGACCCTGCCCGACCTGCCAGACGGGCTCCATTTCCAGCGGCGACCTGCACGCTAAGTGTGAGGTCTGTCTCGGGGCTCACCACGCTGGCCTGGCCTTGACCCCGCAGGCCTCGTGCCCGTTCTGTGCCGCTCTGCCCGTGGCGGAGAAGATTCGCCGGGTCGAGTACTTCACTCCCGCCGCCGACGAAGAATTTCCGGTGGCTGACTCCTACCCGCTGGACAAGGCTTTGGTTTTCTTCGACGCCGGTCAGGAGCCGGCTGGCTTCAACCGGCTGGATGACGTCACTGACAGCGAAAACTACGATGAGGCGGCGTCCCTCCTAGACATAACGGAGGTCGCTGAGCTTCGCTCAGCGGGTCCTTCTGCCCCAATGGCTTCTCGCTCCTCCCTGCCAGCAGTAAGAGCACTGCTCCAGGAGCTGCCCGCCATCATTTCTGCGTCAGCAGCCCGCAAGGGGCTAGCTGTGCCAGAACCGGCCCTGCCTGAAGCGGATGATTTGGCGGGAATTTTCGGGGCAACTCAGACACGCTGTCCAGACCCTGTCTGGCCGCGCTTCCCCGCTGCTATGAGCTGCTGGTCTGCCGCCTTCTCCGAGCCTGCCAAGCTCAAGGTGCCAGTCTCCACATATGCGCCCATCACCAAGGTCGAGGGGTTTTCCGACCAAGGCTGGCCGTCCGTTCCTCCACTAGAGCCGGATTTGGCCTCGCTGTTCGGCGCCAAGAACCACCTCGCTGGCCCGCGAGCTGTTCCCGCTTCAAAACATGACCAGCTGCTGAAGCGGCTCACCGACCGCGCACATCAGTGTGCCTTTCAGACCGGCGCTGCAGGGAATAACATCGCCCTTCTTGCCTTCGGCGTCTCCAAGATGATGGAGGAGCTGGAAGCTCCCGAGGAGTCGAAAGCCGTCATAACTAAGACTGCTGATGCCATCCTCAATCTGTGTGCTGCTGTGCTCACCGGTTCTGCTCGCATCGCTGCCTGGCAGACCCTCATCCAGCGAGCGATCTGGCTGAAGGCCCTGCCCTCCATTCCGGAACATCTGCAAAGGGAGATGCTGGATGGCCCCATCACCACCAATGTTCTGTTTGGTCCCCATCTTAGGGGCGTCATTGAGAGGGCTCAGAAGACGGCCGAACTATCGGCTACGGTGCGAGACCTGGTTCACCCTCGGTCAGCCTCGCACTCCGGCCGTTCAGCCAGAGGATGGGACGAACGGCGCGGAAGCTTCAGACGTCCAGCTGCACCGCCCGCTCCACGGAGCCGGCCTCCCGCTTCGGCTCCACATCAGCGGGACCAGCGAGATGGCGGACAACGGTTCCGGCGGGGCCAGCAGACGCCGTCTTGGCAGTCCCAGGTGCAGGAGCCTCGCCGAAAGCAGCCACGGAAGTGACTCTTTGGGGGGAATGTGTGTGTACATGATTGTTCTGATGTTGTTGGTTTTGAAATAAAACCCAAAAAACGTCACTCAAAGAGCACAATCCTACAGTCCTCCGCAGAATCCTCTGCCGAGTTCTCACACATGTTCCCCACACCAAGCACTGCTGCACGCACACATGTTCCTGCAGGTAGTCATAATACACGGCCAGCCGTAAGGGTGCGCTCCATTTGCGCTCTGGCCCCAGCATCCGGCCAGGCCCAACTCGTCCCGCTCTCCCCACGCCGTTGGGTGGGACGGGATGTCATGTCGCTGTCTCGACCACGCGCGGCGGCACAGTGCGCGGCTCCATCCGCTAGCACTCTGTCGCCCCCGTGCACAGGCCCAGCTCCCACTCGTCCTTCACTCTCGAACTCCACGCTCCGCGGTGTGGACCAGCCTGTTCCAGCTGTTTCTCACTTGCCCTTTCGAGCGCAGCCCTCCATGGGTCGCCCCCAGTTCTCTGGTACGGGCGACGGCGGTAAGGGCGCATGCACAACCCTCAGACGTTGTTCACGTGACCGCGCACACGCGTCCACTGTCGGAACGCGCGCACGAGTGGCGCCGCCTTTGCATCATGAGCAAATGGATTTCGGACACCATTCATTGCGGTCACACACTTCATTTTCAGGCCACTCCACCTCCCTTCAACGGGATCGTGGAGACGACGTTCACATCGCAAGTACAGTCTCAGGCGCTAGAGCTGGAGCTGCGGGAACTTCTGTCCAAAGACGCTATTTCCCGAGTCCCTCGCGGACAAGAACTCTAGGGTTTCTACTCCCGCTACTTCGTAGTACCGAAGAAGTCGGGAGGAATGAGGCCGATTCTCGACCTGTCCCTGTTCAACTGCTCCATAGCAGTAATGCATTTCCGCATGTTAACGATGAGACAAGTCCTGGAATATGTGCGCCCCGGGGATTGGTTCACGTCAATCGACCTGAAAGACGCATACTTCCACATACCAGTAGTTCCAAACCACCGGAAGTTTCTGCGTTTTTCGTTCAAGGGAGTTCAATATCAGTTCAATCGCCTCCCTTTCGGCTACTCGCTAGCCCCGCGCACTTTCTCCAAATGTCTGGAGACCGCGCTGCAGCCACTGCGCACGGAGGGAATGAGGGTCTTATTTTACCTGGACGATCTTCTCCTGTGCGCTCGGTCCGAGGACGAGGCGTCACAGCAAACCAGGAGGTTGACAGAGCATCTGTCGACCCTAGGGTTTTCTATAAACTGGGAAAAGAGCTCCATCCTTCCATCCCAGTCGATTGTGTATCTCGGGGTGGAGTTGGACGCCTCCCTAATGAGAGCACGTTTGTCGCCTGCAAGAGCGGCAGATCTCTCCACGGTGATCTCCCGTGTTCAACCCCGCAAGATCGTGAGAGCCCGGTTAGTCATGAAACTCCTGGGCATGATGTCCGCAGCCCATTCAGTAGTGCCGCTAGGTTTGCTGCGCACGAGGCGCTTGCAACGCTGGTTCGTCCGCCTCCGGGTACACCCAATACGTCAGAAGAGACGTATGTTGAGGATTCCCCCTTCAGTGGGCGGGGACCTCGCTCACTGGGGGAACCCCTGCATCCTCTCACGCGGGGTTCCCATCGGACGTCCTGCGTCACACGTATCTGTGTTTACGGATGCGTCACTGTCGGGGTGGGGGGGCACGTGCTTGTCCCATACGGTGGCAGATCGCTGGCCCTCCCACACGCACGAGCACATAAATGTGTTGGAGCTTATGACAGTGAGGAATGTGATCAGACACTTCGCTGCCCTTCTCGAGGGCCGTCATGTCGAAGTTCACACAGACAACCGGGTAGCGGCAGCCTACATAAATCGCCAAGGGGGAGTTCGATCCCTCCCACTGTTGCGTGTCGCCACAGATTTACTGTGTTGGACACATGTCCACCTGCTGTCCATCAGAGCCATCTACATTCCGGGGGTACTGAATGTAGCGGCAGACATCCTGTCGAGAGGGGGACCCCGCGACTCCGACTGGCGTCTACATCCTGCACTGATATCACAGATCTGGATCAGGTTCGGGGAACCGTCTGTGGATCTGTTCGTGGCTCGCGAAAACGCTCAGTGTCGCCTGTGGTTTTCCCTGAGTCCCCGGGACGGACCCCCGCTCGGGGCGGACGCCTTCTCACACCAGCCCTGGCCTCGAACGCTCCTTTACGCGTTTCCACCAGTCCCTCTGATTCCCCGTCTCCTGGACCGAATTCGGTCGGAACAGCTCTCGGTGATTCTGGTGGCTCCCAGGCGCGTGTCCGCGTCATGGTTTCCGGACCTGCAAGCGCTAGTGTCCGGCTCCCCGTGGAGGCTCCCGTGGAGAGCGGACGCCCTTCTCCAGGCGGATGGGATAATCAAACATCCTCCGGAAATAGGCCAACGGCTGTGGGTCTGGCCGCTGAGCGGTCACGCTTAGAGGCTTCTGGGCTGCCGCATGATGTGGTGGCCACGATTCAGAGTGCGCGGGCGCCCTCTACCATTGCCTCTTACGCTGCTAAATGGGCAGCTTTCCAGAACTGGTGCGCAGAACGGAATGTTCAAGCGCTCTCCTGCCAGCTGGCGGATGTCCTATCGTTTTTGCAGATACTGATGGACAGGGGCCTCGCATTCAGCACTGTTAAGACATATGCTGCAGCTATCTCATCATGTCATCAGGGTTTTGGAAATAGATCTGTTTTCAATCATCCCCTCACAAAACGTTTTCTAAAAGGTGTCAGAAGGAACAGACCTGTGTCCCGCCCGCTTTTTCCCCAATGGGATCTAACGGTGGTTCTGCACGGCTTATCTGAAGCTCCATTTGAACCCTTGGACCAGGTCTCACTCAAGTTCCTGTCGCTTAAAACTGCATTGCTGCTAGCGCTAGCATCAGTTAAGAGAGTGAGTGACCTAACCGCCCTCTCAGTGGCTCCCGCATGCCTCAGGATCCGGGAGGATGGCGGGTCTGCTGTTTTATGCCCCAACCCAGCCTTTGTGCCCAAAAGCATTAATGCTTCCTTCAAATCCAGGTCAATTTCATTGGCTGGACTTTTTCCTCCTCCCCATAATTCTGAGGAGTAGGCGGCTTCTCACCTTCTCTGCCCGGTGCGCGCGCTTGTACGGTATGTGTCACGCACTTCGGAGATTCGTCGCTCACAAAACCTGTTTGTGCACTACAGGGAGTCTTCCCTTGGTCAGGCGCTGTCGGCCCAGCGCCTTTCACGCTGGCTGTGTGACGCCATTTCCCTCGCTTACACATCATCAGGGCGGGATCCCCCTGAGGCACTCAGGGCTCACTCAGCCAGAGGGATTTCCTCTTCTATGGTGCTCTTCAGTGGTGTGTCAATGGAAGACATTTGTCAGGCTGCTTCATGGGCTTCACCCTGTTCCTTTACTCGTTATTATTTACGAGATGTGTCTTCTGGATCCATCACTCGTTCAGTGCTTGGACCCCAGCAGGCTGAATGAATGCTTATGGCACCTCATTGGCCTTGCTGAGATGGATTTTATCCTCTTGTGGATGATGTTTTTTTAGTGGGGGCCCCTCTCTTATGTGCCTGCCTCAGTCTTTAGGCCTGGTCTGAGGCTGAACGTCCCCCACTAGAGGAGATTTGATTGGGTGTGTCCATTGGTTGTGTTAACCAGTGGGGCGTAAACCCATCCAGCTGCGCTTTATTCCAATAGCAGCTAGCTTAAGGGCTAAGACTAGACGAAATAGAACGTTGGTTACGTATTGTAACCCCAGATTCTATGAGTCTAGTCGCAGCCCTTAAGCCACTGGCCCCACTGGTTATGATGGGAATAAGAGCCATTGGAGGTGAGCAGTGGGGTCACTGCGGTTATATACCATGAGGGGGCCCACTATTGGTGGGCGTACATTTAAGCTCTTCATGATTGGCTGATGCGGAGATCATCCTTCCAATAGCAGCTAGCTTAAGGGCTAAGACTAGACTCATAGAATCTGGGGTTACAATACGTAACCAACGTTCTCAGGGTCCGTGGGGCGTCGGTGAGTTTTATTGTATTAGACCCTGGTTTGGACTCCCTAATTAGAATCAGTTTCCTATTTTAAGGTGAAATGATATGCCGTACTTTTTCTTTTGTGATAGCACACTTTCTTTTTAGTTTCTCCCGTTATTTAGTGGTTCTAAAAACTAGGGCAAAGTTCAGAAGCAGGCCATCCTTCTGACAATTCTTTGTGTCATATTAGAATTAATTTGCACCTCTGTCAGCTTTTGTGGGCTGTGGTAACTAGAAAATGATTCTTGTTAGTTGATCAGACTAACATAGATTTATCAATTAATCTAATTAATCCAACCTTCCCACGCTGGCGGAGACTTTTTCACACTTGCAAACAGAGCCTATTTTAACCTACTAATGTTTTGGCTTATAAATCCTTAGGATGTCTCGTTACTCACGGGAGGAGAAGACTAGCTTCTTCACCTAAGGTTTCTTTTTCTGAATCTGTCACAAACTGTAAAGCAAATCCTGAAAATTCAGGAACCTGTAATTAAATATGCTTACCTCTCCTTATTGTTTCGGATCGGGGCCCCCACTCAAACCTTTAAAAAGGACCTTTAAGAATCAGGAATGTAGATTATTTTTTCAAAAAGTTTATTACAAGATTAAAAAATACAAAAAGTAGGTAGATATAAGACTGATTACTTCCCCCAAGGAGAAATGCTAATCCTAATAATTAACTAAGAATAATCAGTTGACTTGCACCAACTCTAAGTCTTCTTCAGCTTCAGGTTAACACCCTCTAACTCTCTCAAAAATTGCAAAATACAAAAAATGAGTAAATATAAAACTAATCTTTCCCCTGTGGAGGATGCTAATGCTAAAATCTTCCTGAGAATAAATGGTTGACTTGCGTCAACACTAACCCGTCACTCTCTAACTTGAAGTACGACTCTCTTCTTCTCTCCCCAACGACTGACCTGTCGTCCTCCATCCTGAGGACGGAGGATGACCTCTTCTATCCCAAATCTGCTCTGTCTCTCACTGTCGACTGCCCCAACTCTGTCAGCTCTGTTTCTAGCTGCTCTTTTTATACTCTTCTTGGGACATCCTAGACAAAGTAAAAGTGTTCCAGTTACCCATATATCATTATCACATGACAGCAAGACAATGGGGTTATTTGTCAGTTTCATACTTTTTAGCTCAACACAAGACATTTGGTGTCTTCTCCCGAAGTCCAGGATTCTTCATGAAGGCCTGTCGTCTCCTGATAAGCTCTTTTCAGTCTGCCTCCTTTGACCCCACCTCTCTTGCTGAAGGTTGGGTCAAACACTTCTTGACCTTCTGCCCAATTTTACTTGCAAGTTCTGATCCCTTGGATTCTTCATGAAGGATTTGTCCACTTCTGAGATGCTTTATCTTCAGTTGATCTTCTTTTGTCCCAGCTTGGATGCTTGTTGTGCAGTTGGGCCCCTGTCTTCTGGCTGATTTTACTCGCATAAGCAAGTTCAGTGTGTTTCAGTGTGGGTCCAATCTTATCTCTGTGGCCCACCCGTTGACTCCGTTTCTTGCCACTGTCTTTGGCATGTGGGAACTTGCAACACCAGTAATGATCATTCTGAATATTGATTTCATCCTCTTAAGCTGGCAGACACTGTGTAATTTTTGCCCAGTTTTCAGACTTTTTTCCTCTCATGTGAGATTCTTTGAAGTCAGGGTGAGTTGGAAATTACAGTCCGCAGGTGTGAGATGTTCTCCGCTCAATAATATCAGAGAAGGAGAAACAACTGGCTGCTACCACTTCAACCAAAGTCCCAAAAAGAAAAACACCATTTGAAGTCACGAACAACAAAAGATGTTTGGAACTAAAAAACAACAACTGGTGTTTTTTCTCTCTCGTTTCCTCTGGGAATGGCGGTTCCGGTATCCGGCGGACACGACCTAAGGACGATAGCTAAGGGAGGACTAAGTTTTGTGTAGTTTTGTTTACAAACTAGCTTGTTTTGTAGGTTTGCCCTTGCAGCGTTAATTTTCTCTACAGTTAGTTACTGTGCCACTCAAACTGATTAATCATTTAATTTTTCTCTGTTTTCACCAGGGGGAGGACTTGCCATGTGACTTAAAAGACTGGAGTAAACATGACGTGAGATTCTGGGTTCTCACCTTGGGTGGAGTAGATGGGTCTGTTGCTGATAAACTGTTTCAGGAAGACATTAACGGTCCTAGTCTTAAACTTTTAACCAAATCAGACTTAAGTGAAATGGGTGTGAACTTTGGACCAGCTAAAATTATCATTCATGCCAGAGATGAGGTAATGACATTAAAGAGAGAAGAGCCAATGAGTTCTCCAAACCAACCTGGGAAACCATGCAAGCCTTATCCATTCAGCAGATATCAGGACACTTTCAGATATATAGAGGACAGCATTCTCGATGTCCCAGAATCAGGTGCCTCAAACTTCATTGAACCCTGCCATGAATATAAAGGTTTCATCAACACACCTGATGAACACAAATTAAACAAGTTCACATTTGAAGTAATCCGTTTTTCAGCTGCCTGCATGAACAGCCGCACCAATGGCACCATACATTTTGGAATTGGAGACAAGCCAGACTTTGTTCATGGTCAGGTGTTGGGAGTGTCAATAAAAGACAAAGAGGACTATACAACCAAGCTAAACTCAGCCATTACTGCTCACTTTCACTTTAACCAAGATTATGCTAAAAAATGTATTCGACCTCCTCGATTTGTTGACGTTCTCAACAAAAACACGACATCTTCTGACAAATGTGTGATTGAAGTGGACATTGTTCCTGAGTTTGATGTGTGTAAAGAAATGTACTTCCACACTTACAACACAAAAAAAGGAAAGGAGAAGAGTTTTTATGTTCGAGACGGTGGCAGCAGCAAGAATCTTCTCGCTCAAGCCACACCTAAAGAGTACGATCATTTTCTTCAACAAATCGCTCAAATAAGTAAGCTTCGCAAAAAGGCAGAAGAGAAGCACCTGAATGGAATTAAAAGTTCTACTCAAGGCTCTTGGTTAAGCCAGATGATAACTGGCAGCTCTAAATCCTTGGATAAGTCAAACTTTGAGCGATATGTTGTCGTGACAAACAAATCTCATCCAAGCCATTTTCAGAATCTAGGATTTCTGATAGAACTTTACCCAACAGCCGTTTTGGACTTTGATCCTGAATCAGCGGAATGTGGATTACAGCATTTTTTCAAGCAGCATAGCACAGTGAGCTCCCATTTGCCAGCAGCATATAAAATCACAGACAGAGTGGAGGACACTGGTAACAAGTTGAAATTGACTCAAAACACCAGCTGGGTGTTCTGTAATGGAGGCATTGAGAATGAGACACCCTCAGACACTGATCAGTGGTTCATGGAAAAGGGAGCCTCCACTCGAGATGTGATCTCTTTCTTGTGTCGAAGAGATGTGCTTCCAAACAAAAGGTTCCTTGTCATATTCTTACTTTTGTCCACAGTGAGGGAGAAGATGGACCCTCTTGTTGAGACTTTCATCACTTTCTATCAGGAACTAAGAGGTACTGATCAGATCCTCTGTATATCTGACAATGAAAATGCATTTACTTCATGGAAGGATCTTCTTGAGGCTCGGTGTGGAATTAACATATCTTGTAGATGCATCTATGAGCTTAGTTTTGCAGAAGTCAATGGCACCATTTGTAGTCTTTGGTCAGAAAACCGCAGAGCCATTCGTTTCCTAGCTTGTGGCGGTGAAAGCAAAGTGCCTCTTGAGAAGAAGGTTGAGCGTAGCCTGAACACCTTAGAGATCCTGTGTGTGAATGAGTGTGATGGAGGAAGCGAGGACATGAAGTCCATGGAGGAGAATTTTTACAGAGGAGAGAAAGTGTCTTGGTGGAATTTCTTTTTCTCAGAGCAGCCTGGATCCACACCGTTCATCAAACGAGACAAGTTTGACTACATTGTGACCACGGTCATAGAAGACTTGTGCTCCCTGACAAAAGCCTGTGTGTTGCTCAATCTCCTACATGTACCTGGATGTGGCGGGACTACTTTGGCCATGCATGTATTATGGGATCGTCGATACCGTTTTCGCTGTGCGGTCCTCAGAAATAGTAGTTCTGACTTTGCTGAAGTAGCTGATCAAGTGGTCCAGCTTTTAACACTTTCCCACGAAGAGGAAAGACCAAAGATCCCTGTTTTGCTGATGATTGATGAATTTGAGGACATGGAAAAAGTATATGAATTACAGCAGCAAATTGAAAAGAAGTGTGTTGAGAAAAAAATTCAGTCCAAATGTGCAAATGTCATTCTTCTGAACTGCATGAGATCAGGGTCCTCTGAGCTGAACGCATCAACGACAGATACTGTATTCCTTGGGAATGCTCTCTCCGAGAAGGAACTGAAGTTCTTTGAGGAGAAGCTCGTGGAGATTGAAAAAAGACACAAGAACTTTGAAACATTCTATGGGTTCATGATCATGAAGAAGAACTTCAAGTCGGAGTACATTGAAGGTGTGGTGCGGAACACACTGAAAAGCTTCAACATCAACCAGAAGAATGCTAAACTCCTGGCAGTTTTAGTTCTGTTGAATGTATACTGCAAGGGTTCCTCTCTCTCTGTGTCTTTGTGTGAAGACTTTCTTGACCTTCAACCAAAGCCCATTTGTGGAAGCATAAAAGTTGAAGATGGATTTGGGAAATTTTCCAATTTTATCGCCAGCTGCTCAGTTGAAGGTCTGGTAGTTTACAGAGCAGTGAAAGTGATCCACTCAAGTATTGCACGACAGTGTTTGCAGGAACTCAAAGCAACACACAGTGTGACAAAAGCGGACATTGCTGACCTTCTACTGACAACAAACCAGCTTTATGAGAGTACCCAAGGCAAATGCAAATTCCTGCAAGATGTCCACCACATTCTGGTCAAACGGGTTTTTTCATCAGAAGAGGAATGCCAGTTTTCTCCACTTATTCTAGATATAGCAAATGAAACACCTGGCCAGGAAGAGCTGGTGCTGTCAAATGCATCAAAAAGGTTTGACAAAGATGCTGTTATCTTCCAGCTGCTTGCCAGGTACTGTTACCTTAAAAAGAAGGATTTTTCTGAGGCAAAGGTTTGGGCACAGAAAGCAAAAGAACTCTCCGAAGACAGCTCCTATATTGCCGACACATCAGCACAAGTTTTTAAGCATGAGCTAAAGAATGCCATTGCAAATTGCAAGGAAGTTCCTGTTAGCCCTGAAAATGTAAACGTTTTCCTCAAAATGGCGCAGTCTGCAATTGACGCGTTCTGGCAAACACAAAACCTGGCAAAGAAAGAGTCACTTCAGCGAGTAAACACCAAAACAGGCAACTGCCCTTTCAATACATCAGGATGTCTTGGAGAAATTCAGGTTGGAGTAATCATCACTGACTTGCTGGCAAAAGTCCCTGTGTTTTCCCTCGACGGTGTCCGGCACGACATCATGAGTCAGGTTCTTGCAGGAGACATGAAATTAGAAAGTATGCAGAAAAATGATCCTCGACGTCATAAAAACAGCAACTATTATGACATTCTAAGACAGTTTGAAGATGTACTATACAACCTCAAGTACAGGATGAAGGTGAACATTGACTACCTCGACAAGGTATTTGTGAACCTGGGTTCCAGATATGGGATGAAAGACAGTCGTGAGCAAGTGGCTCAGAATGAGCTTTTCAGGTGTTTCAAACAGTATGCTAATGTTTTCTGCAAAACAGATTCTACACATCTGTTAAAGAATAAGATGATGAGCAACAAGATGAAGCTCGACCAGATAAAACAGTTTCTTGAGAAGCAGAAAGCTGATACCTACTCAGGAATTCTGAATTGTCTCTCAAAGAAAATCCCGGCTGAAATGATGGAGAAAATTGTCAGACACTATGCCTTTATATGCCAAGCTGAGCAAAATCCAAGTCCAAAGGAAAAGATTAACTTCATCTATGCGACTGTTGTATTGAGTCGTATCAAACTGGAATCTCGAGAAATGATGCCGTACCCACAGCTGCTTAAGTTTCTCTTCCAGCTTCTATCAGAGCAAACTCCCATCAGTGAGACTCTGTCACTGTTCTTCATCGCTGTAGCGCTGTTGTGGCCATCGTCACAAGACACAGGATGTAGGAATTTGGGCTGGTATATCTCACAGATGAAGAACTCATACCACAAGGAGTTGAAGGAAGCGTGCAATGGCAAGAGTCCAACAGTTCATTTCCTGTTGGGGAATAAATGTGGCTACGAGCAGCTTGTGCACATTGGAGAAATCAAAGAATGCATTGAGGCCAAACAGGAAGTGTTCGAATCCATGTGGGGAAATGCCAAAATATGGAAAGAGGAGAAGGTGAGGAGTCTTCTCTGCAGAGCAACTGGTGAGGTGACCCATGGGAATATTCTGACAAATACTTGTGTCAACCACCTAAAGCTGGAAGTGATGCCGATGTACCGAAGTCAGATCAGTGGATATGCCGAGGGGTCAAGAGTCTCATTCTTCATTGGTTTCTCGATGAGAGGTCCTCTGGCCCTTGACATTAATGTTGGACCTTAAAGGAGCTAAACATAAAGAGGACAGCACTCAGCTGAATAAAAACCTTTTGTAGTCGTAAATAACCTGTTTTATATTGATGTAGAGAAAAGGTGCTGAAATGCTTGTATTACCACTGCTGTTGTGTTCTGACACAAACAAGAGGCTTAATTTAAAACAACATCATGTAACTATTTTTCATGTGTTAACTGAGTTTGTATGCTTTTATTATGCTACCTTTTTAGTAAACCTGCAGAATGGTAACGTGATGCTGAAGTACAGAAATGTAAACCTGATTAACATCAAATGGAGACAAAACCATGGAGAGCATAAAGAATATTTTTTTGCTTCAGGTGATCAGGAAACAAGGTTTGTAATTATTATTTAAGAGAAAGTCACCCTTAAGCAAACGGGGTTTTTGCTGATAAATAATTAACGAGTGTCCAATATTGCTGTAGATGTGTAGTCATTATTTTGGTATTTTAGTGCGTCTTTTTAAACGGTAAACGGTCCGTATTCGTATAGCGCCTTCTTAGGTTTCTGCAACCCCCAAGGTGCTTCACAACACAGTCGGTCATTCATCCTTTCACACCCTGGTGGGGAGGAGCTATAATGTGGCTACAGCTGCCCTGGGGCGCTCTGACAGAGGGGAGGCTGCCGAGAACGGGTACCACCGGTCCTTCCGACCATCACCAGCAGCAGGGCGGGTAAAGTGTCTCGCCCAAGGACACAATAGGATAATTCTCTGGTCGGAGCCGGGATCAAACCTGCAACTTTCTGATTACTGGACAACCCGCTGTACCTCCTGAGCTGCTGCTTTTAAAAATATTAACATTCTGCCTAAGACCGTCAGTGTGGCGCCCTGTTCGGGCAAAAGAACTAGCTATCAGTGACTAGGAAGTGCCTTTTCTAGAAATGCTTATGGAAAAGGAAATTATTGCAATAGCAGGAAGAAAGGTACCATGTAATCAGCTATGCATTATGGTTCATGATGAAAGTTATTGTAACTAGGGTTATATGTTGTTGCCTAGCTCTTATGTTGGTTGTTGACATGGATGGCTTCAATAAATCATTTATCCACCAGTTCTGTTCTTCTCGGTGTTGAATGAATGCTACACATCATTTTACAATCCATTCCCAAAAAAATGCGTGCATTATTTCAAATGTTTTACATTGTTGAGCAGAGGTGTCGGACTCCAGTCCCCGAGGGCTGGTGTTATAGCAAAACCTGACCTAGCATAACGTGTGACTGCAGGGGGTGCTAGAGTATCTCTCATTTCAGGCCTTATAAAGGAAGAAGAAGAGCACTTACTGCTTAACAGCTGTCACAGCTGGGATTTTGTGCGTCACTGCTTCTTCTGGCGTTTGACCAACGTCTCAGTGACTGAAAATGTCATTTATTTTGTATTTGAAGTAGAACAATATCTGCTGAATGTTCAAATGGATGTTGGTGATTTGTTTGAACAAATCAGGAACTGTTATTTTCCCTACGCACTTTCAGCAGTCTGGACTGAGTCTATCTAACACCTTCCTAGCTAACAACACACTGCTCATTTATTTTAGGCAGACACTTCTGTGACCCTACACTGTAAACCTATATTATTCATATATGAGTCAAATTAAACGGTTTTCTATGGTTGTTCTACCTCCTAAGTCACGTTAGGATTTTGATTGGTCAGAACAAATTTGCGGTCGTAGTCTTAGTGGTTGTAGTCCTGTAGTCCAAAAATCAACAGTTTTTGTACAAAATATGTTTGAATTTCTAAAGGAAATGTAAAATATAAGCAAATGATAAACGGTGACCCTCAAAAGCTCTTGATGTTGATGAAATGGGGTAAAATAAAATATAAGAACTTTATTGAAAGACACCAAGCAATATTTTGAGTCAAAGCATATATTTGGATAACAACTAAGGAAATATACAGACGAATTCCACATTAATACAAACAGATGTGGCTTCACATATAAGAACTGTTCTATTTTTTTGTCAGTCTGATGTTGGTTTTATGCAGTCTCACATTCTTTACAAAACAAAGATAATATGGTGTTTTATTAACAAATTACAATTATAAAGAAAACATTTAGGCGTTAACAAACAAGAATTTATTAACAAAACTGCTGATGTCTTTCCAAAACGTGTGTGAAAGCCGAGTAGATTAGCAGTAATGTGACGTCATCGGCAGTCAAAGGATCCCGAGCTGATCCTGCACCCGAGAAGATCCGACATCGGCGCTACATTCAAGATGCTTCTACTTGTGAAGTCCACTAGATGGCGCTACTGGGTAAAACACCATCAAATATGTGAAATTCAGATTTGGAACACGTCTGTGCTTGATGGACCTAATCATTCTTTTTTTCACCGTGACTAAAATAATATGGATTTTTCCCTGTTTGTTTCAAAAGTTATGATTATTCCACAATCATAATTTTATGTTGTCCTGCAAACCAAATCCTGTTATGCTTATGCTCTAAAACAAACATTCATCGTGTTTAATGCGGTGATCAGGTGATCCTGGCACGGACGTGGGTTTGAGAAAAGACTGAGATAATCGTATTTCAATAACTCAGATTGTAATAAAATGTTCAGATGCCAACAAGGAGAACTCATTTACACTTAGTTTCATTATTTTTGTTTAAAATAAAAATAACTGGAGCTTCAAACTGAAGTGAAATACTGAAGGAGGCGTGTGTGATTCAGATAAACCACTTCCTGTTCTGACCCAGACCCGTCTGACTGACGCCTTTGTTATGGGGGTACTGAGCATCCTGAAGATATTTTAGTTAAGATGATTAATCTGGAGTTTTCTCAGCGATCAGACATGAGTAAACGATCCTAATCATGAGATTAGAAGGTTCCTGCTGTAACAAATAAAAGTTTTAGTTATGATTTTTGAACATTTTCTTACTTGACATCAAGATGTGAAATATTTTTAGTTCAAATTTTAAATCCAGACACCCCCCCCTCCCTTTTTTTTTTTAAATCCACAACCTCGCTGACCTCCCTCCTAAGAGCCTACCCTGACCCGACTGGACCCGCCTCCCATCTTGGCGTGCCAGCTTTGAATTATAACCTTCACACTCTGGGAAGCACAGAGTGACGATTGTGATTGTATTTTAATTCTGACGGCGAGGTGAAAAAGATGGCTTCCTCTGAGAGTGGGCAGGATTTATGGGGCCTGTCCTGGCCGCTGGCCCCACATCCTCTCTGATCTGCTTTTACTCTGGCGACCCCACGACCCTCGGGGGTCATTAGCGAGGCCCCGAATGGTCCGGCTGGCTGCCAGCCCATTTCACACTGCTTGTTTTCCAATCAAATCACTATATTTAACAGGAACACGAGCCCAGGGCCAAGTCCAAACAGACATCTGTTTGAAATTGTTCCTCGCAATTATTTCACACAGAAGCTCTCCCTGTGCTCACTCCTTGCCCCACTTTGAGCTTTTGTTTGTTGTTGTTTGTTTTCAGCAAAAACTCCCCCTTCGGTTTGCTAATGGACAGAATCGAGGGGGGTGCTTGGGTCGGTGAGGCTCTGGCTCTTCTCTCCGCTGCCACAGAGGAGAAGAGAAACGGCACAAAGCAGCGTTTTCTCTCGGGGTTCTGATCTGCTGCCAGCAAACTCAACGCCATACTGACCTTCGCTCGCATACGAGCACGTGATAGACGCTGTGTTTCTGACTCAGTCTGGTGCATCAGTACAGGAAGTGAAACCATAACACAGATTTGTGTCATCATCTCCATCGATTAAGACTTTGTTCAAACTGTGAAACCAGAAAACATCACAGTTGTCATCAGAAAAGCATCCTTCACAGTTTAACAACCACAAAGGGCTTCACAGTTAAAATATTAAACAAATGAACATAAATCATAAAATCTAAATGTTTCCTTGTCACCAGGCTGGCTTTAACTAAACACATCTAGAGAATATCAGACACCGTTTTTACGCTTGTGCAGAAATCCACAAAGACGAGTAAAGATGTCTTCTGTTGATGCACTTCTGTCACTTCAGCGCTTCCGGTCGGTAACAAGATGGTGCCTGTGCTAGGCTTAGCCGCAGTCACCGGCCACTTTTTCAAAATTTTTTCCACTAACCTCCTCTTTTCCACCTTGCTCCTGTCTGCAATCCTCTTCAGTAGTTTCCCTGATACCATCTCCTATGATCGCCAGACTCTTTTGTTCTTCCGTTCGTTCACGATCGCCCAAGATGCACCGGGGACGTACCTCCCTGTTTGTTTACCTGAGTGGCGCACTGGCCCGGAGCCAAACGACCATTCCAACCATGGCGCATCCAGCGATGTGTATCCGGTCCCGGCAAACCGTCGGAGGAAAAGAGGTAATCGAGCAGGAATCCAGGTGAGAATAAGACTTCTCTTAAAGCGTGGTTTATCTAGTAAACATCGGCGCAATCTTCTAGCTTCTTGTCCTTTGTTTGGTGACTTCCGCATTCCCGCCAGGCCGCGTTGTGGCGCGGTTCCTCCGCAAAAGTTTTTTAAGGTCGGTTTATCCTCATTCCTCAGTGGTTTCTCCTCCTGTTCCCTCCATAAGTGGTTTTTATAAACACTGTGGATCTAACCCTGCTAATTTACGTCCACTAACTCCAGCTGTTTCTGTAGTTTCTGATTCCTCCACCTCACTCAGCATGGCTCTATTGAACACCCGCTCTGTTAACAATAAGTCCTTCCTGCTCAATGATCTAATTCTCTCTAAAAACCTGGATTTTCTGTTTCTGACTGAAGTTTGGCAGCAAATATCTGATTATTCTGGTCTGATTGAACTCTGCCCGAGTGGTTACTCTTTTCTTAGCCAGCCCCAGGGTTCTGGTCGTGGTGGAGGCCTAGCTGTTGTTTTCAGAGACCATCTTCCATGTAGCTCTACAACCTCTGGTCACTTTGCTTCCTTTGAACTGCAGCTGATTAAAGTCGGGCGTAAGGACCCGTTCTACTGTGCTGTGGTTTATCGTCCACCTGGTCCAAACAGTTCTTTCCTTCAGGAGTTTAGTGACTTTCTATCCTCCACTGTGAAGCTGTCCAGACTGGTGATTGTTGGTGACTTTAACATCCACCTTGATGATCCCTCTGATCACTTTGCCATGAATTTCTCCAGCCTTATGGACTCCTTCAGCTTTACCCAGCATGTTTCTGGCCCCACACACACCAGGGGACACACTCTAGACCTTGTTTTTACCCTGGGTCTAAATGCTGACAGTGTTTGTCCTGAGGACGTTTATATTTCAGATCACCATTGCATTTTCTTTAACTTGTCAGTTTCTGCGTCCCCACCTCCTGCTCGCCATATGATTAGTTCTCGTTTTCTTAATGAGAGCACAGCTAGCAATTTTTCTGCTGCTTTTGATCCACCCTGTTCTTCTGATAACGACCCAGATTCCTTAACTTCTCAGTTTAACGAGCACTGCCTCTCCACTCTGGACAACATCTGTCCTGTCAGAACCAGATCAGTTCCTGCAGTGAACCCTACTCCCTGGTTTAATGACAGCCTTCGCAACCTGAAGCGCCAATGCAGAAAAATTGAGCGTTTGTGGAAGAAAACCCATCTCCACGTCCATCTGCTGCACCTAAAGGATCTTCTGTCATCCTTTAACTCTGCAGTCAGAGACGCTAGGGTTTCCTATTTCTCCAACCTGGTGTCCCAGAGCAGAGGGAACCCCAAGGTGCTGTTTAACACCATCAGCAGCTTCGTCTCTCCTGCCTCTCCTACAGCCTCCATCCACTCTGTTACAGACTGTGAGAACTTTCTGTCTTTCTTTGTGGACAAAGTCAATAAGGTTAGATCTAGCATCTCTCCTTCAGCCTTATCGCTGTCTTTCCCGACTCCAACCAGGCCCATCATCCCAGATAGCTTTGCTCCTGTTTCTTTGCCTGAGCTAACCAAACTAGTTAACTCTATGAAGACCTCTGCATGCCCCCTCCACATCTTACCCTCATCTTTGTTTAAAAGTGCTTTTCAGTCCATTGGTCCCAGCGTGCTCTCTATAATTAATGCTTCTCTGGTCAGGTCCCTGCTTACTTTAAGAACGCTGTAATCCACCCGCTTCTTAAAAAAACCGAGTCTCGACCTCTCTCTCCATAGCAGCTTCAGACCCATCTCTTAAGTTTCCGTTCATCTCCAAGATCTTGGAAAAGTTTGGGGCTAAACAACTCACAGCTGCTCTTGATGAACATAACATCTATGATAGCTTCCAGTCAGGTTTTCGTAGAGCTCATTCTACTGAAACAGCTCTTCTTAGGGTCTCTAATGACCTTCTGACTCACAGTGATGCAGGGGACTGTTCTGTTCTGGTCCTGCTGGACCTGACTGCAGCCTTTGACACTGTTGACCATCACCTGCTACTGGAGAGGCTGAGAGACTGGGTCCGCCTATCAGGATCTGCTCTGGAGTGGTTCTCCTCTTATCTCTCTGAGCGCTCCTTTTCTGTGGCCATCTCCAAGTTTAGGTCCTCCACCACCTCCCTTACCCATGGTGTCCCACAAGGTTCTGTGCTGGGGCCTCTGCTCTTCCTCCTCTATCTGCTTCCTCTTCAGCACATCCTGAGCTCCTTCAAAGGAATCTCCTACCATCTTTATGCAGATGACATCCAACTGTACATCTCCTTTAAGCCCCATGAGATGTCTAAGCTGCAGCTGTTACACACCTGCTTGGACTCTATCACAACCTGGATGGTGGGAGCTTTCTTCAGCTGAATGAAGATAAGACTGAGATCCTCATCTGTGCCCCAGAGTCCCAAAGTCAGAGACTCTCTTGGTCAGCTTGCTTCTCACACCAAACCTTCTGTCAGGAATCTTGGCGTGACCTTTGACCCAGCTCTCACCCTGGATTCTCATGTCACTTCTCTTGTTCACTCTTCCTTCTTCCACCTCAAGAACATTGCTAAGCTGAGTACCATTCTGTCCCGCTCTGAACTTGAGACAGTTCTCCACACTTTCATCTCCTCACGCTTAGACTAGAGGTGGGAAAAATGATCGATTCTAAGATGCATCGCGATTCAGCCGTGCATGATTCCGCATCGATGCAGCAACGTGACATAATGAGATTTTCTCCCTATGTCTATGTCGGGGGTTGGCAACCCGCGGCTCTGGAGCTGCATGCGGCTCTTCCATCCATCTGATGCGGCTCTCTGTGTTTGTAAAATAATGAATGGATATTTAAATTAAATGCTTTATATTTTACTGCATTAATTTTACATCTGTATGCCAATTCTAAATGTATAGATTGTCTGCGTAAACCTGAACAGGTCCAACCTGGTCTTACTGTGAGACCGGGTTGACGCGTCACGCTTGTGCGTAATCCTATCGGCGCATTCTGAGCTGAAGACGATGTGAGATTCTGGGATTCTCCTCAGACGGCTCCTGGATGTGTCGCCACATTGGAGACAGGAACAAGCGCTATTCAGCCAAAGTTTCATCATCAGGGAACATTTTCTAAGTGACAAGTCTTGCTTCAGTCGGAGGAATCTTCCTGCATGCGCTCTGGTTCTGCGACGCGCTCCAAGCCCCTCTCCACATCTTCAGCTCGCTGTGGACCTTATGTAGTACGCGCTGACAGCGAGCTGCGCTGAGCAGTGTCCAGCTCAGATGTTCAGAAGGAAATCTTTTCTTGAGTAATTTAGCTACATCTGTGATGTGCGTAGAATAAAGTGTCAGTTCGTCTGCATGCGTCGGGGTAATTCTTTCTCCGTCAAAATAAACGGTCAAATACGGGAACTGTCCGGTCAACACAAGCCCTGCTTTTAACTGTTCTGTTTTCTTGTGAAAATTGTTGCAAAGAGATATAATTTAACTTGATTAACACCAGAGCCAGGCGCACTGCACCGGTATCTCCGTCACTGTAAATGAGGGAAAAACAAAATGATCGGATCCTTTTCTGACCTTCCCCACCTACAAAGTTTAATTACAACAATCAAAGGTGACAGAGCCTGGATTTGTATTCTGAACAGTCTAAACATGTTTTAAATAGAAACGTATGACAAAAGTGGCACCTGCTCAGTAAACCCATCAACAGGGTGAAAAATATCTAAATATTGTAGCAGAGACGGGCTACAACTTCTGGATCCACTTTATATAAATCGTTTTATTGATTATCTTCTTATGAAAGGTAATTTTGATGTACACGAGCGACCGGTACCGGCTGCTGTCACCTGTTGTGAGCAGCTCTCTGCTGTCTGAGGGTTGGCCCCGCCCACAACGCTGCGGCTGCAGTGGCTCCCAGTGTTTTCTTTACTGGGGGAAACGGGTAATAATGGCTCTTTGATGGGAACAGGTTGCCGACCCCTGGTCTATGTCTATGCGAGGACAATAAAGTTTTGAGGTTTTATAATTACTTCTGGGGGCAGAGTTGCAATGACATGCACACTGCGTTGCCCTAGCGCCAATTTAAAACAGAAAAGGCGGACAGGGATACAGGGCCAACATTACCAGTAATCAAAGATGTACCCGTTACATTTAAATCGGATGTCTGGGCTAATTTCGGTTTTGGGATCCTGGATGTGAAAGAATCACTTAACACAGTATTTGTTTACTATTTTTAAGTTCAGTAATATTCTATCTTAAAGCTGCTCTACCGAAAACATTATTTCTTATATTATTTAAGTAATTATAGGCAGCACACTTTAAACAATATTGCTCGCTATAGTGAATAGATGAATGTTCTGTTTTTCAGGGATTTCGAATTCAAAAAGAAATTGAAAACTATTCTTCTGCTTTTATTAAGTAATGAAAAATGTTGTGTGAAGAATCGTGATGCATTTCAGACTCAAATCGAATCGTTAGGCAGATAATCGGAATCGGATCGAATCGCGAGGCAGGTAGAGATGCACACCACTAGCTTAGACTACTGTAACTCTCTTTTCACGTGTCTGAGCAGAACCTCCCTGAACCGTCTACAGGTGGTTCAGAATGCCTGTGCTCGGCTTCTGACCAAGTCCTCCAAACACACCTACATCACCCCGCTTCTCCTCCAGCTTCACTGGCTGCCAGTCAACTTCAGGGTTCATTTCAAGATCCTGGTTCTGGTCTATAGGGCCTTACATGGACAAGCACCGTCTTACATTGGTGATCTTCTCAGTCCCTACACCCCCAGCAGGTCCCTGAGGTCCAGTGACCAAAGCCTACTGGTTGTGCAGCACCAGGCTAAAGGTCAAAGGTGACAGATCATTTGCTGCTGTGGCCCCCAAACTCTGGACCTCTCTCCCCCTGAGCCTATCAGTGGACTCAGTGGTCTCCTTTAAAAAGCAGCTGAAGACTCACTTGTTGAAGCTGGCTTTTGAATGACCTTCTTCACCTCTCTCTCTTTATTCTGCTCTCCCCACCTATTCCACCTTCCTCAGGATCCACTGATTTCCCTCTTTCCTGTTCACTCTCTCTCTTTCTCTACATTTTTGTGTTTTAATCACAATTGTCTATTTTTTCTCATTTAAAATATATTTTAAACATGTTCTAAATGCTTTTTTATATTTTTGCATTTTTTGTTTTTGTGAAGCGCCTCGTGATTTTTATCTTGAGAGGCGCTATAGAAATGATACTTTCTGCTTTTTCTTCTTCCTGGTTTTAAAGTTTCTTATCAGTCGTTTTTTGTCTAAATTACATGAAAATCCACAAACGTGACAAGATGAGTAACGCTGTCTACAACAACAGAGACAAATCCGTCCTGACTTCATCATGTTCTCTTAGAGCCGAGGCTGAGTCTGAGAGAACCAGGATATGATGTCATGGTAGGTCCAGAACTGCTCCGGCTCATGTGGGATATTCTGCATTTTCTGTTGTCAGTGAAAACGATGCTCACAGACATTCCCACCCATGTCGCTGACTATTAGACGTGTGATCCTGCTTTGTCACCTAAGGTGGAGCGTTTTGACACTTCTGGGTGCTAAAAGCCAACATCAGAGGTCTGCAGCACGGAGCCAGAGAGATGGGTTTCCGTCATTTATCACAAATCCACCCCATGTCTGGTTTTCTTATGCATGAACTTATCTAAGAAAAATAGACACAAAGGTTCAGTTTTCACATGTTTTTATAAACCAGTCATGATGTGAGCTGTTCACAGGCAGGAAGCAGCTGTGAAGGTCAATCCTTAGACAACAGCTTTGTGACTAGATCTTCTAGATGAAAATCACTGAGTTTCACGTGGTTCTGAACTGTGAGGGTTGAACCGATGAAAGTGATGATCATGTTTTGTGTGAACTTGTATTTTATTGTTTTAATCTTTTCAGTTTCAGCTGAATAAATGATCTGGTGTAAATGAAATGAAACCGACCCAAACCGAAACGCTCCTCCAAGCGCCTCGTGGCACTGGTGACCTCCATAGATTTATGGTTACACGAATATGATCTCTGTCCTGAGCTCCTCTGGTTCTGTGTGATTAACAAAAACAAACGTGTATCTGTTAGCTGGAAGGGTTGGGGTTCCTCAGTGATTCAGAGAGCACTCAGAGACGTCCGGCATGATTACAGCGCTGCTGTGGACACGAAAACACCATTCCATCAGCGTGATCTCAGCTCTCTGGGCTCATAAAGAGGTTAAGAGTTCAGCTTTGCCTTAGAAAATCTTCTTTAGCCGAGCAGAAACAGGAACTTCTGTCGTTAGTGAGAGGTTCTTAGGTCGGTATTTTAGTCTGTTGCAGAGCGATGGACATGTCCCTCCCACTCAGGAGGAGAGTTGGGTCTTTGTGCAGGAAGAGGAAGATCAAATGTGAGCCGAGACACGGTGGGTCTTCCTAGTTTCACTCTTAAAATCCTTTAATGAGGAGAATGCTGACCTCGATCAAACAACTGCATTCCTCGTCTGCCTACTCATGGTCCCAGAGTGACCTCGGGTCTGCCCGGCAACAGAGGGTAACCTATGAGAGGTCACGATCGGGATCTAGGTCTGACCCTGGACCCCTGAGGAAGGACACAACGATGGCCTTCATCCCAGGAATCCCTCAGGCTCTGTGCATTCATAATTCCTGTACTTCCAGACATTAATGGCGACAGCTCCGGCCTCGGGACCATGGCAGAGCAGGTCGGAGCAGGAACCCCGACTCAACCGGGTCATGATCCTCAGGTCTCTGCAGGCTCAGCGAAGAGAACCTTTGATGCAGAAAGTGTGCAGGGGGAAAAAATCCCAGCAGCTTGTGAAGAGTTTCATTATGATGACCTGACCTCAGGGGTCAAAGGTCAAAGTGTGGCACGCTCCAACACTTCACCCGACCTGCTCATATACATCCAGCATCCTTTGATCAAGCATAACAAATCCAGAAGAGCCAAAACCAGAATCAGAACCGGTTCAGATAAAACCAGAACCATCACGTGTTTTACTTCCAACGATAAAACGTCCCTCAGATCAGTAAGAATGAAAACGCTCAAACATTTTGGTCTTCAGGTTGTCCTCAGGGTCACCTGAGGACAAAAAGTGTCCCCACTGCCTTCCAGGTGTAGCTCCGCCTCTTGTCTAACGACCTGGTGACCCGAACAGGAACGAGTGGATACAGAATCCAGGTGGATGGATGGGAATGGAGTGATTTACCCGACAGAATCCGTGATGGTTCCTGAGTGGACGGCGTGAAGCTGAGCGTCTCTGTGGGCATCGGCTCTTCATCTGTGTGTTTTGTCTGATCCTCCTCTTCTGCCTCGCTAGACTCTTGTTCTTCTCTGTGCTGAGACTCTTCGCCCCGAGGCCGTTTGCCTCCAGATCCGCTCACTGACAGAATAAGGAATCGTGATGGCAAACTCAATCAGCAGGCTCCTCTTCTAAGCCATCGTGGAGCGAACATTTCCTCTCTGGTTTATCACCCTGAGGCTTTCTCCTCCATCACCCTCAGAGTCTTCCCTTCTGACATCATCTAGATCAGCTGAGGTGGCAATGAAACAGAACTACCGTGTCAACATGCTGACTTTACAGGGGTAGGCTTTAAAAACCAGGTCATCTTTAGTAAACTACTGATGTCTGAATGCAAAGAGCAGGACAAGTACTGGGCTGTATACCTCCTGTACTTTGTAGTACTTATCAGAGTACTACTGCAGCCTGTGATTTCACCACTCTGGTTTCTGAGGAAATAAAGCAATTTCAGCTGGAAAAGGAAATATTTTATTTGACATGTACAAAAGCCACACACACACACACACACACACACGCGCACACACACACACACACACACACGGAGCAGAGCAATAATAGATGGAAGCATAAACAGAAACATTAAATCTACTAAGAATTCCAGCAAACAGAACAGAACGGAGGACTCTGTCAACTTATCAAAGTCCGAGTCCCCCGGAGGACTCCGCAGTTCATCTGAAGCCCGGGGGGCGGGGTTAATTAGGACCGGCTCTCTGCTGAGAACACACAGAGGTACTTGTATATTCTGTTAGAGAACGTTCTTCATCACATACAAATAAGGACTCTTGTGATGCGTCGGATAACTCACAGGCGGATCCTTGTCATTCCGATCCGTTTCCCTCATGAAACGGGACCGCGGGGAGTTCTAGGCTCTGATCCGGAGGACGGAGCGACTGTTTTCATTGGTTTATCGAAGTTCTAGATCAAAAACTATCATGTTTCTGTAAAACACCTTCAAACAAGGGCTGCCAGAACTTTCGCAGCCACATTTGTTCCATTTCTTTAGTTAAAACTCACAAAAGAACGTTGGACTGTTGTTGATTTGTGCACATTTAGCCGTTTCTTTACGAAATAAATCATCATTTTCCTGATACAGAACTCTTAGCAGCCCGAGTTGAAATGTACATGATGTGGTAAACGTTCTGAACAATCTGTCGTAGGTCCCTGAGCAGCCTCTGTTTAGAGAAATAGAGAAAATCTACAACTGAGTGAAGACCAAAGTGTGATTTTAGTTTAGAAACTTTCATGCAGCTGTTGGTTCAACACAAAAAGTTATTTCAGTAGGAATAAGAACTTCCTGCTGGACTCAACTCCAGGATTAAGATCAGTTTTTAGCCAATGGTGGTTATGTCTGATATCCATCCATCTCCTGCTTTTCGTTTAAAGTGGTGGCATGGACGTACCAGGTGCAGGAGACATTTTTCACCTATTCCTGGAGCTTTCAAAGCTTTCCCAGATCATAATTCCTCCAGGGAGTTCTGGGTCTGATCCAGGTCTCCTAGAAGAGCCTAGAAAGCCTTCAGGTAATGAAAGGCATCCTAATTAGAAGCCACCTCAGCTGACTCCTTTCCATGAGGAGGAGCAGCAGCTCAACATGGATGATCCAAATCCAGGTGAAATATTAGATGTTTCCGATCCTGGAGGCTCAGCATGTTTCTGTCGTTCCAGCTCCAACACACCTGTTCAGCAGCTCACCAGGCTCTGCATAAGCCCGTTGATCGTATCAAACAAACATCGGCCTGTCGGTTAAACCCGAGAGCTGCCCTGAGTTTCATTATCACAAGACATGCTGTCACCCGTCACACAATTAATGTACCAATAAGTCATTCATGTGCACATTAGACTAAATTATATATTTTAATTATATACTTTTATTTTCTGTTCAGTTCAATTCAATCCAGTTTATTTATAAAGCGCCAAATCAGGACCAGAGTCATTCAAGCATTCCAATACAGGTCAGGTCATTAAGCCAATCAGTAAACAGTTTCCTATATAAGGAACCCAGCAGGTCACATCGAGTCACTGACTAGTGTCAGAGTGTTTACAGCAATCCTCATACTAAGCAAGCATGCAGCGACAGTGGAGAGGAAAACTCCCTTTTAACAGGAAGAAACCTCCAGAGGATCCTGACTCAGTATAAGCAGCCGTCCTCCACGACTCACTGGGGATCGAGAAGACAGAGCAGGCGCACACACACACACACACACACACACACACACACACACACACACACACACACACACACACCCATCAGCCCCCCCTCCCTGGCTGGTTCTGGTTTTGTGTGTGTGTGTGTGTGTGTGTGTGTCCTAAGTTAAACATGTCACGACCTGCTCTGCCAGGTTTCCCGTCTCCTAAATGTTCCTACTCCAGGTCCAAAGTTTGCCTAAACTTTCCACATTTTCTTTTTTAAGAATCACAACGCTTGCATGGAAAGTCACTTTTGCAGTTTTCAGACCCGTCTTGTGAGTAAGCAGTCCCAGGTGCGTTGGAGCAGAGAAACCTCTAAAACATGCTAGACCTCCAGGATCAGGACTGGACATCCCTGGTTTAGAAGAACCAGTACGTTCTCCTTTCAGCTCTTAGTGGGTGTAACTGTTTATGAACTCCTGGAAAAGGTTGGAGCTGATTCACGACAACAGGAACACACGTTCACCACCACTCAGAGTAGCTGTTAGTCACCATTTCTGTGAAGGGAGCCTGTTCTGTGAGCAGCCTTCGACAGATAAAACAGGAAAGGGAAACTTTTACACAAACGCATCAGAAGGGCGGAGTTCTCTCCGCAGAGCTTCTGTCTGGTCCCAGCACACAGCAGCTCTGTTGTCTCTGATGGTCTCCTGGTGTCTTCGGGGTGTCCTCTGATGTCCCCACAAAGGCACAATGTGAAGCTTTCAGCGCACTGCTTTATAACGCCTTCTGACACACAGAACGGCGTCCGTCTCTAGGGAGTTTATCAACCCTGGGCTGTCAGATGTGTTGTTAAAAGTATGGCTTTAAAAAACAAACAAGAACGTAATCCTAACTAAATTTACTATAAATGAATCCTTTTACCGGATTACAGTCGGAAGCAAACATCACACGATTACCAGAGTCATGTAGGCAATGAAACGAGTGAGTGCCAGCTGTAGCTCGTACATTCAGTGCTTTCATCGTGTCCATGAAGTCCAGAAGGACTTGGAGATGACGGATGAACGATGAGGTGTCGGACTGCTCTCAGCTAATCATGTTGAGGAACTTGCTTTCTTCAGCTAAAGCTGTGAGCATGGAGTTCATGTCGCCGATGGCCATGTTGCCGATCCCCGCTGGAACAGACGCCAGGGTGACGGAGTTGCGTGGGGTGGTGAGCCGTGAGGAGCTCTGGGACAGGCTCTGCAGAAGACCAGGACTCAGGGTCCCTGACATGAGGCTGGAGTGGTCTCCATCATCCAGCATGGTGTCAAAGTCTATCTGGGCATGCTCCATGCCCCCTGACCTCCCTGTGGAGGAATCGGCTGTGCTGCTGGAGACCTGGTTGGTTCCTGGTGAGGCCATGTTGGCTGTAGCTGTGCGGTTGCTGGGAGTGCTGGCGTCGGTACTCGGGGACATGGACGCATCCAAGCTGACAGACGACGGTTGAAACATATAAACCTGGCCCGTGTAGAAGACGGCTGAGTTCTGATGGTCTGAGCTACTGGTTTGGGTCACTGGCTTGCTGTACCTCTTGGGGCTCGCCTCAGATGTGTCGTTGCCGTGACCCTGACTCCGATCGGACACTTTGGGTGTTTGGCTTGGTTGTGTCAGGCCAGAACCTGCGTGTTGCCTGGTGACGGGCCTCGGTTCTGCGGGCGGTCTGGGGTGCAACAATCCTCTGGTCCCATTCTGAATACCATGCTGTTGTTGCTTGGGGGGGATGCTGTAATTTTGCTGCTGGTCCACTGGGTTCATGCGGGGGTACCCATCCATCTGGGCTGCTGTTCTGTAACTTTGCAGGTCTGGTTCTGCTGTACTGTTCTGGGCTGAGTTTCCACAGACAAGATTTGGACCTCCCTCTTGGCTGAACCCTTGTTGGTGGTTTATTGAGCCGTTAAAGCTGCATTGCCTCTGTTGCTGCTGGAGGGAAACGTTGACCATCCTCTGGTTGCCGTGGAGCACGTACCCCTGCATGATCTGACTCATAGGAGCAACCTGCTGGTTGCTGCTCAGACCCTGAGTTTGTGCCTGAAGGGACCCAAAGTTGTGCCTCTGCTGGACAACGGCTAGATTCCCTCTTCCAGGATGCTGATGAGGTTTAGGGATCTTTGCCGTGGCGTCAATCGTCCCTGAGCTCACCTCGTTCCACTGCACCGGCATGTTGCTCTTGCTCATGTTGTTGGGCAGCGCTGAGAAAGGCTGCTGGGGGCCGTTAGGACCCACCTGGTAAGGCTGCATGTCTTGACCAGACCGAGGCATGGCTCCATCCACCATGGCCATCCTCCTCTGTCCATGAAAGGATGTTGGGGGGGGCATGCCTGTCTGGTAGCCCTGAGTCTGACTGCTAGCGTTATAGTTGACTTGGCCCAAGTTGTGACCTGAAGGTCCAGAAGTCTGTGACCTGAGATACTGCACCACATCATCAGGAAGAACCATCTCATCCTCTCCACTCGGTTCTCCCCCTGCTGCCATCCCATCTACGAGAATGTTTTCCATGGCAACGTTCTCGGAGATGCTGGGCGGTCGAGGGGCAAACGGGTAGCGCTGGAGGCTTCCGTCAGAGCGAGTGTAGCCCTGCATCGCCAGAGTCTGATGGCGCTCAGCAGCAAATGGGGCATTCATGGGGTTCATGCTGTTCATGCTGTTGTATCGCTGAACCCGAGGGAACGAATGGGGGTCCAGCGTGGGACGCCGCACTGGGTCACTGGCCCGCCGTGGGAGGCTGCTGGGTATTTCATGAGGCAGCATGCTATGCGAGCCATATCCAATATCACTAGATCGCCTTGGAACAGATCCGGAGGGAGGGTGATGGAATGGGAGCGTGGATCCTTCCTGGGAGTCGCTGTAAAGAGCCATTCGTGTCCTCAAGCTCATTCGATCCATGTTGGGGAGAGGGGTGGGCGGAGCTCCTCCGATGGCAGCTGCGTACTTTGCTTTGAGCCGATAATGCTGAGCTGGCGTAAGACTGAGTACACCAGGAAGCCCTCCTCCACTGAAACCACCACCTCCACAGTGGCTGGCCTCGCTGGAGCGGCGGGACATATCTGCGGAGATTGGGTCGTACGAGTCAGCCGAGCTGATGTTGTTGTGGCGGTTAGCACCAAACTGAGACGCCTCACTGGAGCGACGGCTGGAGTAGCAGGGTGATATACCGGACGAGCGTCTGCTGCAGGCGGAGCTGATGATGCTGGCGGTGCTGCCGCGGCGCTCGTTCAGCTGGTTGAGCAGCGTTACTTCACACGAAGACAGGTCACCAGAGGGCTGGCCGAGGTTCACACCGCCAACGTGACCCGCCATGTTGGAGCTCTCCAGCAGGGAACCTGGACACATGAAGGGAGTGTTATAATGAAAAGGTTCTGAGAGTCTAATTTCCCTCTGGGATTAATAAAGTATCTTTGAATTGAATCTGCTAAATAAAACCACCAAGGGTGTTGAGCAGCTGATGCACAGAAGATCAGGTCACCTTATGTGGTGCTCAGGAAGGAGAGCCCGGTGGCCTTCAGCTTAAGACAAGCGTGACCCTGAAACACGTACCGACTGCAGGTATGGGAGGCAGCTTCATGGTGTTGCGTTGACCCTGCGACGGCTGCGGTCCAGCGTTGACCCAGGGACACGAGTCCCTCACTGTCTTCAGGCTTTCCTTCTTGATGTTTTCCAACTTGATGGTGACTGCTCCGCCATAACCGACGGATTTCCTCAGCTGAAGTCCCACCCCCGCCTGCTGGCCCCCGGGAACGGTGGAGTCGACCACGGGGCAGTCTTCGTGTGCGCTCAGGTCCCTAAAGCTGCCCCCGCTGTGCACGGCCATCTCTACCCCACTGTCGATGTTGTTGGCGCTGCTGAGAGGCGACGGCTCGCTGCTGCAGGACGAGTGGCCACCAGGACTGGACTGATACGTCTGCAGGGGGGCAGCGTGGTCCGGTTTCATAGAGGAGTCACAAACCAGACCACAAAAGGTTAAAAAACACCAACATTCAAATTTACTATTGGATCAATATGCTGTCAAACTGACATCAGTGAATAAAACGAGTAAGAAAATCAACACCAGACTCACGCTGTGTTCACAGAACTCCATTAAATATTCTCCAGTGTTGAATAATTACGTAGTTCATGAATCCCGACTGTAATGGTGTTTTGTGATAACTTATAAGGGTCTATAGTTTCAGTCTTATTCATTATTGATTCATTTATTAAAATAAAATAAGCATTAAAGATGATTTCTGTGGTTCAGAAGTTATTTCCAGCCCAAAAGGAACACGATGGAGGTTTTATCTGTCTGATGAACATCTGGATTTAGGTCTGTGGGGTGTCATGGTCTGGTGTGGAGACGGGATGAAGAAAGAGGCAGGATGCACCCACGCCATGCAAAAGGAAAATAATGCAATGATTAAAGCTGAAGACAGAAAACCGCCACCTCACCTTAGAGTAGTCTGTCCATTAGCCGGAGGTTAAAGGAGAAACAGAAGTAAGGAACAATCCAGAGTCTAAAAACACGTTTCCTCTGAGTTTAGGAGTCAACTAATCAAAAGGACTGAAGCAAGGCAGGTTAGGAAAGAAGAAGCGTGCAGCTGATGCTTCATCTGAACTCACCACTGAGTTCTCCGTCTTGATAGACTTGACCTGCAGACAGTCCTCCGCCCCTCTAGAGGTGCTGTTGGCCTCGGTCTTCCCATCCACGCCTCTCGATCCGTGCCTGGAGTCGTTCTCCCCGTTTCCTTTGGGCGGCTGCAGCCTCGGCGGAGCGTCGCCGCGTTGCTTCTTTGTGACGTGGGCTTCAGGTCCGTGGACGGTCTTAACGTGCTTCCTGAGAGAGCTGGGGTCAGTGTAGCGCTTCGTACAGCCCGGGATTTTACACACGTACGGTTTCTGCAACAGGGAATTGAAATGATTCACATCCAGTAGGAATCACCTTTACATGGAATTGTGTCTGTCAGTCTTTGAATCTGGTGTTTCTGTTTACCTAAACAAAAGGCTAAAGGTGTGTGTGTGTGTGTGATTTTATATAAGGAGCCCAGCAGGTTGCATCGAGTCACTGACTAGTGTCAGAGTCTGTACGGTAATCCTCATACTAAGCAAGCATGCAGCGACAGTGGAGAGGAAAACTCCCTTTTAACACAAAGAAACCTCCAATCCTGGCTCAGTATAAGCAGCCATCCTCCACGACTCACTGGGGTTGAGAAGACAGCGCACGCACGCATGCACGCACGCACACGATGGACTAGAAGTAGTACTTTATATTTTTAAAAAGTAAATGTCAGACAGACGATCTGATTGGTGGACATTAGCAGTTAGAATCCATTCGATCCTTCATGTCGATCCAATTCAATGTTAGTTTGATTTGATTTTTCATCGTGAAATAATGAGGCTAAAGTTGCGTTCTCTGTAAAACATCAAAGCCGTGCATGAACAAACCTCGTTCGAGTGTGTGCGGTTCTGGTGTTTGGCCCGATCGGAGGCGTTGGAGAAGGCCTTGTTGCAGCCTTCGTGCTCACACACATAAGGCTTCTCCCCGGTGTGGGACCTGAGGTGGGTTTTAAGGTTCTCCAGGCGAGAGTAAGCTTTGGAGCATCCCTCAAACTGTAGAAACAGAAACACAATCAGACTGGAGTAACTCCAGGCTACGTAGTCTGCAGCCGTGAAGCAGCAACACACACAAAAGAGCTTTTAGGTGTAATCAGTCCTGGATGCGTGCCCACCTGATGTGGCGTGCCACACAAAAGCAAAGCTCTGTTACACTTTAGCAGAATAAATAAATAAACAAATAAAAGCACTTTGTGGGAAGTATCTAATTGTGAGGTGTGGTGGTGCGCTCTGCCTGCCGGGCTTTGTTGAGACAAAGACAACTCTGTGTTTTAGCGTTTGTGTTCTCTTGTACTCTACACGCTATAATTTGGTATTCCTTCTAAGCAGTCATTGTGAGAGTAATTGGCTTTGAAATTAAAAGAGAATCATATAAGAGCAGCTCAGAGAGAGGATAAAAACATCAGAAGACTTTATGAGATGTGGTTGAGGAGGAGATGGAGGGTTATGAGAAGATGCATGTGGGATTTGAACGGAGAATGTACAGCCTGAACTTAATAAGGACCCCTGGCCCCCTGCGCCTCTGCAGAGTGTAATTACACAGTCACGCTGTCAGTCAGCGTTTTAACGTTTCGCCTTCACAAGTGTTTTAATGCATTCACAAGAGCCAGCCAGTGAGCTTTGAAGCCACAAGCAAACAGGCACTAAGTCTAATCTTCAAGGAAACGCCTTGATTTATCAATGTGGACCAGATCACATGATGAAAACCTCTAACTAACGACATCTGGATCCATCCGTCTGAAAGCTGCACCTGGTCAAAGGTTCAGTCACACTGAAATGTCCCGGTGTTGTGGGCCAGATGTCTCCGGAACAGATTTTAATGAAACAAAACCTCAGATCTCCATAGACTGTTCTAGACTCGGCCTCTGCTGCAAACTCCCCCAGCAAAGCAAAGAAGGCTGAAACTCCGTTGGAAGTTCAGCTGGAACTTTTAGTTTGGAAGTAAAATATGAAGGATGCCAGAGGAAAAGGGACCAGCAGGCGTCCACCACGACAGGCCCTCCTAAACCCAAGCTCTTACTGTGCACTTGTGTGGCTTCTCCCCCGTGTGCCGCCTCATGTGGACCACCAGCATGTACTGGGCCTTGAAGGGCTTCTGCTCCCGGGAACACTCCTCCCAGCGACACACGAATTCCTTCTTCTCCCCGTGGATGTGGTCATTGTTGATGTGCTGCGTGGACAAATCAGATCTGGTCAATCATCAGCACCGGGAGCATGTGTTCACAACCAGAGCCGTAACTGTGAGAAGAACCTCGAGTGTGTTGACACGTGTGAGTTGGAACATTCTTGTGTTTTTCCCACAATCAGGTTCTCCCTCCGCTGCGCCGTCAGCATGACGGGCGGCTCTATAAGTTATCGGTGACAGTTTTAATGTCAATAGGAGAGCAAGGCAATAGAACAACTGTTTGTTCAGGCCGTGTGCGTTCGCCGTTACTTTTCTTCAGGAAGAGGAACTTCCTTACGAGGCGACTGAAAACAAATCAGCACCAGTCGCTTCCCAGGGAGAGGCTGGTACCAGCAGAAGTTTGGGAGGACTTGGAGACTGGAGTGAAAATGAGGAGAAACTTTGAATTTTCGCCGTACAGCCCGGCCAACGATTGGCCGGTTTCCTTTCAGCTCCGACTCGTCTCGGATGTGGGACTACAACAAATCACACTCATAAGGAATGTTTTAAAAATCAACATTGTCATCATTTTCTTGGGGAAATTTAGCATAAATATAAAAAAAGCTAGTTTTTACACAGAAGAGTGTATAAAAGGGAGTTTTCCTCTCCACTGTCGCTTTATGCTTGCTTAGTATGAGGGTTGCTGTATAGTCACTGACACTAGTCAGTGACTTGATGCAATTTGCTGGGTTCCTTATATAGGAAACCTTATTTCTGATTGGCTTAATGAACTGACCTGAATTGGAATGTTTATTATGTGAAGTGCCTTGAGACGACTCTTGTCGTGATTTGGCGCTTTATAAATAAACTTGAATTGAAGTTGAATTGAATTGAATTGCATTTTCCCAGATTTTTCTACTTAATACTTGTGTTCTTCATGTTAAAAGACTTAAAGGTCGTCGGATGGATGACCTCAGCCAGCGAAAGTTAAACAGCCTTTAAATCTCTGTAATGACATTTATTTATGAACACGCTGTAATGCTGATGGCTCGTTCTGACCAGCGTTTGGTGTTTCAGGCTGAGCAGCTTCACTCATAAAGCACATTTCATACAAACGGATTATGAAATGTTCTTTTCAGGAGCAAAAGTAAAAAACATTAAATGTCACGTTTTTAAAATAAAGCTACAGACAGCTTAAGCTAAAAGGTTAGAGATGTTTAACTCTTTTATGTAGTTTGTGCTTCAGACAAAACCGTTTCAATAATCAGAAGACACAAACGTTTGTGAACAGCCATCTTTCTGATGGACCACATGCAAACATCCACACGTCCAGAGGAACCGCTTCATTTCCTGAGGACATCCCGGCCCACAATGCTCCACTTATGTGGTCGTCTTCTTCACCAGAGAAAAAGCTCCGCGGTCGCATATTCTGCTGAGATCTATTTTGGGTTGAAGGAGGAGGGACGGAAACAAGCTTGGCCCCGAGCAGAGCGCTCCATTTTCAGGTTTCACACTAATAATCTATAATCTGGGTCTTTTTTAAACAGGATTCATCCAGGAAACACTGGCAGGTGCTGCCTTTGTCTCTTCTTATGCTGGTAATGTGAGAACGGATCGGATGGATCAGGAATAATCTGTAGGTTTCATCGGGAACATTTGTTTTTTCTGTTCCTCAGCACGTCTGTCAACAAATAAACATTTCGCTAAAACAAACAAAATAAGCCAAAGACAGAAGCAAATCACGAGGTTACAAACGCAGGACAAACACTAAAGGACAAGTCACGTTGTGCTTCTTACACCGTTTTAAATGTTAGAAACACATGTTTACATTAATATACTTTATACTGATGACATGTGTTCTGTGTTTTGTGACAATTGTAAACATTTTTCATAGATGGACTTTTATACATCAACATTAATTTTTCTGATTAGTAAAAATAATCATGTTCAGTAAATCCCTTTCTTAACAGACGTCCCTAAAATAAACATCACGCCCCCAGCAGCTGTGGCTGCGTAGGGAATGTGGGAATAATGGGACAAGCTTAATAAATCTAATGCATTGTTATTATTACTAATTTTTAGTATTATTATCAAGAAAAGTTTTGTTATATTTTCCATCATTGTTACACGGGTGGCTGTTCTAGTTTATCTGGTTCTATGCTGGTGACCATGCAGACATTCCTGCAGTAGGATCACAAAAAGGCCTGGAAGGATGTCATTCCTCAGGCTTAAGGTAACTACTGTCCTGACTCCCAGCATCCCTGGCATCCTGCCGACCTCCTCCCATTGCTCTCTAGACAGTTGAACCCGACACGTTTCCTTCCTCCTGCTGCTGTGAGGCGGCTGACAGGGAATCAGAAAACAGGAACACAAGTTGGCTTGGGAGAGTAAAGGTCCAGAACTTCAGAGCTGCTGGCCTGACGATGGATTTATGGCCAGGCCTCTGGGCTTCAGAGGAGGGGGTGCTGGTGGGAGTAAGAGGTTAGGGGTCAAGGGTCATGGAGCTGAGAGGCTCATGGGGCGGGTGGCACAGCTGCGGGGTTTGGGCTTGGATTTGGCAAAAGCCATAAGGCTCATTAACATGGTGCGTGTGGAGCAAACAGGAAAGGATCCATCACTGGAAAACCTTCTGAGCAGATTTAATGACTGTCATCAGGGATCAGAACACAGGAAACTCAGGATCGGTGAACTGAGCTGGAATAACGTGGACTTACTGAACCCTACTTTTAATGTGGCGAGCCCCAGGGTGACCTTTATTGTGAACTATTTTGTACATAAATTGCTCCTATAGTGATTTATGAAGTAACATGTTGATGCATAAGATTTAGTTTAAAATATTCTGCAAAGTTTAATAATGACATCATCTCACTAAGGTGACATCATCTCACTACGGTGACATCATCTCACTAAGGTGACATCATCTCACTACGGTGACATCATCTCACTAATGTGACATCATCTCACTACAGTGGCATCATCTCACTACGGTGACATCATCTCACTATGGTGGCATCATCTCACTACGGTGGCATCATCTCACTATGGTGACATCCTCTCACTAAGGTGACATCATCTCACTAAGGTGACATCATCTCACTAATGTGACATCATCTCACTACGGTGGCATCATCTCACTATGGTGACATCCTCTCACTAAAGTGACATAATCTCACTACGGTGACATCATCTCACTAATGTGACATCATCTCACTACAGTGGCATCATCTCACTATGGTGACATCATCTCACTACGGTGGCATCATCTCACTATAGTGACATCATCTCACTAAGGTGGCATCATCTCACTATGGTTACATCCTCTCACTAAGGTGACATCATCTCACTAAGGTGACATCATCTCACTAATGTTACATCATCTCACTATGGTGACATCATAATACATAAACATAAATACATAAACATAAACATCATCTCACTAATGTGACATAATCTCACTATGGTGACATCATAATACATAAACATAAATACATAAACATAAACATCATCTCACTAATGTGACATAATCTCACTAAGGTGACATAATCTCACTATGGTGACATCATCTCACTAATGTGACATAATCTCACTATGGTGACATCATCTCACTACAGTGACATCATCTCACTAAGGTGACATCATCTCACTACGGTGACATCATCTCACTACGGTGGCATCATCTCACTACGGTGGCATCATCTCACTATGGTGACATCCTCTCACTAAGGTGACATAATCTCACTAAGGTGACATCATCTCACTAAGGTGACATCATCTCACTGCAGTGGCATCATCTCACTAAGGTGACATCCTCTCACTATGGTGACATCCTCTCACTAATGTGACATCATCTCACTACGGTGACATCATCTCACTAATGTGACATCATCTCACTACAGTGGCATCATCTCACTACAGTGGCATCATCTCACTTCGGTGACATCATCTCACTACGGTGGCATCATCTCACTATAGTGACATCATCTCACTACGGTGGCATCATCTCACTATGGTGACATCCTCTCACTAAGGTGACATCATCTCACTAATGTTACATCATCTCACTATGGTGACATCATAATACATAAACATAAATACATAAACATAAACATCATCTCACTAATGTGACATAATCTCACTATGTTGACATCATAATACATAAACATAAATACATAAACATAAACATCATCTCACTAATGTGACATAATTTCACTAAGGTGACATAATCTCACTAAGGTGACATCATCTCACTATGGTGACATAATCTCACTAATGTGACATAATCTCACTACGGTGACATCATCTCACTAAGGTGACATCATCTCACTAATGTGACATCATCTCACTAATGTTACATCATCTCACTATGGTGACATCATAATACATAAACATAAATACATAAACATAAACATCATCTCACTAATGTGACAATCTCACTAAGGTGACATCATAATACATAAACATAAATACATAAACATAAACATCATCTCACTAATGTGACATAATTTCACTAAGGTGACATAATCTCACTAAGGTGACATCATCTCACTATGGTGACATAATCTCACTAATGTGACATAATCTCACTACGGTGACATCATCTCACTACGGTGGCATCATCTCACTACGGTGGCATCATCTCACTATAGTGACATCATCTCACTACGGTGGCATCATCTCACTATGGTGACATCATCTCACTATGGTGACATCATAATACATAAACATAAATACATAAACATAAACATCATCTCACTAATGTGACATAATCTCACTATGGTGACATCATAATACATAAACATAAATACATAAACATCATCTCACTAATGTGACATAATTTCACTAAGGTGACATAATCTCACTAAGGTGACATCATCTCACAATGGTGACATCATCTCACTAATGTGACATCATCTCACTACAGTGACATCATCTCACTACAGTGGCATCATCTCACTACGGTGGCATCATCTCACTATGGTGACATCCTCTCAGTAAGGTGACATCATCTCACTAAGGTGACATCATCTCACTACGGTGGCATCATCTCACTACGGTGACATCCTCTCACTAATGTGACATCATCTCACTAATGTGACATCATCTCACTAATGTGGCATCATCTCACTACAGTGGCATCATCTCACTACGGTGGCATCATCTCACTATAGTGACATCATCTCACTACGGTGGCATCATCTCACTATGGTGACATCCTCTCACTAAGGTGACATCATCTCACTAAGGTGACATCATCTCACTAATGTTACATCATCTCACTATGGTGACATCATAATACATAAACATAAACATCATCTCACTAATGTGACATAATCTCACTATGGTGACATCATAATACATAAACATAAATACATAAACATAAACATCATCTCACTAATGTGACATAATTTCACTAAAGTGACATAATCTCACTAAGGTGACATCATCTCACTATGGTGACATCATCTCACTAATGTGACATAATCTCACTACGGTGACATCATCTCACTACAGTGACATCATCTCACTAAGGTGACATCATCTCACTACGGTGACATCATCTCACTACGGTGACATCATAATACATAAACATAAATACATAAACATCATCTCAATAATGTGACATCATCTCATTAAGGTGACATAATTTCACTAAGGTGACATCATTTCACTATGGTGACAATATCTCACTACGGTGACATCATCTCACTAAGGTGGCATCATCTCACTAAGAGGACATCATCTCACTACAGTGACATCCTCTCACTAAGGTGACATCATCTCACTATGGCGACATCATCTCACTAATGTGACATCATAATACATAAACATAAATACATAAACATAAACATCATCTCACTAATGTGACATCATCTCACTACAGTGACATCATAATACATAAACATAAATACATAAACATAAACATCATCTCACTAATGTGACATCATCTCACTAAAGTGACATAATCTCACTAAGGTGACATAATCTCACTATGCTGGCATCATCTCACTAAGATGACATCACCTCACTACGGTGACATCCTTCACTAAGGTGACATAATCTCACTAATGTGACATAATCTCAATAATGTGACATCATCTCATTAAGGTGACATAATCTCACTAAGGTGACATTATCTCACTACAGTGACATCCTCTCACTAAGGTGACATCATCTCACTATGGTGACATCATCTCACTAATGTGACATCATCTCACTCCAGTGACATCATAATACATAAACATCATCTCACTAATGTGACATCATCTCACTACAGTGACATCATAATACATAAACATAAATACATAAACATAAACATCATCTCACTAATGTGACATCGTCTCACTACGGTGACATCCTCTCACTAAGTTGACACAATCTCACTATGTTGGCATCATCTCACTAAGATGACATCATCTCACTACGGTGACATCCTCTCACTACGGTGACATCCTCTCACTAACATGACATCATCTCAATAAGGTGACATCATCTCACTAAGGTGACATAATCTCACTATGGTGACATCATCTCACTAATGTGACATCATCTCACTACGGTGACATCATAATACATAAACATAAATACATAAACATCATCTCACTAATGTGACATAATCTCACTACGGTGACTTAATCTCAGTAAGGTGACATCATTTCACTACAGTGACATCATCTCACTAAGGTGACATCATCTCACTACGGTGGCATCATCTCAGTAAGATGACATCATCTCACTATGGTGACAACCTCTCACTAAGGTGACATCATCTCACTACAGTGGCATCATCTCACTAAGATGACATAATCTCACTATGGTTACATCATCTCACTAATGTGACATCATCTCACTAAGGTGACATCATCTCACTAAGGTGGCATCATCTCACTATGGTGATATCATCTCACTAATGTGACATCATCTCACTAATGTGACATCATCTCACTAAGGTGACATCATCTCACTACGTTGGCATCATCTCACTAAGATGACATTAACTCACTACGGTGACATCCTCTCACTAACGTGACATCATCTCACTAAGGTGACATCATCTCACTACGGTGGCATCATCTCACTAAAATGACAATCTCACTACGGTGACATCATCTCACTAAGAGGACATCATCTCACTACAGTGACATCCTCTCACTAAGGTGACATCATCTCACTATGGTGACATCATCTCACTACGGTGACATCATCTCACTAAGAGGACATCATCTCACTACAGTGACATCCTCTCACTAAGGTGACATCATCTCACTAATGTGACATCATCTCACCAAGGTGACATCATCTCACTAAGGTGACATCATCTCACTACGGTGGCATCATCTCACTAAAATGACAATCTCACTACGGTGACATCATCTCACTAAGAGGACATCATCTCACTACAGTGACATTATCTCACTACGGTGACATCCTCCCACTAACGTGACATCATCTCACTAAGATGACATCATCTCACTACGGTGACATCATCTCACTAAAATGAAAATCTCACTACGGTGACATCATCTCACTAAGAGGACATCATCTCACTACAGTGACATCCTCTCACTAAGGTGACATCATCTCACTATGGTGACATCATCTCACTAATGTGACATCATCTCACTAATGTGACATTATCTCACCAAGGTGACATCATCTCACTACGGTGGCATCATCTCACTAAAATGACAATCTCACTACGGTGACATCATCTCACTACGGTGACATCATCTCACTAAGAGGACATCATCTCACTACAGTGACATTATCTCACTACGGTGACATCCTCTCACTAACGTGACATCATCTCACTAAGGTGACATTATCTCACTACGGTGACATCATCTCACTAACGTGACATCATCTCACTAACGTGACATCATCTCACTAAGGTGACATCATCTCACTATGGTGACATCATCTCACTAAGGTGACATCATCTCACTATGGTGACATCATCTCACTAATGTGACATCATCTCACTAAGGTGACATCTCACTACGGTGATCAAGCTGACATCCAGCCATGTTGACACCCATCTTGGACTCACATGCACCAGCTGGTCCTGAGTGTCGTACTCCTTGGAGCAGCCCTCCCAGTGGCAGTTGGTCTCATAAACGGCCTCGGGTTCCTGTTTGCACTCGTCCTTATCCAGATCCTCGCTCAGGTCCAGGATCCCCCCGCCGTAGTCCTGGTAACAAACCACAAAGTCTTACAGATCCATCAGTGTGACTAAATGCACGCCAGCAGCATTGTGACTTGAAGTCGATGAGTTAGAGAAGCATCCTGTCATGGTTCTAATCTGGGAATCTGGAGAGTTGTAGCTAGGTCTGGATTAAGCTCTGTTACAGACATGGCCACGTGAAACCAAAACGGATAGAGATGTGATTTTCTGGGTTTTGTTAAGGTTACATAATGAACCTGATTTGTTTTTGGCTCCATTACCTGAGCCGATGGTGAAATGGGCAGCGGGCCCTCTGCTTCTGTCTTGACCTTTGACTTTTTGTTGCTTAATGGATTGACAGTGCTGCTTACAGCTGGATCTCCGCCGGCATTCTGAAGAACACAGAAACAGGAGTAAGAGGAATTCCCTGACCTGGTCATGCTAACAGGCTAATGATTCATCCATCCTAATCAAACACCAGATTCCACTCAGAGTCCGTTAGCACTGGGCCAGAACCAAGACTAAACAGTTTAGACATCTTCATGAAGCCACAAGAGATTAAGACAGCAGAAAAGTTATCCCCCCGGTTCAGGTCAGGGTGGTGGTGGTGGTGGGGGTTCTCTAATCCCACCCACTAATTATTCAGAACCTCCATCAGACTCAGATCCAAAGTGGTTCAGATCAGAGCTGATGTGCGGAGGCCTTTCCTGGAGGAGGCGTAAACGTGATGCTGCTGTGAGGAGCAGGAAGTTTGCATCCGAGCGTAAACAGAGCCGCCTGGTTCTGACCCTAGGACTCATGGATTCATCCCTCCAAAACGGGATTAAACCAAAACCTAAAGATTCAGTAGAACAGAACGTCAGAGGGTTCCGTCAGTGTGTAACGGACCAGGAAGCAGGTCCAATCCCTCAGATGGAACCACATCCAGAACAGCTGACAAAACCATGTTGACCAGGAATACTGTAGGAAAGCTTCATCAGGTTCTAGAGAACAGAACCCTGATGTTAACCCGGTCCAGAGGTGGCACCAACCCCTCAGGATTCCATCTGGGATGGAGCAGAACCCTGGATCAGGGTCTGCTGCATTAAGGACCACATCTGGTCCAGAAAACCCCATGCCACAACCCGGGCAGGTTCCGGACCCGCCCCAGAAGAGGATGTTGGAGAGTTTAGAAACCCGAAACAAGAATGGACCTGGTTCTGTTGGACTGGTAATCATCATTTGTCCTGATAATATAAATCGTTATAATCAATATTAATAATTATTAGTAATTCACTCCCAATAAATCCTGGAATAAATGATGTTTTTACTCCACTCAGGATCACGAGTTATGGCAGCAAACATGAAAACTAAGTCCTGAGTTGTCGAACGTTCCCACCTGGTTCAGGTCGGAGTTACTGTGCGCCGCCATGGGCGAAGCGCTGAGGGGGTGCTGGCGCGAGGAGAAGGAGGAGGGAGCGGGCTGAATCAGAGGAGGCGTGTGACCGAAGGCGTTGAGGCCTCTCTGCTGGGACAGGAGCTGCTGATAGGCCATGGGGTTGATGTGATGGGGGAAGCTGAACGTGGGGCTGGAACAGAACAGAAACAGATGATGGGAATGTCACAATCTCAGGGAAAACCTTCAGGATAAGAAACAGAAATGAAATAATTTGTATAAAAACTGGAAGATTTTTATTTTACTCCCAGGTGTTTTGATTTTTACTGATATTCCAGACGCTTCACCCTGTGTGTGTGTGTGTGTGCGTGTGCGTGCGTTAGAGAACGCTGGCTCATCCCTTGAGTTAGGAACTTTCTCCTGACCATGATAAGAGGTCAGAGCTGATTGTTTCATGCATTTAAAAAGTCAGAAACTGTTCAGGTACAAGAACTCAAACTCAGAAAGCAGTCAAAGGAAAGAAAACACGGACGGAATGTTTATGGAATTCTGTTATGGCGGCAGGTTTGGTCCTACATCCATCTGGTCCTGTTTATAGGACCTTCTGGACTCATGTCATGCGTTTGTTTCTGGTCTCCCACCTGATTCCTCCAACTGAAAGGTGTCCATAGGAGCTGCTGGCAGCCGAGCTGGAGCGGGAATTATTGATGTAAGCCACCAGGGAATTGGGTGATGTTCGGATCATGGTCTGCAGGTCAATGCTGGCATCTGACAGCGGCGAGATGGACAGAGCTCTCTTTCTGCTCAGCCGGGGAGTCAGCCTTGGGCTGGAGAAACGAGACACTGGACAGGACACACACACACACACACACACACACACACACACACACACACACACACACACACACACACACACACACACACACACACACACACACACGTATGAGGTTTGACTGGAACAGGATAAAGGCTGCAGAGTGAGAACCAGCATTTATCCTGGGCTGAGCTAGAGGTCACAGCCATGCTAAGCTGTATCTCCCACATCTCTCTCACACACAGCTCCCCTGTTTAACATTCGTATCCTCTTATGCATAATGAATCGGCCCCAATCATTCTCTGTAATTACTCTGATAGCGATCTCTTTCAGGCAAGTTAAATGGAGGCAATTTAAACAAATTGATTTCAGAATACCATTAAACAGAAAGAACAACTCAAAGGTAGGGTTCATGGCCGTCTGCTAAACCTGCTCCCCACTGGGAAACTTTTAGCTCTTCCAGCAGGCATCAGGTCCACATTCAGGAGCATTTGCTGTATTTATTCAGAATACTTAAGGTCTGTGGACAGAGAGAAGACTTTGGCTGGACCAAACAGGTGCTGGAGGTTTGGATGGTGTTGTAAATGCCTCAGAACAGGCATCATCAGAGGCGCGAGACGCAGTAAACTCCTAACAGGCCCATCACAGCTCGCTCGCTCACACTCACACTCACACTCACACTCACACTCACACACACACACACACACACACACACACACACACACACACACACACACACACACACATTGCCAGTCCTCTGATACTAACTGGTCCAGCTCACAGCCCAGCGAGCTAAATTGATTCAGGCACCGTCGTAATCGCAGCGCCAGACCTGCAGCCATAAAGCTGCGTCGTGCCTCCAGAGTTATTACGTTTGGAGGTGGCGACTCGTAAATCAGGGACATATGCGTTCAGTTAGAAGGCCCCCTGGAACCTCTGATGGCGGACGACAGTATTTGGGAGCCCTGAGAGAAAATAATGGGTGGAGATTATATGGAGGGAATCAAAGAGTTGGCAAAAACCACAAACTGTCCTCAGGAATGCGTCTGTTTAGGGTTAGGGAGAAGCCGCCCCTCACTGCACATCGACTCCATCTGACGCTGAACTCATGTTTTTGTTGTTTCAGTCAACATCATATCTACTCACTGATGTGAGTGACTCCTAAACTCTGTTTCCTAAGGTTGACCAGCTGTGGTGGCCATCTTTTATTGGTTTGACTCCAACAGGAGTCGACGTTACTCCGGCCAGTTTCCGAGTTTTAGACAAACTAGATCCAGTGATTCAGGAGATATGGAGGACAGATATGAGTTCAAACCACCACGCCATCTTCTGCTGACGTCGACATTTCACTTAATCAGTTTGTTAATTTCCGAGGTCGCTGTGAGGTTTCACAACAACCTCCACATGCTTTTTGTGCTACAAGCATTAATCTTTTGACCAGTCTGATGCCACAATGGATCCATGCCACAACCGGCGCCTCAGACAGTCCAGCAGAGTGTTAGTGAGTGACTCTCATGTTATTAATCATGAATATTACTCATGAAGCCACTAAAAACCAACAGCTGTCATTTCTTGAGCTTTTTGTTTGGTGTCACTTAAGACCCAAAAGAAACATGTGTGTGTGTGTGTTGGGGGTTGGGGGGGGGGGGGGGGGGGGGGTAGTAGAGGAGATACTTCAGACCCATCAACAGGTTCAATAAGAGATGCTTGTATTAATCACCCCACAGGCCTCACAACCTGGTGACCTGGGAGACTGGCTGTGGCCTCGCCCCTCTGGGAATGATGCCCATACCCCCCCCCCCCCCCCCCCCCCCCCCCACACACACACACACACACACACACTACCACCATCTTTAAACCTCCACCCAGTCCATACGTTGTGCTTGGCTCAAAAACATTCTTACAGCAAAAACTTTATCTGCAGCTTAGAGGAGATGATTTAGTTTTGGGCTGCGCAGTGGCGCAGTGGTTAGAGCTGTTGCCTTGCAGCAAGAAGGTCCTGGGTTCGCTTCCCTGCCTGGGATCTTTCTGCATGGAGTTTGCATGTTCTCCCTGTGCCTGCGTGGGTTCTCTCCGGGTCCTCCGACTTCCTCCCACAGTCCAAAAACATGACTGTTAGGTTGTCTAAATTGTCCTTGTGTGTGTGTGTGTGTGTGTGTGTGTGTGTGTGTGTGTGTGTGTGTGTGTGTGTGTGTGTGTGTGTGTGTGTGTGTGTGTGTGTGTGTCTTTGGTATGATCCGACCAGGATATGAACCCTGATCTCCCAGTCTCAGGGCAGATATGCTCATCATCACTATCCTAATCCTCATCATCCTCATCATCATCACCATCACGCTCATCACCATCATCATCATCATTGCCATCATCTTCATCATCACCATGATCCTCATCATCATCACCATTCTAATCATCATCATCATCATCATCATCCTCAACATCACTCTAATCATTGTAGAAGGTAAATATTGTTGCTTTTAAGCTTAATATATTACCTCTACTTATGACCAATAAGCTAAGATGTTCTATATAAATATAGAACATCAACCTGCTTGGTCTTTGGATGTTTAATCAGAAGATTCTAGGATTCTTTGCTTTTTTCAAGGGATCAAACACACTTCGTCTCAATTCAGACAGAGTCAGGTTTCTAAAAGCAAGACATGTATTTTCTAAACAAATTAAAACAAGACAAATTAAATAGGACGACTGTGATGGATGAATCTAAATGGATGGAAGGTGAGATGTATGGTAACTGAATGGTATGTGTTCGTCAGAACCTTGCATCTAGAAGAACTGAGTTCTGGGTGAAAAGAATTAGGTTTGCATTGAACTACGAAGTTGGTTCTTATCAAAACAGCATCAGACGCAATCACGTGTGTTTACCTCACCCTTTCTTTGGAGACCCTCTTCGTGGATCCGGAGGTCACAGAGGTCGGATGACCTCTGGGCACCAAGGTTCAGTAGATTAACCGCAGCACCGACGTTCCAGTCCAGAGATGTCGCCAGGCACACAGGTTGGAACTAGTTTGCGTCTAGAGCAGCTGTCTCTGAATAGCTGAAGGAACCGTTTTGCTGTGTCAGCTGTAGGCAGCTGTTAGCTTGTCGAAAGCTTGTCAAGAGATGTGGTGGCTAGAGAGTTTTCCTCCGATGGCCAGTCAGAGTTAGCTCAACTAACAGGATGCTGAATCTCACAGAATGCCGGAGTGATGGAAAGATGATTCACTCCGCAAGTGACGCGGTTTTAATATTTTCATATTATGATTTACTTGGCCAATCGGAACGCGCCATGCTAAGGGGTGTTAACAACAAACCTCAGAACGTCATGCCTTCTTTCAGATACAGGATGCTCTGATTTGTGGCTAAGAAAATATCTATGTGCAGTGACGTCACTTTAACTTAAATTTATCAATAATGAACATTGTGTCTGATTGTAGATAATGATTCACTTGTTAAACCAAACATTACTGATCATCATATATAAATCTTTCAATGTAATAATAATATTCATTACCACAGTAATTTAAGCACAGACTAATCAACCTTATTAATTTAAGCACAGACTAATCAATACATTATTATTATTATCCATCGACCATATGATCATTCACTATTATAACGGTTCAGTCCTTTATTCTGTGCAGGACAGCCTAGATAAGCAGACAGGCTTGGCAGAGAAGAACCTTGAGAAGGGAACATGATGTTGATAATATGTTATCATGTGTTCAGAGCTGCAGAGGCCCGGACTCCAGCTGACGGACTGGCAGGATCCGGTAGATTAAAGGCAACAAATGTAGACTCCTGTCTCCATATGACCAGATACTGAAGAGGTCAACTGTACATGAAAAACTGACCATTTGTGGACGTTACATTATCATCATCACCATCACCATGATCCTCATCACCATTCTAATCATCCTCATTATCATCATCACCATCACCATCACCATCCTCATCCTCATCATCACCATCATCACCATCACCATCATCACCATCATCACCATCCCCATCACCATTCTAGTCATCACCATTATCATCATCATCCTCATCACCATCATCACCATGATCCTCATCACCATTCTAATCATCCTCATTATCATCCTCATCATCACCATCACCACCATCACCATCACCATCACCATCATCACCATCATCACCATCCCCATCACCATTCTAGTCATCACCATTATCATCATCATCCCCATCACCATTCTAGTCATCACCATTATCATCATCATCCTCATCACCATCATCACCATGATCCTCATCACCATTCTAATCATCCTCATTATCATCATCACTATCACCATCACCATCCTCATCATCACCATCACCACCATCACCATCACCATCATCACCATCATCACCATCCCCATCACCATTCTAGTCATCACCATTATCATCATCATCCTCATCACCATCATCACCATGATCCTCATCACCATTCTAATCATCACCACCGTCCTCATCTTCATCACCACCATCATCATCATCACCATCCCCATCACCATTCTAGTCATCACCATTATCATCGCAACCATCAACAACAAATTAGCTAGTTTCTTCGCCTTCACCTCAGCTTTTACTTAATAAAATAAGAGATAGTTAACTAAAAGCACTAAAGAGTCAAATATTTGATCTTTGACTTTGTTGATAATCTGATTACTTTGTAATAAATAACTAATTTAATCTGACCTGTGTTCCGAGCCGATAACCCAGAGGATTATCGGAGTTAAACCTCTACAACGCTGAACAGAGTGAAACGCTCTTTGTGGACCGGACCAACCTGCCAGCGGTACCACAGAGCTAAACATGTTTGTTCATCTCTGGACCAACGAGGAGTGATGAACGGCTTATTTTCCTGCTGGATTTCACTAACAGCAACACTGAGAAGTTTATTAGCAGCAGCTTGCTCTGAATCCTCTCTGAGCTCCTGGTGTCCAACCCAAAGCTGGCGTTGTGTTAGCCGGCGTGTTTATGCACACACTTCCACCAGCGTGCTCACAAACTAACATATAGTTAAGTGTTTGTGTATGCAGTCTGAGGGAACACCCACCCATCTCTCCCCCGCACCACCACATCAGTACACAAATCTTTCTCCCTCACTCGCTCTGCTGCAGCAACACAAAATCATCTTTTTGCTCGGGTTGGCAGACGTTTACTTTGGCTGTTGCTTTTGTCGTGGGAGCTTTTCCCACAAACCGCTCTGATATTCCTCTGCCCACCCACCCCTTTACATACCTGCTCATTTATATCCAAACAGGCTTCTGAATGCCTCCCAATGTGAGTGAACAGGACGTGGCTTTATTTAATAATCCATGCTAATGCTAGCTACCTAAACGTCAGCTCATTCGCTTCAGAATCATTTTGTGATTTATTACTTAGTTGGTCTCTCACTTGCAGCAGGTGGTGGTCACACCTAACCCCGTTTGCAGAACCTTTACTCTTGTTCCAGTCGTTTTCTTTTGTCATCAACAGATTAGCAGTTCCTCCCTTTTCAGCAGATTCCTTTGCTTAACTAACATTAAGTGTCTTTGTCCTGTCTTCTCACTGGGAAGGTGTTTTAGGCAGATGGACTGCGTCAGAGCTTCGTCTGTGAGGGTGTTGATCTGGAGAAGCTGAGCTAAAGGACCAAGCTCTGGGTTTACTGGTCCAAACCTTGCCTAAAAGGTGTACATGCCCCAACTGCCCAGAACTTTTCCACAAGTCCACTTCTCCCGGAGCATTAACATTCACAGAGCTGGGCTTAAGACGGGATCAGAAGGTGCGGTGGTCCAAGAACTGTGGGTTCACTGAGGTCTTTCACTTCTTGTGGTGGGTCTACTGAATATTAATGCATAAATTAATGTTTAATATGATATTTATCTGCACATCCACCCAAAACAAACACAGTGTGATGTCTGCAGAGCGTATTTACCACCTTCACCGCTGCTCGTACCTCGCTCGGAATAAATAAGTTCTTTGATTCAGCCTGAGGCGGCCCGCAACTACCATTAGTTAGCTGCCTCGGTCAATACGGCCTCTGTGTGTGGAGGTCGACATGGAAGAGCCTTCACACCAGCGGAGTGGCCCATTCCTGACCACATCACTCGTCAAACGTTAGTCGCTGCTGGGCCGGTGGCAGCGAGTGGATGAGCCGGCCGGGTGACAGAGGTTGCGGCTTCATGAGCAAACAGCCATCCCAAACAAGTGTGGGCGAAGCAGCACAGCGGCGGTTTGGGGGAGGACGGAGAGGTGGGCCCTTCATTCACTATTTAACTTTTAGATGGCGGCAATTTAAAAGATTAATGGACATGTAATCCAATATCAGCTAGTTGACTCAGTGTCACTGAAGAGTGACACAGCAGCAGTTGTTGTTGTTTTTCTTCAGGTGGGAGGTTTGATGGGAGGAAAAACAGAGCTGCACTCCAGAGCTGCCAAGCAGGGCGAGCAGTGATCAAACATCGGCTCAGAGCTGGAATCTTACCTTCAGCAGGTCGGGTTCATCAGGAAAAGTAGATTTCTCAGACACTGCCAGCACATCCTCCAGCTGAAAAGCACTTCAATGAAAGAAGCTGCTTCTGAGGAAGATCACCTCTGTTTCATTTTGAAGCTGGATTTTTGATCATCTGCTCCAGACCAACTTTTGATTTTGGATGTGACTTTGTTCTTTATCCCTTCAGACCTGCAGATCCTTCAGAGAAACTCCTGCTGACTCCACCTTTAGTTAGTTCAGCTAACATGTGCTAATTGCTGCAATCTGGGGAACTATCTGTGCATTTTTGCTCCAGCGTATAATTGATGCTGTTTGCTTTGCTTCTTTGTTAGATTTGCCCGACTGGTTTCCTGTGGAAGCCTGACTGGCCTCTGTTAGAGTGTTACCACCTGTTGGGACGGAGACGCCTCGTTTCTGCTCCATCATGACAACAAGCAGCTCATCCTGACAGCAGATATGAGAATCATTTATCTAGACTTGTTCTGCAGGATAATCATCCAAACCATCCAGAATCGCAATCAAGATTAGAGGCCCCTGTTTGTGTGCGTGTACGTGTGAGACGGTTTGTGTGTGTATGTGTGTGTGCATGCACATGTATGTGTGTCAGATTGGCTGCAGCTTTCATTAGAAGAACTCTTACCTGGACAAACTTGTTTCCTGTTCACAGGAATCAACATGTCTGGTGAAAAGATGCTCTAAGAGCTCCATGGTCAAAGATTAGAGCAGAGGTGGATGTAATGCAGAAAGTGAACCCTACACTCTAGTGATGTGATTCTGCTGCTGAAGTGCTTTTTGTCCTCACCATCCATGTAATCCGGTAGATGAGCAGCAGCAGCAGCGGCGGCGGCGGCAGCAGCGGCCCCATTCTGCATCAGCAGGTCGCTGTACGGGCTTCTCTGGCTGGCACTGGCCATCAGGTGGTAGTAGTCTGAGGGGTTGGCCCCTGGTGGTGGAGGCGGGAAACTGAACAAGGCTCGGTCCTTCAAGTGCTCGTGGCTGACTGCATCAGACAACAGAGGACAACATAAATCAGCTGGGAGAATTCATGCTACGGAATATCCGGAAGCATCCTGTTGAGGTCAGCTGATTACAGCGTTGCCCTTCTTTATCATTAAAGACATTTCATCTTCTCCTTTGCCTTCTGGGCTACACGCTGGGTCCCAAAATAACAAACTGCATTTTTATTGGACACTTGTGATGAATGGATTTGCATCTTTGTTAAAGTGATGCATTTGTTCTGAGTCACAGAAGAAGAACAAAACAGACTTCCCTTGAACTCCACACTCACAGACCTTAGGATTACTATTGGACAGAGTTCTTGACAAAAACATGAAGTTGGAAGGACTCAGTAGAGGACACGAGTGCTTTGCTTTACAGATTTAAAGATCTGTGCATGCCTGCATGCCCCGGGGCGCGAGGCTTTTGATAAAAGATGTCTGATGTCTTTGAGGCTTGTGGGAAAAATCTCCAGAGAGTTCAGAAAGCACCGAACGAGAACAAGCAGGGCAAAGAGGGGAGGAGGGGGCTGCACATTCCAGGACTTTTACATAGTGTACACATTATATTTGACAGGATGAAGTCACTCAGGCTGCAGGTGCCGCTGACAAACTCTTAGAATAAACCTTAAACACGGCACGAACAGCAGCAATGTTGACATAAAATGTGTTAACACCTGTAGCCTGTAAAACTGCATTTAAAATGTCAGGAACCATGAGAGAGAGGGACGGATTAACTCTTTCCTGGCACTAACGGTGCCTGTGCACCCCCTCGTTTCCTGTGAGACGGGGGAGAAAGGGGAGTATTAATATGCAATATGGGGGAGGTAGAGGAGAGAAAACAGCCTCCCTCTGCCTCCTGGACACAAGCATAACAGAATTCTGGATCCAGCAGAAACTACTGGAGTTTGGTAAAAGAAGAAAGGTTCAGAATCAGATCCCAGAGCAGCTCAGATGGACTGGGCGGATATCGGATCACGTTACCATCGCTCAAGTAAAACATCTTGGGTCTGGAAGCAGCAGCTAATCTCTAACACGTCCTAGCTAAAGCAAAAACCTCCATTAGCTGCTACAGCTAACAGACACAACATCAGTTTCACAGAAAGTGAGCCAAAACTTGAGCAGCACGACGTCATTGATGAGTAGTGATGGGATTATTTTCTCAGCCCGTCGAAACATTTAAAGGGACATTATGGAAGTGTGACAGCCAAACCATGTATAGAAATAATAAATGTCTTCTTCATACATTCTCCTGCAATGCCCTGGTCCTGTAGAATGAGCCCTGGCATTTTTACTGTGATTGCCTGTTTTTCTGTAAAATCACAGAAAAAGAGAGATGCTCGGGTCGAGCAGGCTGCTTCATGCGCGTTCACGCTCAGGCATAGCCTGTAGCATTTGCTATCCGTAGCTTTAGCAGCAGAGAGAGAGGCAGTGCCACTTTGTCGCTGTTCCTAACGCCTAGTGACAAAGCTAGCTACATTTCTGAGGACCCTTAGCTACTTTCTTCTAGAATTTCCTGCAAATTAGCAACAAAATAGCCATTTTCGCTCCAAACCGTTCTTTGAACGTTATTTCAGCTGTCATCAACAATATAAATGCTACAGATATAAAGCACATCACTGGTGCTTTAGCTCACCTAGTAAGATGTTGGATTCCCATGCAGAAGACATTGGTTCAATTCTGGATGTGAACATAGTTTATTCAGAGTTTATTTTTTACATTAATGGTATATTTTTTTACAGTAAGATGCCCAAATTTTTATTTGAGACTCGCCGAACGGCATTGAATTCACAGATAAAGAAGATGTGGGTTCAACTTTCATTTTGGAACAATTTTTCAAGCAAGGGCAGGGAATGATCTGAGCATGCAGGAGAACTGACCCATCATAAACCTTTGTCGGCTGTGCTGAAGAGAAAGGTACAGAAACAAATTATTTAATTAATTAGCTGCGTGTTCTCCTGTCCTCTGGGACACACACACACACACACACACACACACACACACACACACACACACACACACACACACACACACACACACACACACACACACACACACACACACACACAGGACTGTCTCAGCTGTTATTTTCGTTAAGGAGTGTGCACGTACAGCATGCGCGCCTCTTGCATGAGCCTACTATTGAAGCTGCCGTTACGCTTTTGGCCTGAGGGGGCAATAGCGAGCATAAAAATTCAAAACTCCGTAAAGTCCCTTTAAGGAACATTTTCCCTTCTTTACCGTTTCTGCCTGAACTGATTTAGAGGTGACACACACTGAGCCTGATCTCTTTGGTGTGAATCAGTGTGCTGACTTCCTGGTTTTGTAACCAGGGTCAATGATTTAAACTGTATTCATGCTGGGGTTAGCATCACCAGCACCTATTAGCATCAAGCAGCTACTGCTGCCTCTGCCATAAGCTGCTGATTGTTATTAGTAATACTGCACCCCTCATTAGGTTTGTTGCCCAGCCCTAATGATAAACACATCACTAGCAGACCGATCAAGCTCCTACAATAATCATATTTTCCAGATTTGACCACAACAGCTGTACCACCCTCGTTACTTCAGATGAAATCATCTTAGATCAGGTCTGTGAAGAGGTCCTTGGAGTTCCTTCAGTGAACGACGAGGCTGTGGCGTCTTGGTTGTGTTTAACACAGGGGTCCCCAGTTCTGGTCCTGGAGGGCTGGTATCCTGCATGTTTTAGTTTGAACTCTGTTTCAACACACATGATTTCAGTCAGCAGCTGATTAACAGGCTTCCGCAGAGCCTGATGAGGTGCTGCACAGGTGTTTCAACCACTGAATCAAGTCCGTCTGAGCAGAAAAAACACAAAACCTGCTGGATACCGGCCCTCCAGGACCAGGATTGGGGACCCCTGGTTTAATAAATCAGAAAAAAATCTTTACGAGTTTTTTTCGTTAATTTAACTCTAAATGGTTTTTATATGAAAACATCCTAAAGCCTATTGTCTTGTGTTTAAGACATGATTCAGAGCCAGCTTAAGACCAGTTTGAGCTGATAAATGACCTTCAGCTGTATTTATGATGTTGTTGTGATGTTGATAAACTGATCTCTACGGTCTTTGTTATTTTGAATGGCAGCTCACCTGGAGACGGGCATTTCCAGGCTCTGAAAGCTTTGGTTTGGAGGATTAGTTATTGTAAACTTCACTACCTACAGGATAAACATTAAATAAATAACGCTGTGAGCTCTAACGCCTTCAACACATGCCTGGCACCAAGGTATCCATGTCAGACGTTTACACTCGCTCCACTGAGCTCCGTGCTTCTGAGAGTTTATTTATCTTCTTCTGTTTGGTCCAAACTTTAATCAGCAGCAACATCTCCTCCACGCTCCATGAAACGTAGACAGCAGCGTGTTTGGTGACTTATTGGCTCCTGTCTAGTTTAAACACAGTTTACAATCACACACAATCAAAATAACACACATGAGATCTTATGAGGGTTCTTTATGAGGTACGACGTCCTGAATGCAGAGCAATTATCATAGCTGGCAGAAGAATCAGAGGTGCTTCAGTGTGTGCACTCTCAATGAGCTGCAGCTGAGCAGAAGCAGTTGGTTTACTGTCGCTCGCCTCTAATCAAACGTCCTCCGCTTTTCTGCTAAAAGCAGCTGCAGAACGTCAAACATTTTACTCATCACTCCAAGTAAAAGCTGCGCGTTGCATCCATTTCCTACAGATTCACCACTTCCCCCCAGCAGATGCACCAGAACAGGTCACAATCAGGGCTTCTCTGCGTTCTGAAATTGAAATTCAGATTTTTGAAGCACCTTAAATGATCTACATGACCAGCCAGCACCAGGCTAGTGAAAAACTAATGCCATCACCAAACCCAGTATCTGACTGGGCTGTGACTGCTGGTGACACACAGCGTCGATGAAGGAGTGCCCAAAATGTCTCTGTAGCCTCCAGGAATGGTCAGTTTTCCACCTACAGTGTGACCTCTTCAGTATCTGGCCATTTGGAGACATAAGTCTCAACTGGTGCCTTTAATCTGCAAGAAGAATACTGTTGTTTGTCCCTCGCAAGCTCCCTCTTATCTAAGACCGGTTTTATTCACAGAACATGACGGATGAACTTTCATAATTAAATCATACAATGAAATTAACAATATGAGTAACTAGTCATATAATGAAATGGACAACATGGTTAAATGAAATGTTTTGATTAATCTGTGCTTAAATTACTGAAGTTGAAATGAATATTATTATTACATTGAAAAATGAATAAGGATGAAATGAAATATATGACCCATATGTTAAATCAGCGCACTGACTGGACAAGACACACTCGCCATATCTCCATGATGCAAGTTATAATTAACGTCACTGCTCATAGATATTTTCTTATCCACAAAATCAGCATCTTCATATCAGAGGGAGGTGCGTATCTGAGTTTGTTGGCAAAACCCCTTTACAGGGCAAGTTCTGATTTGTCAGTAACCCAAAATATGGCCATTATTTAAACAGCATCACTTCCTGAGTGATTCAGTTGACTGTGACTGGCCATCGGTGGAAACCTCTTCTCCCATCGCATCTTTTGACAAGCTGTTAAAACCTGCTGCACGCTACAGCTGACCGCAAACGGTTCCTTCATATTAAAGCTGAACCAGCTCCGACTCCCTAAGAGTCCTCCATAGACGCAAATAACCACCTGTTTGTCATGACCTGGAGACGACTCTGACCTGGACTGACCTGTTCGTACTGCGGTTTCTCTAAGGACTTCGGTACTGTGGGGTCCACGGACTCCCTGACACCTCGGATCCAAAAGAGAGTCTCCGATAAGGGTATGTAGACCCGACAGATTGTGCTTGATGTGGTTTTATAAACCATTAATTATATTTTATAGCAGACCAAATTCACTCCCACTCAGAACTCAGTTCCTCCAGATACAAGGGTTCTGATAACATCACATTCACACATCATCACACCTCATGTGGTACGAGATAGTGTGGCTTCCATCTACCGGAATCCTCTTGCAAAGGCTTACGTCTCGGCCCGGCCGCTCCGGTCATCACAGGATCGTCGGCCAGCAGTGCCTACACCACGCTCAGGACAATCCAGACTCTTCTCATGCATCGTTCCACAAATGTGGAATGACCTTCCAAGCACTACCAGAACAGCGGCTTCCTTTTCAATCTTCAAGAAACTCCTGAGGACCCTGCTCTTCAGAGAGCATCTTCTAAACTAGCACCCTCCCTGCACCCGTCCCCCCTCTCTACTGTCCACTCCTTGTTCCCTCCTCTCCATGACTGATGTCAAGTTGTTGTTTTTAGCCTCAAGGGCAACATGCCGATTATCACTTGTAAGTGGCTTTGGACAAAAGTGTCTGCTAAATACATAAACACAAACATAAACCTCACGTTCCATCCACTTAGAGTCATTCATCACATAAAGTGTTCCTTGTTGCCATGTTTTTAATTGTTTAGGAAATAAATTTCTTACTTTTTATAAACTTGACTCTGTCTGAATTAGTACGAAGTGTCTTACAATCCCTGAATAAACAAAGAATTCTAAATCTTCTGGTTAAACATTCAAAGACCAATCAGACTGGACTTCCATATTTATATAGAAATTCACATCTTACTGGTCAAATGTATTGTAGCATTTTTGAGCTTAAAAAGCACCCAAAATAAATACGTATGCTTGACCCTACATCTCATTATGTTCACGATTATTCTAAATTCCAACTGGTGAGCCTCAGGGCTTCGCTCTCGTGTCCCTGGAACTTTGCATGAAGGATCTGGAAGTAAAAATTCCCCTTCCGGAACCCTGCTCAGTTTAGTGTCTGTGAGGAACATGAGACAACTTTAGGAGGATCTAGAGACCAAACTCATGACACTTATTTGAAGTTCTCAGAAGCCCCACAACCTATAAGCATTTTTAGAATCTTCTCAAATGGACAGTGAGTGGCCAGCAGTCACAGCCTTTTCATCTTGAGGATTTCACTCAAACTTCTCCAGCTGTTTGACTTTGGGGGAATTTTCTGTGTACTTCCGTCTTTTAAAGGTCTGGACATGAACTCGTCCAATCAAAACCTCCCACGCCTTGGTAGTGTTGTGATGTAAACCAAAACCACCCGTTTGTCCCAGATAGTTTGGAAAAGCTCCTTCCACCTGTGTGAGTGTGTGTGTGTGTGAGTGTGTGTGTGTGTGTGTGTGTGTGTGTGTGGGCGGGGGGGGTTATACTTTACCTTCAGCGGGGCTCAGTCCTCGTGCGGCTGAGATCATCGACAGGGTGGGACTGCCGTGAACCGAGCGGAGGTAGTGCTCCATGTGGGGGCTGACGTAGGGGTGTGGGGGGCTGAAGGGTGACTCACCCGCTCCAGCCGCTGTGTGGGGGGACAGTCGGATCAGAGAAATGTCTGAGATGACTGGACTTCCTGTCAGTCCTGGAGGTCTGTGAAGGAGAGGGAAGGATTAGAGGGAGTGAAATAAAAAGTTTGGTAGTTTATCTCTATGTGATCATCATCGGTATGTTCTAACACAAGCCTTACCTCCTTTACCTCCAGACGTGTCTGCAGGCTCCATCCACCCCCCACCCCACCCCCCCCACCCCCACCCCCTGTCCCGCTGCTAATACATAATAATCCCTTTTTGTTCACCATCTCCTATTAAGCCCTAAAGCTACAAACAAGCCAGGACTGATGGCGTTCAGCCGAGCGGCTACAGAGACGTGTAACGTATACTTTGTGTGTTTGGGTGGGCAAAGCTACAGTCTCTCTCACATCGGCTATGGTTTGCTGCGTGATCAGACACAACCTGAAGAAGCAGCTGTGCGTTTGTCTGAAGTTCTGTCAGCCTGCCGGTCAAATCAGGATCCGCGGTATCTCTGGCAGGTAATTGGTGGATTTGTGACTGTCCTGAGGGGCTGAGCTTGAGAAGGAAGCATCAGCGCTGTTTGACAGGGACAGGAATGTTTTAGCTGTGGATGTGATGAACATTTGGTCATTTCTGCAGGACGGGACACAAACATCTCAACCTTCTGAGAAGAATAATCGACTGTAGCCAACGCACAAACCGTCAGATCAGCAGAAGTTAATCAGCTCTCCTCTATAAACCAATAACAGCTCAGGACTTTTTAGTTTTAGTTGTAGAACAAGTGTAAAAAGCCAAGATTAAACGGTAATCAAGCTGCTGCCAGTGACTCGTGGAGTGTCTGGCAGGACATCGGTCCTGCAGCAGCGAGACACACAGCAGGTGGAGAAAGCCCCACATACCAACGCGTCCGTGGCACCAAAGTCCTAAAGCATCAAGGTGATCAGAACACCAGTTCAGTCATGTACTCAGGACAATGCGTCTGCCAGGAAGTCCACCTGAGATCCAGAGGTGGGCGGGGCTTCTCATCGGTTCTACCTAAATCCCACTGACGTCTCTGGGGAAAGCATTCTGCTTCTGCAGGAAAGGGCTACTAAAGTAATCCGTCAGAGCGAATGGAGCAGCAGTCAGGACTTTTGAAACATGACTCGTGTGGTGCAGATGTTGGAGGGTTGGGGTGCAGGTTGGGTTTCTCTGACCAACAAGTCAAGCGACTTCCGCTTACAGACGAGTTTTAATCCAAAGATTCTGTTTGACGTCTGAGGTAAAATCAGTTGTGCTTGTGGAGTCATTTCAGCCCGACAAAACCAGAGCGACCGGTGGAGGCTGGGGCTATAAAAGATGGAGCTGGCAGGAGCTGCCCGGACCCTCGTTCCGTTTCCAGTAAGCGCCTGCAGACTGCTGGTCTTGTCTGAGGGCCAACTTTCTGCCTTCTTCCACTACAAACAACCATAAAGAGCCCTCTGTTCGGGACCGGGGGGTGGGGGGTGAGAAGAAACAGACCCTCCATACACACCGAGCGGCGCACACACGGGCCGGGACTGCGCGTGGATCAGGCTGAGGGACTACCTGAGTGGGCTGGTACCGGCGCTGATGCTGTTCTCGTTACAGCAGCCCGTCGGATCCCGGGAGGGTTAGGAAGGATGATGAATCAAGCTTTTCATTCACATTCTTGCCAAAGGTTCAGTCCTACTGGAACCAGGTCTGGGAAGGAAACCCAGACCAGCTCTCTCACCAGAGACTCTCGTCGGCTCCTCCTGGCATTCCCAACCGGGGTTCTCCTCCCAGAAAACCAGCTGAGCTGCTGAATCCTCCTGATGAGGAGCAGCAGCTGCAGCTCTCCTGTCTTTTACCAGGCAGGATATGAAATTAATGCAACCTGAAAAAGCAGGAAGGTGACCTCAACTAAAGATATGCGACTAAATAATTACTTTTTACTGGTTTTTAATGTTAACGGTTCCTGGAATAGCAAGAAAATCTGCACACGATGCTGAAAAAACACAAGCGGTTTAAAATCGGTATGATTTCCAAATGAAGAGTTTGCTGCTACGACTGGAGAGCTCTGTCACTGAAAGCACATGGAAACCATGCTTTTGAACTGCATCCATCAACACTGCTCATTTGTTTCTTGGCTGATGGAGAATGATGGTGTCGACACCAAACAGCGAATTGCTCAAACCACCAGAAGAAGAGCGCACAAGACCTCCGAAATAAGGAGAAATTTATTACCGCTGCCTGACAGGACGCTGCAAATAACCACCCTGCCTGCCAAGTACTATTATTGAAGTCTTGTCGGTCCACCCTTCTTCTGACAAGATGTTACTTGTGTTTTCCTCAGGCTCCAGTCGCAGAGGTTGAAAGCGAACACTTGGGAGAGCCGTGTCTCTTAATCTGTAGCTGCCACTTAAAGAAACTTCCATCAAGCTGAACCACATTGGGTGGCTGCTGCTGACGGAGCGACTAAAAATGGCTCCGAGACGCCGCTCCGTTTGTCCTGGAGAGGATCACAGTTGGATGGTGGTGGTGGGGGGGGGGGGGGGGGGGGGGGGGGGGCTGGGTGGCGGGGGGGGGGGGGGGGGGGTAAAAACAGAGTCGGAGGGATGAAGGAAGACAGTCGATGACATGCTTTCAGCCTGGTAATTGCTGTTTGTCTCGGTGTTCTTGTTGTGATTACATGCTCTGTTGTTCCATTGTTAAAACTCTGCTGTGAGAAAAAGTGATTTGGACAAGGTACGGCTTGTTGGGCATCTAAGTAATTCTGAGAGTAAGTGCATACCATAGTGATTGTACATGACGGAGCCGGAGGGGGCAGATTTCAGTGCGTCTGTGGGGATTATTACCATGAATTAATGCAGAGACACTCCAGCTAAAGCAGATGATCATTTACACGCAACATCCTCTCATTTACTTTATGATGTAGATTCAGTCGGAGGTTGGGTCCCTGGCTGTGATTGGTCAGGTATTTTCACGTAAAGAAGATGAGTTCTCAGCTGAACTTCACCTTCAGCTCATCCCTCAGCCTGCTGGCCCTCTGACTGCACCATGTGGGATGAATTACAATCCCAAACCATTCCAACTTCCACCCAAGCCAAAGCGATCAAGATAAATCTGCCACGCTAACCCCGAGGGGACATGTACAGATCCTGTCTCGGTTGTTTTGGAGGACCTAGACCCATCAGGTACTGTCCTCTGAGACGCTCCTGACAAAGAAGAGGCCCATGAGTCGGAAGGTGGGACAATAAACTGAAATGAGATGGGATTAAAGCGAGGGTAATTATCTTTTCTTCTGCTCTGCCTCTGTCACATACCACTGGGTCTCTGTTGATTGTGCTGAAATTACGTTGATTCCGTGCGATAAACCGTGAAAATCTTGGGCTATTGATGTGCAACATGCCAGCCTTTGATTGATAGGCCCAATGTTTTGTCTTTTCAGCAGCACATTCCTGGTTGTAACTCAGGGGAGTGTCCAAATTCAGCCATCAGCCGTGACGACGAGTCAGGCCGGAGCAGCTTAAAGATAACAACATGTCTGTCAAAACCAACAAGCAGCAGACTCTGCACACTTCCCTTCCTCCTTACACCAAACCAAAACAATAACGAGGAAAAGAGCCCAGCTCCAATCTGTGAGCTGCATTTCATCAACACATTCCACGCTGCAGGGCGGCGAGGCTTAAACACGCTGACTGCCTGGAGAGCAGGACCACATCTGTTTGCGTACAGGGGTGGTGCAGGCCGCAGCTCCACCACACAAAAACCTTCAGCATATTTTAACTTTGCAGTGCTACAATTTACCCTCCAACTGCTTTCCAAAGTGTCTGGGCTCAGGGAAGGAGTGGGGGATCTGTTTTTCTCATCTGTTGCGTTGTCGTGGAGCTTCGGAGAGCGGAAGGCTGGATTACGGGTGCTAATTACCAGGTCAAACATGCTGGCACACGGGCTGGCTCCCTCGGCTTGTGGGTTTGCCCGAGACACGCCTGCCTCCACAGTCTCCAACAAACAGCCGTCCGATTTGTTTGATTTCCTGCAAACCAGCACATCAGCCAGCAAAGTGCAGCATCTGCACTGTGACAGAATGACCTCCGACCCAAATAATGCAGCACGAGACGGACACTAGTCTTCTCTGGAGTCGGCCAGACGCTCAGCAGTCGGTGGATCTGGTTCGCTCTGAGGAAAACCTGGCTGCAGCAAGGCCTTGATAAATTAGCAGGAGCTTTCTGTCAGAGTCCATCACATTAATCACAACACCTCCTTGGCCTGGCTTTGCTGTGATGAATAGCTCTACCTGTGCTGCATATCACCTGATCTTGCTGAATTTAAATGTAACAGCACACGTCTCACAACCCCTCATTGATCTTACTCATGGCTTCTCTTTTGGACTCTAATAAAACAGATAAGCGTCCTACGGCACGGCGGACTTTACATCAGGAGAGACAAGAATCCCGTCCAAGCAGGGGCAACTCTTGTGGCTCTCAGCAGGTAGAAGGTCACCACATGTTCTGGTTTATTCTTCATGACTGTTCACTCAGGCTCTTTGGTCTCCAGAGAATTACACAGTGGACAATAAGGAGCCCAGACCATTAGCCTGCCACCACCATGCTCCTACATTGTGTTTGGGTTTCTCAAAGTGAGCTTCTGGTCATCATCCAAGGTTGTATCTGCCTTCTTACCTTCCCACACGTCCCAGTAGCCCTCAGGGTTTTTGTTGGGAAGCACCAGAGAACTCTCCAGCTCTCAAACTAAACATGTTAGAGGGAATAGATTTTCTAATAGATTTTCCCCGCTCAGTGACGCACCCACCAACAAGCCGACTCTGATCATTGGCAGCTCCATAGTCAGAAACGTGGCATTAGAGACTCCAGCAACCATAGTTAAATGTTTACCTGGGGCCAGAGCGGGCGACATTAAATCTTATCTGAAACTGCTGGCTAAGGATAAGCGTAAATACAGTAAGATTGTTATTCACGCTGGTGGTAACGACACCCGGTTACGCCAATCGGAGGTCACTAACATTAATGTTGCTTCAGTGTGTAAGTTTGCCAAAACAATGTCGGACTCCGTAATTTTCTCTGGCCCCCTGCCCGATCGGACCAGTGACGACACGTTTAGCCGCATGCTGTCCTTCAACCGCTGGCTGTCTAGGTGGTGTCCTGAAAACAACGTGGGCTACATTGATAATTGGAAAACTTTTTGGGGAAAACCTGGTCTGATGCGGAGAGACGGCATCCATCCCTCTTTGGATGGTGCAGCTCTTCTTTCTAGGAATATGGCCAGTTTTATTAGTCCTCCATGACTACCCAGGGTCCAGACCAGGAAGCAGAGTCGTAGTTTAACCCACCCCTCTGCAGCTTCTGTACTGTTACCCACCCACTACCCCATAGAGACAGTGTCCTGCCCACGGCCAAAACCACACAGATTAAATATCAGGCTTAATAAAGCAAATCATGGAAATCTCATAAATATTAGAACAAATTCAACTGAGCAGAAAACTAGAAAAATTAAATGTGGGTTGTTGAACATTAGATCCATTTTTTCTAAGACTTTGTTAGTTAATGAGTTGATTTGTGATAATCAGATCTCTTTGCTCTCTCTCACAGAATCCTGGCTGCAGCAAGAGGACTATGTTAGCTTAAATGAGTCGACTCCTTCAAATTATTTAAATCATCATATTGCTCGAAGTTCAGGGCGAGGAGGAGGAGTAGCAACCATTGTTCATTCGGACTTATTAATCAGTCCCTTACAGATTAATAGCTACAGTTCGTTCGAACATCTTATTCTTAGTTTTCCTAATCCAGATTGCAAAACTGTAAAACCACTCTTGTTTGTAGTTTTATATCGTCCACCAGGCCCTTACTCTGAGTTTTTGGATCAGATCTCTGATTTTTTATCTGATTTGGTGCTAAATACTGATAAGGTCATTGTAGTGGGGGATTTTAACATTCATGTGGACATCGAAAATGATTGCCTCAATGTAACCTTTAGTAATATCTTAGACTCAATTGGTTTTACTCAAAGAATACATAGCTCCACCCACTCCTGCCTTCATACATTGGATCTTGTTCTGACTTATGGCATTGAGTGTGAGGAAATAACAATCTTTCCACATAATCCAGTCCTCTCGGACCACTTTCTGATAACCTTTGAGTTTTTTATAACTGAGTTCTCGAGACATGAAAGTAAATTTCATTATAGTCGGTCTCTATCTGACAACGCTGTTGCATCTTTTAAATCAACTGTTCCATCTTTACTGTCCTCAGCATCTCAGAGGCATGTAGCAGAGGGCAATATTTTCAGTTCTAGCCCCTCACAAATTGATGCCTTAGTTCATCATGTGAATTCCTCTTTACGTGTGGCATTAGATGATGTTGCCCCTTTAAAAAAGAAGGTAATTAGGGACAGGAAGTTGGCTCCCTGGTTTAACTCTCATCTACGAGCCTTAAAACAAAACTCTAGGAAATTGGAGAGAACATGGCGCTCTACGCACCATGAGGAGGCCTACCTGTCCTGGAAAAATAGTCTTTTGCTTTATAAAAATAAGCTTCAACAAACTAGAACTGCTTATTTTTCAGCATTAATTGAGGAGAATAAGCATAATCCTAAATTTCTTTTCAGTACAGTTGCTAAACTTACACAGAATCGTAGCTCTGAGCCATCTATTCCCTTAGCCCTCAGCAGCAATGACTTCATGGGATTTTTTACAAGTAAAATTAATTCTATTAGAAACAAAATCTTTAGCATCCTCCCTAATGCGATTTCTTCTTCCTCAGTAAGTGAGGCAGCTTCAGAGGTGACTCTAGAACCTCATCTGTGCTTGAACCGTTTTGATCCAGTTGAGCTTTCAGAGTTATCAAAAATATTAGCTTCATCTAAACCTTCAACTTGCATTTTGGATCCAATCCCAACCAAATTATTTAAAGATGCATTTCCTTTGGTTACTGCCCCCATTCTAGATATAATCAATCTATCCTTAGTAAATGGGTATGTACCACAAGATTTTAAGGTTGCTGTAATCAAACCTTCACTTAAGAAGCCTTCTCTGGATCCAGATGACCCAATGAATTACAGACCAATATCTAACCTTCCATTTTTATCCAAAGTCCTGGAGAAAATAGTGGCCATCCAAGTATGTCAGCATTTAAACACTAATGCTCTGTTTGAGGAATTTCAGTCTGGTTTTAGAGAGTATCACAGCACTGAAACTGCATTAGTGAGAGTTACAAATGATATTCTCATGGCCTCAGATAAGAATCTTGTGTCTGTTCTAGTCTTGTTAGATCTCAGTGCTGCCTTTGACACAGTTGATCACAATCTTCTTTTAGAAAGACTTGAACATGTTGTAGGGATCAAAGGAACAGCGTTAGGCTGGTTTAAATCCTACCTGTCTGACAGATTTCATTTTGTAAATGTACATGACAAATCTTCTTCATACTCCAGGGTTACTTGCGGAGTACCACAGGGTTCAGTGCTTGGACCAGTTCTTTTTACTATATATATGCTCCCAATTGGTAAAATCATTAGACAGCATGGGATAAACTTCCACTGTTATGCTGACGATACTCAGTTATATTTATCCATTAACCCTGATGAACCTAATCGGTTGGGTAGATTACAGGCTTGTCTTGAGGACATAAAAAATTGGATGACTCTTAACTTCTTGCTTTTAAATCAAGACAAGACAGAAGTTCTCATCTTTGGACCAGAAATCCAGAAAAGGAAATTGCTTAGCCAATCGCCTGACCTTAATGGCATTACATTAATCTCCGAGAACAAAGCAAGGAACCTTGGTGTTATCTTTGACCAGGACATGTCATTCAAATCCCAGGTTTCACAAGTTTGTCGGATTTCCTTTTTCCACCTTCGGAATATTGCTAAGATTAGAAGCATACTTTCCAGGAGTGATGCTGAAAAACTAGTTCATGCTTTTATTACATCAAGACTGGATTACTGTAATTCATTACTCTCAGGAAGTCCACAGAATGTAGTTAAAAGTCTTCAGCTTGTCCAAAATGCTGCAGCTAGAGTTCTGATGAGAATTAAAAAGAGAGATCATATCTCTCCTGTCTTAGCTTCCCTACATTGGCTACCTGTTAAATTCAGAATAGATTTTAAGATCCTTCTTCTCACATATAAAGCTCTTAATAATCAAGGTCCATCATACATCAGTAATCTGATTGTTCCATATGTTCCTAACCGAGCACTTCGCTCTCAGACTGCAGGTCTACTGGTGGTTCCAAGAATATCTAAACTTAGGATGGGAGGCAGATCTTTTAGTTATCAGGCTCCTCTCCTGTGGAACCAGCTCCCAGCTTTAGTCCGTGAGGCAGACACTTTGTCTACTTTTAAGAATAGGCTTAAAACATTTTTATTTGATAGGGCTTATAGTTAAAATCTGATGTTAGCCTAAATCTGGACAAGTGGGGGATTACAGGGAGGTGGAGTGTACAGTCGGTAAAGACGGCTCTCCCTTGCCCTGCCTCCAACATGCCTACATCTAAATGGGATAAATTATCCAGAGTTAACTCTGTAGTTATGCTGCTATAGGCTTAGACTGCTGGAGGACACACTGACCACTTTTCACACTCTACTGCTTTCTTCTACAGTCTGCTCTTTAACTGTACTATTTTGTGCAATTTCAGCTGTTAACTTTATTTTCTCTGTAAATGTTTTTCTCCCCAGAAGAAGCTACAATGATGCTCTGCTGAGCTGTGGTGGCCTCATGGAGGGGGCCATCGACTAGCACACTGCTGTTAACCACTTAAACATTCTCTCTCTCTCCTGATAATAACTTTTTGTTTTCATTGACTTTTGATGTGCTAATACTAGTTTATCCGTTTAATTATAGATCCACTAGGATAAATACAATGAAGTTTATCTTTCACCAAATACAATATTTACTAAGACATCACAATATAACTATAGACACATTACTTGTGTGTGTGTGTGTGTGTGTGTGTGTGTGTGTGTGTGTGTGTGTGTGTGTGTGTGTGTGTGTGTGTGTGTGCCTGCTCTGTCTTCTCGATCCCCAGTGAGTCGTGGAGGATGGCTGCTTATACTGAGCCAGGATTCTCTGGAGGTTTCTTCCTGTTAAAAGGGAGTTTTCCTCTCCACTGTCACTGCATGCTTGCTTAGTATGAGGATTGCTGTATAGTCACTGACACTAGTCAGTGACTTGATGCAATTTGCTGGGTTCCTTATATAGGAAACATTATTTCTGATTGGCTTAATGAACTGTGAATTGGAATGTTTATTATGTGAAGTGCCTTGAGACGACTCTTGTCGTGATTTGGCGCTATATAAATAAACTTGAATTGAATTGAATTGAATGACGGATTTGGAATCCAGTTCTATTTTAGGGACCAGAACTTTGACTCTCATGAAAAGTGGTATTAATAAAAAATCTATCAAAAATGACTTGCTCATTGTCTGAGAAAGGAAAAGACTGAACCCATAAATAAAAGGTAATAAAAAGGCCTTGAGGTGAATAACCTACCTTAAAGTGCTCTCACAGTAAACACATTTCAGGTATTTTAATCAGGAGGACTGTCTGATACTACGATATGTTGTGTTTTATATTATTTAATCCTAACGATTTAAATAGATGTAAATGCTTCAGATGGGTTTTTGAACCTGTAGTAAACAGTTTTTACTTTTAACGCATTAGATTTAGAGGAAACTTACCCATGCACAGCGTGGAGTGGGTGTGGCTCATAATGGTACCGCCCCTCATGGTGCCTCATGTCAATAGGGATCGGGGTGTGAAAAGTAGGGAACAGATGGTGGGAACCTGCACGTAAGAGACAGAGAGGAATGATCAGCTCTGTGTGCCAGAGGCATCGGGGCAGTGAGACTTAACGGTTCCCGTAACTCCATAGTAAATAAAGTCGCCCCAGAGATGTTCCTTCATTAATGGCTCTCTTATCCAATCAGACCAGAGCAGCTTTTACACAACAATTAATGGTGCTTTTATGGGTCAAAGCAGGAATGCACAATCCACCATTTCCTGCCATAAATGGTCTGGTGCCTTCAGGGAACACTCGTTAGAACAATGCCTCAGATTTCCATTAATTACTGTCTTGATTTCAGGAACCACAACAGGCCTGCTAATCACCTCCAGTTGGACATGTTTAGGGTTCAGATGTTTGACGCAGATGGGTGGACTCCACCTGGATGTTTCACCAAACCCGGTCGACAGTAGAGTGGGCGGGTCTTTCCACCTCACATGCCTATGTTCAGAAGGCCAGGTAAACACAAGATGGCGGCTCCATAAACAACTTCTCTTTTCAACAGCAGATGGAGGCGGAGCAACCTTTTCCATCTTTAGACATTTTAACACAAGTTTTTGTTAAACTTGAAAATAAACCTTTGAATGAAAACATCTTCCCGCCAGGGTTGACTCGTCGCTGTGAACCAGGGGAACGACCCGAGCCTGCAGGCTACGGCGTGTTGTCGTTTCCTGCTTCTTAACCCTGACTGAGCCGCTGTTGCTGCGTCTGAAGCAGCCACCATGACAATGTGCCGTCTTGTTGTCTCGTAATTCTGACCGGATTACACAGGACAGAGGAAGAGCGTTCCTCTAAAGGCAGAGAAACCTTTGACTGATGAGGCGTTCGTCTAAAAGCAAAAATTACCCGTCAATTACTGTTTTCCCTTTGGAGCGAGTGGAGCGGTTCCTCAGCTGGATTAGGATCAGATTTGTAGGAATAATCAGTTTTCTCTGCTATGTCATAAAAGAACAGGGGGAGTCATGTGACCTGACTTGGCTTTTTAACTAAACTATGATTAAGTTTTACTAGAGGACATATTTTCTTTTAACTTGTAATATTTTCAACTCACACAAAGTGGTGACCATGACGACAGAGCGAGCTGTAAAACTCCCGCTCCTTGGGAAGATGTGTGCTGCTGGATTGGGTCCAGGGACCGTCAACCTGCAAGAGACATCAGCTCCGGAGCCGCGGAGCCAAAAGAGGCCCCCGGTAAATGAGGGAAGAAGATTGTTTCACAAGTGTAACCAGAAGTTGGGCCTTTTGTCCGGCGGTGTCCCCTTCCTGTGCTGCCTGGTGCAGCAGCCATGTTTCTCTGAT